GGGGGTTTTCGCGGGAAGAACCTGCAAGTGTGGGTTTTGGGTTCTGGGTTTTAGGTGCGGACGGTCCCGCTATGTAAGCCGAAGAGACGAGAAAAAGAAACTTTGGGTGACGTTTTGGTTCATGCGTCATTTATATTTTAAATTTTTAAATTTTAAATTTTTATTAAAAAAAATACTATAATAAAACTACAAATTATAATTTTAAATTAAATAAAATCTTTAAAACAAATATCACATTAGTGAACTCATGCCGTCTTGACTAATATTATCGACTAAAAAGGTACAACAATAAAATCTAAAATGCATGTATTGTCAAGACATTTGTCTCCTTTTTCGAAGCAAATATAGATAAGTCTTTCTGCTAATTAAATGGCCAATTGGTACTCACTATTTGTGTTATGCTTTATGAGCAAGGGTTAATTTCAAATTAGTCCGGAAAAATTGGAGTTGTCTCATTTTGTCCATCACAATTTATTATCCGTGGTAAAAAATTGAGCTCATTTTTATCACAATTTGCGTATTTGAGGACAACAAGAAATGATATGCTTGTATATTCTAGTTTTCACTAAGTTATATTGATTCTGATTTTCAATCATATCAAGATTCTATACAGTACATTTTTTATATTCGTTTTTGTTAAAAATTAAAGAAAAAAAGAAATAGAAGAAATATATAGAAGAATAAAAAGAACATGAGAATTTAACGTGGTTCGACAATGTATCAAAGTCTACAGTGAAAAGATGATAGAAAATTCACTAATGAGGAGCACAAACAAATGCCTCCATATATATAGAGATTACAGCCACTAATTTGGGTAAGTACCCATAGTCAATTATCAACATAAATTTTGAATGGGAGTCTAAATTATCAAATCAAATATGTATCCCATAAAATCAACCACAATATTTGGTCAAAAGCAGATCTTTCCCTCTCATGTTCTCAATTTTAACAGTTTTCACTTGGTGAGGGAGCCGTCAGTTGGAGGAGTGTAAAACAGTCATATGTTGCAAACTCCACCACCAAAGTTGAGTACGTAACTGCTTTAAAAGTTGCAAAATAAGTTATATGAGTCAAGAAGTTCCTTGAAGAACTTTAAGCGGTACATAGTGCAAAGCAACCAATTATTATGTATTGCCACAACAACGTGGAGACGTTTGTTTCTTATATTTATTTTTTATTGTGAATCATGATTTATGATTCTCTATAGTGTTTTCTTTCATAAAAAATACACGTAAAACGAGAATAATTCTGAATCATGATTCTTAATACATAAACTAAACTTCCTATTCAATTTTGAGTCAATAATACTAAAATTGAACGAATCATAAAGAATATTTAATTTTAGTGACCGTTAAATCTTATAAGCATCGAATATATATATCAATGCTCTCATCATGAGTTTACTACAAATATTACATGTTTCGAATTTATATTTCTTAAATTAAAATATGGAATGAAAATTTATTCAATAATTCAATAGCCTATGTAATTTAATCAATATAACAGTATTATCATTTTGTGTTACTAGAATCTTTGGCAGAAGTGTTCTTTTTAGATAATCAACGTTATCAATATAACTAAATTAGCAAAATAAGATACTTTACAACTATTTTGTAAGCTGGAGGGGTAAATTGTCGAAAATAAAAGTTTAGAAGGCAAACTATCATATCTCTACAAGTTTAAACAATAAATATATAAAATACTCTAAAAAAAGGATAAGTTGTTTTAACGCTTATCTAATAGGATCATAAAAGATGAATTACTAGTAATTTTTTATTTTTAACCGTCATATATGTATCACGAGTTGTCTATTATGTCAACTTTTTTAGTTTGATGTGATTTTGAACAAGTTTAACGGTTAAAAATTGATGTTTCGATAGGAAGTTCCATAAGAGAAAGTCCCACAAAACAAAGCCAAACTCTAGTAGCAAAAAAAAAAAAAAAAAGGCCAAACGCCATGCGGGCAGAAAACGGACTTGTCTAAAAGATCTTTCAGTAAGCAAATGTAGAAAAACTAAAACGACAGGTCGTCGTCTACCGAGAGAAGAGAAGTCATTCATTTTCAAATCAAAGTATAAGAAAAAGGGCCATATATAGTGTAGGATGATTATATTGGAACCAATGCTTATATATACCCTCCGGAATCAACAAATATCTACCTCTATATGTTTTCTTCGTCTCCTTCGCGTACGGATCCTCCCACATTGTTGAAACATACTTGCTCGATTCAATCTATAGGGTGAGTAGGATATAGAGCTCTATTAATCTTCATTAATGTTTGATTATTATTAATTGACTGTCGATAATCTCACTTATATATGTATTTCTCATTGTTTCCTGGTTTATTGGAACGTTTAATTCTTTTCTTTTCTTCTAATGATCATCAAAAGTGCTAATTAGTTTTGGTTATAAATCATGATCAGCAGTATTTTGGTGCAGTAAGTTGCTAGAAAATGTTGAGGGTTTGATCTAATTTCTTTGGTCTTCTTTATTAATGTCTCAGGTTAATCTTTAACGAAGTAGTCACGATCAAACATGCATCCCCAGTACTCATCATCGTTAAACGGTGGGGAGTCGGAAAATGTTGATAAAAGGTCGTCGAGTACGCAAGATCTGGACAGCGAGGAGTTTGATCCGCTTAAAGAGTTGGCTGTAGCCGCCACTGATCCTGCGGTTCTCGAGTTAGTCGAAAGACAAGCTGATTTCGAACAATCACGCCGCGAAGCAAGAAATGCAAGAAATGATCGGCGAGAAGATGGAGGCAAGAATAATAGGCCAACTTCTCATGAAGCACTTGTTCTTCCTCGAAGAATCTTGAGGAACAAGATCGACGTCATGGGAGGGACGGAGGTGAATTTTGTGCTGCAAAAGTCCTTCGTCGCAGGGTCCCGCGGTGGGAGAAGCATCAGATTGCCAATACGTTCCACGCAAATCACGTCCTCATTAAGAGATGCCGAGAAGAGGAGACTTGATGTTGAGAGAAAAAGTATGGCGGTGAAGCTAATAGACCAGAGCTTTAGAGAGTTTCAAATGGAGATTAGGCGGTGGGATGGTAGAACAAACGGCAAAATCTACGCGTTAGCAACCAAGTGGAATGATGTCGTTTCCAGTAATCATTTGGAAGAAGGCGACGACATTAAACTTTGGTCGTTTCGGGTTGATGACCACCTTCATTTCGCTTTACAAACAACCAAGAAAGCTGCCAGACTAGATCAGTAGAAATCTACAATTAATATCTTCTCAAGTATAATATCTACAATTTTTTTTTTTTAATCTTTTGAGAAGATGTTCAAATCTGGCCAAATTTACATGGGTTAATTAGTTGGATCTTGGATTATGGAAGAGTAGTTCATATCGTATACCAAAAAAAGCAAAAAAAAAAAAAAAAAAGGAGAAAAAGCCTATATTGATGATGTAGACAAATTAGTGATTGATTGTCTTTGTTGTCAGTCAATTTTGGAGAATTAATAACAGTTCTGATTTCGTTTTTTTGGCACTTTGTTCTTGCTTCCCATTTTGTTTATACAATATTCTACTCGTTGTTATTATGATATATAAATGAATTAAAGCTATTTGATTAATTGCAGTTTTTAATCATTGGTGAATTTTTATTTTTTATTCTTAAGATGAATGTTTTCCTTCCTTTTATAAATATGTTGTAAATTCTGTTATCTTCATAATTTATATAGTTTACTAATTAATAAGTAAATGGTCTCATTGCCAATTGTCAACGTAGTAATACGAGATGAAGCCTAGAAAGATCGAAAATGTTAGTATATCTCGTACTACTTTCTATTTTCATATGAATCGCAAATTAATTTCCCAATATGTCATATCTATATCTGACTCCAGCCAGTTAAATTGATCCACTTTATCAAATACATTTTATTACTTAAACACCTTCGTAATATATAACATTTTCTGCTCAACAAAAAATTAGTAAAAAAATAAATATAAATATAAAAGGAAACTAGCTATTAGTGAAGACTTAAGACCCGTTTGTTTCATGATTCTGCTGCAGTGATTTTCTCTCACAAAAAAATTTAAATTTTAAACGTCAAAATCAATAATCATGGTCTGAATATAGAGAAAAGGAGACATATATCATTTAAAAGTGCATGGATTAAGATTTTTACTCCTTACTCTTGATTAATAATATTTTTAGTTAAATAACTATACTAACAAAATGGTACTAATCAAGAATGAATGATAAAAATTCATACTAATATACTCTTAAGAATAAACTCTGTAATTTTCTCTTAAAGGGAAGGAGTATACCATCCAAAATCTAGGTTTGATGTGACTTTTCTTGTAAATGACCTCTCAAGTTCCCAATGTCAAGTTTTTACTGTAGTAAAAATTATATATATGGCAAATTTGTGAGAGTAGAGTTGAAATTAATATAATAATTTTTAATTTTATATTTAGGAATAATACTAATTAGATAGTAATTATTGTAATAATTCGTGTTTATATTACAAAATGAAGTTGTAATTATTTTAATGATATTAAGTTTTTTCTATTTGTAAAATTTTTAAAAGTTTTTGCCATATTTTAACAGCAAAAAAAAAGTTTACAAAATTGTAAAAAAAATATATATTAAGAACAAAAGTGTCAAATCACAAGAATACTTGAGAAACGTACTAAAAACGTTTTTTTTTTTCTCATCAAATTCCTAAAAAGAGAAGAATTATGAGAAGATTAATTAATTTTACAGCCCTATTATTTTCACAACTAAAACTCTTTTGTTATAGTATTTTTTCTCACATAAAAAAGTTAAATTATAATTTGAGTTGTGAAAATAGTACACCCTATAAGATTCGTTTCTCCCTTCATGCACATCTCTTGCTTGTGCTTTGCAAAGGGATTGGAGATAAAGAGTGATAAAATAGAATAGACAGATGAGCTAACAATAGTCTTTGGTAAAGTTCGAGGTGTCATCCATATCCGAGTTTAATGCAAGGGATTTTCTAAACTAAAGCAATCCACAAAAAATATATATTTAATGTGCAAAATAGCAAGTAGTTTTCATTGGAGCTGTTTATGGCAGTAGATTTCAAGAGCAAAAAAAAAAAAATATATATATATATATATATATATCAAATAGTCTCATAGCTAATGAAGACCCATTTTATAAATCAGTCTTCTTCTTCATTACAGAAGCCAAGTTACAAGTTACAACCCACATTGCCTGTAGTTGCAAGGGGGAAAGAGGAAAATAGGTTAAGACTTGAGATGAATTAAAATTAATAGGCCAATAATTTACATAAGTTAATAAATAGGCCAAATTACTGTTTTCGTCCATAACTTATCTGGTTATGAACCATAACTTGACAAGTTATTATCTATAATTGTTCATAACTTGTCTGATTATGAACCATAACTTGACAAATTTGTCCATAACTTATCTAGTTATGAACCATAACTAGATAAATTATGACCTATTAATTTTTATAATTAAAAATTGGCCATATACTTTCATAAATTTTTCATATTGACATATTTTCTACTACTTTTCTAATTGCAATTAGAACCAATGCAAACAAAATACATGAGAATTAATTTGGGCTTGGGCCGGACCAGACCCAAAATATGCTCACCAATCACATAGCCCAATACAATACCCGAAAGGTAAAGCCCTATCCTAACCTTGGTGGAGACTGGAGAGTGGAGATCTTCCACATTTATCATCAGACCCACATAAAAAGCACACACTATCTGTGCTATATTAAACACACTATCTAGTCTACGCTATAAAATTTTAGGGCAAAATATTAGGATTTTGACTTTGAGAAAAATAAGTTAGAATTGGGTTCCGGTGTAGGTTTGGCCGAAGGCCCAATTGGGAGGCGTGACGTTGTCGGAGACTAGGGCTCTTCCATCACTGGTTGTGACCTTAAAGGAGAGGGCTTGGCCATTGAGGAAGGAGTTGCTCTGCCAGTTCTGACCCCAGTTTCTTGACATGGCCTGCCAACCTCCACTTTTGAACCCTTTAATGGACACTGCCACTACATCACCAGCTCCACCCACATTTGTTATTAGAACAATATTGAAGTATGAATGCCCATTTATGGTGAATCTCACCCCACCCTTTTTTCTACAACTGACTCTGCACATATAGTTATTATGTAACAACTGTTAGTTAACCAACTTCTAACTTGTATTCTCATAAAAAGGGACTAATATATTAAAAGAAACATTAACAAAAAAAAAAAGGGTGTTACGTAGGGATAGCAATAGGTGTTAGTTACTGCAGGACAACTTGACTTGGACATGATAAAGGTTGTGGGGGTCTTGTCACTTCCTAGTTAAAAAAAGGACGGGTTGTCCTTTGAGTTTAGATTTTTTAACCCGTTTGCGTCACAAGACACAAGACGTGTTATGATTTGAATTATGATTCGTAATTCACTACAGTATTTTTTCTTATAAAAAATACATATAAATTAAGAATAATTCTGAATCACGGTTCTGAATCTGTGAACTAAACGTCCACTTAAAAATCTTGAGCTCTGTACTATAAATTCATAACCTCTTGACACTATTTGTGATGCTTAGTAGAATTAACATTTAAAAAAATATGCAATATTGTCAATTTAATGGTAAATCGCAACAATTAACTCTTAAAAGTGGCAAGAAGCCAAATTTTAAGCGAATCATTTACATATGAATTAATTGTTTGTAGTAAATTTGGTTACGTACTTCTTTATATAAATATCTTGACGAATTCTTCTAAAAGCTTAAACTGTTACGCGTAATTAAGCTTTTACCTTCGATATTGAACAGGAACGATTCCGGCCTTGTAGAGGGCAATGCGCTGGAAAACGGGCTGAGAAAGATCAAAGTGGTGCAATGGAGGATTGCACCAACCGCCGGCATCGCCGCTGAGGGCGTAATTGGGAGGGCAGAAGTTGGTGGCAGTGACTGTTATGGAACCAGGTAAGCACCATTTATTGTCATTCACACATTTGATCTCAAAGCAGGCTCCACAGGTCGACCCCTTGTTGAACAATGCTGTGCTAAGAGCAGCTGTATTGGTGCCGTACCCTTGGCTATACAGATTTCCATACCCACAAGCTTCACCTTAAAAAAAAAAAAAAGGCAAAAAATATGTCATTTTATTTCACATAGTAAATGTGTAAATATAGTTAATGTGTAAATATTGAATGGCCCCCCATCATTTTCTTTTTCTGAATTTTACCCTATCATATTATTTGTTATATGGCAAAAAGAAAATGAAAAAAAAAAGAATTGGTTAATTATTATCGAGTAATTACCCATTGTCCCGGATGCATCACCACCTCCATAGAAAGTGGCATGAGCACTTGTCCATCCACTTTGGAAGCCCTTCACATTCTTGAACATTGATATTGTGAGAAGAGCTATAATGGTAATTGTGTGGTACTTGAATAAACCCATATAATATGTATCCTGCACAAATAAAAGAAGCAGCAAAAGCATATTATATACACACAAAACACAACTTGGAAGTTTATTGTGTTAGGAGTTGGTGCTGGGAATTTAGGAGCTTACAGTGAACAAAGACAAAAAAAAAACCCAACTTTCACAGCTGAAGAAAATGGCCGGCTAGATATATAGAGAATATGTATATGTATATATATATATATATACATATATGACAATGAAGGCAAGAAATGGAGTGGTTTCTATAGATGTTTTGTGGATGCTGGAGAGGAAGAGAATGAAATATAATACATGACATGTTTATAAATAAAAAAAAAAGAAAGAAGGAAGAATGGGAGAATATATTATCTAATCTAACAATACATAAAAGAATCAAAAGCTCTTTTTTATGGGACAGGGCAGCCCCTCCACTTACTTCTTTTTCTTTTTTATTTTTATTTTTTTACTTTTTGTTTTATCTTTTTTTCTTTTTGAGGTTTTTTTTTTTACATTTTAATTTTTTGTGTGTTTTTTAAAAATATATTGTTCCTTACTTCACTTTTATGAGAGTAATTTTTTTACATATGTTTCTATTTTATTTTTAGTTAGTTAAAATAATTTTCTCTAATAAATAATCTTTCATTATTCAGTAAATAAAAAATCTCCGTTTCCAAGTTCCAACATGGTAATACTTGCAGAGTAATTTTAATTAAATGAATGAAAATGAAGGAGTGATGTTAGTCAAGTGGTCCGGACAGAGTCTAGTGTGGCTATCAGTGCAGTCAATTAGTGGAGTTTTGACTGTTCTCAAAAACCAAAAAGATTCCTTGGGAATGCTTAACAAGAGTGGTCGTAAACGTTTAGTTTACTGATTCAAATTTTTAATTCAAGTTGAGATGTGATTTTATGTGAGAATTTTTTATTGTAATAAAAAGTTAGATGTAATTGTTTCAGAGAAATTTTTACTGTAGCAAAACTTAAATTATAAACTCGAATCAGTGAAATAAACGAAGCTTAAAAGAGATTAAAATTAAAAACATGAGGAGAATGTGTGCTGTCTGACTAGGATTGAGAACGGTACTTCTTGTTATAATTTTGAGATTTTTACTGTGGACTATTTTAAACTGTCAAACGATTCAGTTCTGTATCACATTCCATTAGTTTTTGTTTTGATGTTATTTCACTAAATATAACATTAAAAAACATGAACAACGGTAAAATATAGCTTAAAATAGAAAGTTCGTTACAATTTTGTGAAAATAATTAACCACCATGCAGGTAGAAATGTGTCCAACCAAAAGTTTTCAGACTTTCTAGGGTTTTTTGGAATATTGGAATAGTTTTGAACATGCATTAGTCCGATGATATAATCAACATAGACTGTCCTAATAGTACTTCAAATGTCATTATAAATGGCAGTTTATCGTTGGAGTGATCATCACATTCAACTCAAAATCAGGCCTCTAATATTACTAAATGCAATTTCTGAACGGACACACCTCTTGGATTGCAGAATGCGGAACATTATCAGCAGATGACATGAACTTCTATCTGTTTCTTTCTGGAGAGTTTCTCCGGTAGAATTAGAGAAAATAAATTACTGTTAATTCCGTATTTTCAACTGTTAAATCTGTATTAGAAATTATTTATTCTGCATACTTTTTCAATCGATAAAAAACAGACTCTACTAGTAAGAAAGTCTAACAGAGAAACTTCAATTACTTTAGTGTTTCCTATTCTTTCACTTTTTGCTACCCATGTGACATTCTTATTTCTTATATCACGCTATCTTCAAGCAATTAGTTATAGATATGCTTTTCAATCATAAAAAAAAGGAGAGGCAATTAGTAATAAAAAAGTAATTTCCCTAGGATAGTTTGTTGATACTTCTTCCATTAATTAATACTAATATTGCTTGAGGAGTACATAAGAAAAAACTAGTTATCCTATTTGATGTCATCTTGATTAACCACATGCATGGAGATTATTTTTCTATTGACGTGGATTATTTATTAGACTACTCACTTTGTAAATATGATAATGTTGGTGGGACAAGCAGGCACATGGGGTTGAGTGGGCCATATGATCACCTTTGACTCTATAGATATATGAAATTAATGCGTCGCCTTCTTAATCAGCCATAAGTTTCATGGGAAGTTGTAATCATCCATAGTTTCATAATTTTATGGGAGTTTTTCTTGGAGAACTAAGAAAAAATGATTAGTTGATATTCTTTTATTTTCAGTCATTAAATTTGTATTAAAATGTGTCTGTTAGTGTTGAAACTTTAGACGGGCCGTTCGCGACCTCAAGAAAACCGATCTTGAGCCCGATGCCCGACCCGACCCGTCTGCCCGAGCCTGAGAAGGCATGTGGACGGGCTGCGGGCTTGGTTTTGGCTGCCTGAGTGCGGTCGAGCCGTTCGGGCTTCGGGTCGGGTCGGGCACCAACGGTCAAAAATATATTTGTTGGTCGGGCTCGGGCTTCGGGCCGTTTGGGCCTGAGTGAAAAAATTCAAAAAAATTCCGGCGGACGGCGGTTGATGGCAATATCATGGCGGCAGGCTACGGCGAATTGTCCATTTTTGGGCAGCCCAAGCCCGAGCCTGAAAAATGGAGTTAAACGGGCAAGCCTTAGGCCTGCCCGCCAAGCCTAAAAATTTCGAGCTTCAGGCAGGCCCGCCGACCCAAAATTCTAACACTATTTATTTATTTTTTTAATTTAATGTGATTTTGATTACATCTAACAGTTAAAATCTACTACTACTAATAGGGAAGTGTTACCGGAGAAAAACCCTAATTTTATAATTAAGAGCATCTCATTCTCCGTAGGGAATCTACCTCTGACTTTTTGACAACAAAGCTGGGAGAAGAATCTCATGTGTAGAAAGTTACTAATTTAATAAGAAATACGGAAGCAAATTTGACTTGCCTCAAATTCAGGATCTTATGGTTATGGATTAAATCAAATTAATTATCAGTGGCTAGCATGTGACGCGATACACAAAATATACATCATAATACAATGGAAGAATATACATGTAACATTAGAGGACTCTCTAGTAGACATATGTATATTAACCGCTTTTCTTGAGGATTATAAATTTATAATTATTTGTTGAGCAAACTCATGAGCTAGTAGCTGTACCAATGATCTGGTCTGCTCAACTTTTGTGTACAAAACATGAAGCTTTACAGCTTGGTAAAGCCTAAAGCACATATATGGATTAAAAACATGATTATGTACGTAAGATAATGTGTATTAGAAGCTTATCCTAAAGCCTTTTTTTTTTCTTTTTTCCTTCTTCTTGTTTTTGGGTTTTGTTGTTCTTTTTTGTTGGTGTTCAAATAATGATTACAAGCTGATTCCTTTGCAAACTGTAGAATCAAAAATTAAAGCTGAAACAGTTAGCTCAAATGCTAGGCTAGCATATATATATATATATATATATTTATATCCGTGCGTGGGGAAGTAAAGAAAAGATAGGGTAATGGAATAATTAAGTAGGCTTCACTACGTGGGGGTTTTTATTAGTGATCATTGGACGCCTAATACATGCTCTTCAAAAAGGGGACTGCAGTAATTTAATTTTAAACTGCACGCGCTTCTTATAAAAAAAAAAAAAAAAGACGTGTGACGATTGATACCGTGATTTTTGTATAAGACAAATGTTAATATTACTCATTTTGTCAATCTCTTTATTACTCTTTGCATTTGTTGTTTGATACGTGGATTCTGTTATCTCATTTTTTGTTTAAATAAATATAATATATTATGTTAGTGGAGTTCACATGTGAAGCAGTGAATGCAGAGAATAATAAAAAGAGTGATGATTGCGTTTCTCTTTTGTATATATCTCAATTATGTTAGCATCTACTAGACAACACCTCCTGCACCAAACTACCGACTCAATTTTATTGATAAATTAAAAAAAAAAATGATAAAGATAAAGAGGAGTGTAACAATCTGAGTCCCGAAGGCTAACAAAGAAAACTAAAGAAAGATAAAACAAGAGTGAAAAAAGAAAAAACAATCATCTCAGCTGCCGCGTTGAAAGGATCTATGATATTTTATATCATATTATGTTTTTAATTCAAATCTCTATTAGGATGTACTTTAGCTTTATTTTTAATTTTAAATTAGGATTGTATTTATTTCGTAGGATTATTTTCAAGTTAAGTTTATCTTTAGATTCTATAAATACATTAGTGATGGTAACTTTATTCAGAGAGTTTTGATGATTAATGAATATTGAGATTCCAGTTTTCTTCTTCTTGAGTTTTTGTTCTCCCTCTAATTTTATCTCCCTTGTGATTCTTCTTCTCCATCCCGGTTATATTTCTTCTTTTTTATTTTTATATATTTTATAAAAGTATCCTTTTTATTCCATTCTAGGAAATTTAAAAAAAAAAAGGCAAAATTTCCGTTTCAGAAAACAACAACAAAAAAAAAAACCCCTAAAAACACTATTGTCTGCAACCAGTACAATGCAAAACTCCTTTTGACGCGTCCATGACTGCAGTCAGTGCATAACTCCTTTTGGTGCTTTAAAAAACTTTCCCTTTCGGTTCGTTAATTCGAGTTTTTAATTTGAGTTGAGATGTGATGTCGTGTGAGAGCTTTTTACTGTAGTAAAAAAGTTAGATGTGTCTGTTTCTGAGAGCTTTTTACTGTAGCAAAACTCAAATTCTAAACTCGAATAAGCGAAATGAACGGGGTTACTTTAGTGGTATTTTGAGTCCTATTTTATAAACACACAGTGTGTTGGTGACATTTGTATAATAAGGACAAAAAATGGTATTTAAGTAAAATAGCGGGGGTGCTTTAAGTATTTTCTCCCTAATTAAAATTTTTTTAAAAAAATGACTGTTACTAGCTAGTACTGGGATTTGTAGTATTGATTGGTTTGGCGCAAATCAAATATTCACCTTCAAACATTGATTTGTACAAGTGAATCTGCAGTCAACATATGTGTGTAAATTTCTTGTTTCAATCCACTAACATTGAATACCGCCAGTGGTGGCTGCACTGTGGTAAAGAAAGATTGCTTCTTGGCTCTCTCTTATCCAAGTTTCGATCTTTTGTGTCTGTATTTCTATTTCACTTGCGGTCCGAGTAGATTCTATGAGGAACCAAGATATACCAATAAAGTTTGAAAACTCCACATTTACATCGATATTTTGGTGATAATTTCTGTATTTTGAAAGCTCCGATATATAAATAAGGGATGTTGTATTTTTTTTTCCATATAATATGCATGAAATTTCAGTAATAATCAATTTTTTTACTGTAAATATCAATTTTCATGAAAAGTTTTGTGTCAAGTGACAAAATATCTTGGAAATTTTACAGAAATCACACATTTATATTAAAATTATTTTTTAATGTAGTAAAATTCATGTAGTATGTTTCACTATAATTTAGATTTTAATTAATTTTTATTGGATTTAAAAAATAACTATAATACAAATCAACGGCAACAAGCAACATTGCGATATAGATACTCCAAAAAAAAAAAAAAAAAAAAAAAAAAAAAAAAAAAAAAAAAAAAAAAAAAAAAAAAAAAAAAAAAATTCAGTATCAGTATTCATCTTTTTTTTCCTCCTCGTGATATAATTAGTATTAATTCAACATTAATTTTGAAGAACTATACTCCATAATTTCCCGGACAGCTGGAGCAGTGGTAAATGGTAGGTTGAGATCTTGAGCAGTAAGTGGCAGTGTTAGTTAAAGGAAGCGCTGAGTCGGCCATCCGCCGCCTCCGCCGCCGCCATCTCTTCTGCGCACATCTCCATGCTGCATTGCCACTGCAGCCGGATTGACCACACAGTAATCTCTAGGCGCAGTTTTATTAGAAGTCCTACTGGACGAGGCTAAAACCCTCTCTCTATCTATAAACATTCCACAATCAATATCATTGCCATTACTATTGGTATGATTCATACTATCCGTGACTAGTCTTCTCTCCAGCTCATGCCTCTCAGCTCTCTTTCTCAAATTCCGCCTTTTCAATATTGTCGCTTTCACTAGCTTCTTCTCCCTTCCATTCACCGGCACCGGCACCGCCTCCAGCCCCATCAACTTCGCCACCACTCCCGGCTTGCACCACACCACGCTCTCCCCTGCCAACGTCGAGGGCAGGCACGAACACTCGCTGTCCAATACTCTCCGCCGCCTCAGGCCATACTCGCAGCAAATGGACCGCCTTCCCTCGGTAGTACTATTACTGTTTCGAAAGGAGGACCGGTACATGGCATCCTTGCCGTCGAGGGAGAAGCGAGGGTACTGATTCAGAGCGTTCCGAGCGGACATTAGTATGTCGGAGTTGTTGACACACGACATCCTACCGCGCATTGACATTCCGATATTATTATAGTCCTTGAGCTTCGCCTTTCTCGCGTTCTCTTCCTCTAGTTCTAACTTCAAGAGCATATCCTCTAGCGTCTTCGTCGGAGGGCTTCTCTCGGAGGTGGTATTAGGGTTTTGGTGGTGATTGTGATGGTGATGATGAGGATCGGAGTAAGGAGAGAACATCGTGGTTTTCTGGTCAAGAGTTGAGGTCGAGCCATCATCGTTGCAAAAGGTACTTCTGAAGCCTTTCTTCATCTTTGCTCCCAAGGAGTTCTTGAGAAGGAAGAAGGAGAGGTCTTTCATGGAAATGCATGAAGAAGAAGAAGGGTATACCTATAGTTTGTGGCTCGGTAGGGGTGGGGGAGCGTGTTTTTGATCAAGTTTCTTGTGAAGAAATGAAGGACAAAAATTGTAGTTACACAACGTGAAGGGAGTGAATAATGAGCGGTGAGTGTTTTGGTTAGATTCATGACATGGTCATTATAGATGGACTTAATAGCACTCACATGAAAAAAAGAGAAAAGTGATGGGAGGTTTCACAACTTGTTTACGTCTTTGTCTGAATTGATCACTCGAGAATTGGTTGAGAGATATAATGACCATTTACTCTCAAGCTAACATTACAAAGCTAGCATTGATTCTAGTCTTGCCCATCTTCATTTCTAGTGTCAAGCTTTGTGAAGAATTAATTTAGAACCGACTAATGATGGTCTAAAGCCTTTATACCGTGACTTCTGGAGCTAATTTTTTTTCATTTTTTTTTTCATATGCCACCTCAAAGTATGGAGACAGCTCGTTTGACAGTTCGACCATGTCCAATTGTCCATACCCCAGTCCTTATCGTGAGTTGAACATTCTGTATCAAATTCCACTTGGTACTCGAACAATTGAGGATGGACGATAGAATGACACAAGAAAATATATCACTTTCAAGTTTTGTAATGCAAATCATCATTTAAAAATAAATAAATAACAGTCATGAGTAAAAAACATCCAACTTATAGAACAGATGTAACTTATGAGTTCACAAGACTTAACGGGCTTGTTCTTTTGAGTGAAAAACTAAAAAAAAATAACTCGAGTTACAACTTTATTCGAGTTCAAGTTCTTTTAAGTTTAAACTCGAATTTAAACTCGAGTTCAAACTCGAGTTTAGGACTAAAACTCGAGTTTAAGGGTTCGTTCACTTCGCTGATTCGAGTTTGTAATTTGAGTTGAGATGTGATTTTATGTGAGAACTTTTTACTGTAGTAAAAAAGTTAGATGTGATTGTTTGCGAGAACTTTTTACTGTAGCAAAACTCGAATTCTAAACTCGAATTGATGAAGTGAACGGGACCTGTTTTTCCTTCAACTCGAGTTCAGAAACTCGAATTCAAATTAATGAACAATATTTTTTCTATTCTTAAAAATGCTATCTTTTTCGTTTTAATTCTGATTGAGATGATTTTTTTTTCTAGGCGTTGACAACGAAAGGACGAATAAAATCCGACCTATATACCCTATTAAAATTTTTCATCAGCATTGAGTTTTTATTAAAATACTATCTAAATACAAATTCAAGTTTTGACTCACTCAAATACAAACTCAAAAAGATTCTTATCTCAAATCATAACTCAAATGTACACAACCAAACACAAACTCAAGTTATAAATTTAACTCAAGTTATAACTCAAATTCAACTCAAAAATTATACTTAAATTAAACTCCAAAAGAACAAATCCAACGTCACTCTTCCTTCAAATTCCAGACAACTACCTCAGGAGGATTTTTGTTATTATTATTTTTTTTTTAAGAAAAATGGTTCCTTCCACCTTCCACCTTCCTCTTTAAAAAGTCTTGAATCATACTTCCAGAAGCATTCACTAAAAAAGTACATATTCTGAGGCATTGTTTCATAAGAAAGTTGCAAATGCATAGCTAATGGTCAAGTTAAAATCAATTTCACAGAAGCTTACAACGTATCATAAGAATATTAGATACAAAATCCAGCATCCCAACGCGAAAAGCAGTCATAAGAAAAATCCATCTCAAAGATGATGTCCCTAAAGGCCCACACACCATACTACTAGTTAACGCCTCGCAAATGAATTTGAGTCCTTATCGAAAAAGATACAAGGTATGCTCAACTTAATTAGTCAGCCTCGGCACTTAATTATCCGGAACCATAATAATCTCTCAATAATTAATTACAATGACGCTTTGTAAAAGAACAATAGGAAAGAAAATTTCCAAAATTTTGGCTTTTGCATGAGATATGATACAAATTCTCTGCATCCCACGAATTATGATTTGTTTTTTCTAAATTTAAAAAAAAAAAAATCACCACCATCTTTGTGCCCACTAACTCTTTTTTTTTTTTTTTTTTATTGCTGTTATCTTCTTTTCATTCAGTATCGCTTCCTCCATCTAAGAACAAGTAAAAGAGCCTTAATAAGTGTGTTGCTAGCAGAATACGAAAAAAGATGGGGACAAGGGGTAGAAACATACTTAAAATATATAACATATACCTCAGTTATAAGGGCCAGCAATGTTACATTGTTCAAGCAAAAGACACCCACGATCTCAGCGCATAGATTCTTCGGGATGTTGGAACTCAAGATCTAGTTTCCTCTTTAGATGTGTTCTGTCAGCACTGCACATGAGAAAATAGAAAAACAGAATCAAATATAAACCGTCCACACAATTAAGAATACCTGGCCATCGACTAAAAACACTGGCAATTCCCCTATCTTTAACTTCTCGAGTAAACAAAACATTGGCATAATTCACTCATCTTTACTTCCATAAGTAAAGATGCCACTAAAAGCAATATTCCCTCCAACCCAGAATTTAAAGGAAATATATTCCATCATACATTCCCCAAAAAAAAAAAAAAAAAAAAAAAAAAAAAAGCCGAATGCTAAGAGAAATGCTAATAATAGGGAAGGAAGCAATTTCTTATCAATGCAAGGCTAACAGATCGATATGCAATACAAAACCTAAGAAAAGTAACAGCAGGAGGAAAAAAAAAAAAGTGGTCCCCGAATGAAATTATATCCACCTCATACAAAGAAGAATTGCGAGCTTATTTTACATCGGACACAGAACATTTGTTGACAAAAAAAGAAGGAAAATTCTGCATTTGAAATCAGTAATCACGGTTCACATATGCACAGCTGTAAAACACCATTACTAATCTCATGCAAGTGATCACACAAACTTTAGCAAATAGACTGGTTATTTATTTATTTTTGCTGAAATTAATTAGACTAGTTAATTAATCAGTAAAGTAAAATAGGATAGGCACGCGGAGAGCAAAGTTGTGTCCATATAAGTTTCTATGAAACCATTCTTATTAAGCTACGAGTCTTCACTATTTCATGGCTCACCATAAATATGTGCCTACCCTTGCCTGCAGATTTAGGCTAAAGCAAAAACTATTTAAATTCCCGTGTCTTGAGTAAATATTATATTTTGTTCCAATCATTTTAACACCAACAAACAGGTTAGGATCAATAAAGAGCAGCCATCAACCAGGATATGGAGAACAAATAGATCCAAAAGAAATCTAATAGTATACAATGAACCTAACCAATTTTTGAAAGGCATCAAACACGGCGAACCTTGACAGTTGCCAAGGGGGAGGGGAGAAGTAATGAATTTACACAATGCTTACAATGAAAGAAAGAGGCTTATCTTTTACTTAACGAAAGCTACCAACAAATAGTTGACTTTCTGTTTCAAGCTAATTTTCGGGTGCTTTTGACTAAGTTTACAGAGGTAGAAAACCACTTCAAAATAACGGTGATACAGTAGTGATTTACCTGTTAATAGTAGGTCTATTTGGGGGCTTTGTAGCAAAGATTGAAAAGTCTACAGACATTGGCATTGGTTCATTCCTACTTGTATTTTCACCAGCCGCCAGTCTGATTTCGCCTCCGCGGTCATCATGTTTATCAAGTTGGTGGGTGTTTCCTTCAAAACCCTCGGGCTGTGGCATCACTCTCCTCGACTTTCTTGGAGGTGACAGTACAGTAGGACCCTCATGTGGATTAAATTCTGAATTCTTAGACTCACGCTTAGGAGCAGGTCTAGGGAGCTTATCTGGAGCTGTAGGCAGAGGTGCAGAGGAAAAATACCTGAACAAGGAAACAGAGATCAGCAAAGGAGAGAAAGACAGCTCTAAGTCACCAAACGGATATGTTTAATCAGATACCTGTGTTCTAATGCCTGCTGCACGGATATTCTGGCTTTTGGATCATAAGTAAACATCTTTGATAACAGATCAAGAGCATCATCACTAGCCATCAGGAACAACGAACGCAAAGGGGGTGCAGGAACATATTGGTATTCCACATAATCAGGAAGGTAGACCATGTCAGGCCACTGGGAAGATGTTGGAGTCCCAAAAGCGGCAAAGATTTTTCCTAGTTGATCAATATCACTAGATCCCTATAAAATAGAAAATATGATCAATGGGAAAAATCTTATCTGTGCCATGAAGATCAATAAAACAATGTCCTGAAATATGAACCCATGGAGAATGGTGAAAGAACTAAGTAGGATAAGCCATCGCAAGACATTGCACAATACGTAACTGTTCAAATAACTGTTCCAGAACTTGAAATCAGTCCTGTAACCATAGAAACTGCACAAGGCTAAACCAATGCTGAAAATATTGTATTTTTTTTCTTCTCTAGGATAATTATGTAACGAAGAAATAAATATGAATCCTCTCAACCGCTAAAAATTCGGAATGAAAGAAGAAAAGAGTAGTTTAGTATCAATAAGCGAGATCAAAGTTGAGAGATAATGAGGTGCCAGAATTTAGTTAAAAATAAGAAAAAATGACAGGGTAACAGTAGTGTGCATAAGAATACATGCTAAATTTGAAGGGAAATTTTAACTAGCTGATGGAGAACAAGTTAATTACCTTTAATTATTAAGATTTTATTAGAATTTATGTTATTTTGAAATTAGGTCAAGTTTCTCATTTATCAAAGTTTCCTTATTTTGTTTTGATTTAGTTTCCTATTTCGTTATTTGGTTTTCCTATAAATGTAGTAGTATTGTAATTTCTTTTCAGACAATGGTTTATGAATAATGAAATCGGTGTTTATCTCTCTTGAGTTCTTATTTCTCTCTCTAAATTCTCTCTAATGGTTTTTCTTCCCTACCTCAGGCCATTCCTCTATCCCTATTCTCTCTCCTATTGATCCTACATCAGTTTGGTATCAGAGAGTTCTTTCCTTGGTCCCTGATCAATTTCTATTAAAAAAAGGTCTAAAAACCAGTTTCTGATGCTGCCAAACTCCTCCGCGCGTGAACCCACGCGCTGCCAGCCGCTGCCATGAGCCACCGCACGTCAGACGTCACCGCCCCAAGAAAACGATTTGCCAGCTGCCAATCTACAAAGCCCAGCCACCGGTTTGTCGTGATTCAGCCAAAATCTCCTCCAACTGCTGCCTTCAAGTCGCAACCCAGCCATTGCGCGCCTCCATCTCCACCGGAGACGCCATAAACGGCCATCCACAGAACCGTTAAATACTGCTCTGAGTCTCCAAATTTTGCCTCTTACTTGTTTTCAACCAGTTTTGAGGTTTTTTTTTGCTTTTTTTTCCCTGCCCCGTTTGTGATTTGGCACAAAGACCAAGAAGGATACAGAACAACCCGTCCAGAAGCTGCAAGAAAGCCACAACCAATTGGCTTTTCAAGTTAGCAACTTGACCACAGAAGTTGGCTAGATCAATGAACGACTTGCACAACTCTTTGACGTTGTGAAGAAGCTATTGGATGAATTTCGTCAAGCCCACAGAAATCCTGAAAAGCAAGAAGCTGATGTTGAATCTACTGTCGGTCAAAAGCAAGAACCACCAACACTGCTGCCTCCCAACAATCGGCCAGGTTTGCTAGCTACTCCTCCCACTGGGATTTCATATCACGAGCCTAAGATTAATCAATTAAGTGTCGTTCCTAAGAACCGGTTCAACCACCACGAGTCAACCTTGTAGCTTGAAATCCAGGTATGCTTCAAAGGAGTCTTTTTGATGACTTTGAAAACCCTGATGGTGACATTGATATGAACTTCCCGCCTGATAGAATCAATCAACCATTTCGGGGTAGGCCTGTTGAACAATTTCATCTTCCTCCAACTAGGTTCTACCACGACAAACGAGATATTTTTAGGAGGGTCAAGGTTGATGCTCTTGAATATGATGGTAGATTAGACCCCAACGCATTTCTTGATTGGTTAGCAAGTATTGAAGATTTTTTTGAATGGTATGAGATGACTGATGCACAGCATGTTCGTTTCGCTAAATGAAACTAGTTGGTCCTGCAAAAAAATTTTGGCAAACAGTTCAAACTCACCTTGAACATTTTAATCAATCTCCTATCACTCTATGGGCTGAGAGAAAAAGAAAGCTAAAGGAAAAATATTTGCCTACCAATTACCGAAGCCAACTGCTAGATCAACTTTTGAATTTTCGGCAAGCTACTTCAAGTGTTAGTGATTACATGTCTCAGTTTGAGGACTTGATGCTACGCTGCGAACTTCAAGAAGTGCCTTGGCTTACTGTCACTCAATTCATCAATGGTTTACAAGTGGACATTAAACGAGAAGTTAGCAAACAGTCTCCTCAAGTTTTGGAAGATGCTTATAACTATGGATTCTTACCTCTATGGATCTAGTCCCTCTCTTCAAGCTAGCTCTGCTTCACAGTCACTAGCTTCTCCTACAGTGCACTCTGGTTCTAAGGTTACCCAAAACAAGGGTAAAGAGCATGTTCAGTCCAATTCTTCAATTGAGTGTTTCAGTTGTCATAGCGAGGGTCATATCACTTCTCGATGCCCTAATCGTACTCTTGCTCTTAACCACACTCCTGCTGACACTTCCCAAGACATCATTGTTGTCGTTGAATCTCTTCCTCCGGAGGATTGCAAAGATGTCGAACATGAAGATGCCAACGTCCTTTTACTCTCCGGAGTCGAGTTCTTTTCCCCGGGGGAGAATGATGGAGAACAAATCAATTAGCTTTAATATTTACGATTTTATTAGAATTTATGTTATTTTAAAATTATGTTAAGTTTCCCATTTGTCAAAGTCTCCTTATTTTGTTTTGATTTAGTTTCTTATTTCGTTATTTGGTTCTCCTATAAATATGGGCCCTGTTCATTTCACCGATTCGAGTTTAAAATTCGAGTTTTGTTACAGTAAAAAGCTCTCAGAAACAGTCACATCGAACTTTTTTGCTACATTATAAAACTCTTACATAAAGTCACATCTCAACTCGAATTAAAAACTCGAATCAGCGAACTAAATGGGCCCGTAGTAGTAGTAGCATTGTAATTTCTTTTCAGACAATGGTTTATGAATATTGAAATCGGTGTTTATCTCTCTTCAGTTCTTATTTCTCTCTCTAAATTCTCTCTATTTCTCTCTCTAATGGTTTTTCTTCCCTACCTCGAGTCCATTCCTCTATCCCTATTCTCTTTCTCCTTTTGATCCTACATCACTACCCCTTTAAGTTCCCTGATAAATTAACCAGTTTGGAAGATGACATATTCTATACTAATCGATTACAAGCCTCAAAGCACTGTCCTACATCACCACCCCTTTAAGTTCCCTGATAAATTAACCAGTTTGGAAGATGAGATATTCTATACTAATCGATTACAAGCCTCAAAGCACTAAGAATACCAAGTGTGTGGAATAAATAGGTGACCTTTTCTTAATACAAGAAAAAACCCTTTCATTGTAATTAAGCAATTACAAGGAAAAGAGAATAAGAGATCCTCAAGCAGCAAAAACAAGAAGAAACAAAAATATTATCTTCCTATAGCATCCATCCACTTTAGAGTGATCAATGAAAAATGGGATGTCCTTAAAATTCTTGTCTATCAAAGCCCATGATGAGGGCAAAAATTTATCTTCTTTTAATGTATCTACTAACCCCATCTCCTTTTCTTAAAAAATTATGGAATTTCGCTCCAAATACAAATACAATACACAATCCTGTTTGAAGCATAATGTCGTGAAATGAAAAGTAAATGTCTTTAATGTACAAAGAAAGATAATAAAAAATGCTTAATTAGCAAACATCAGATATTTTACCTGCAAAAAGGGTCTCCTTAGAAGTAGTTCAGCAAAAATGCAAGCAGCAGCCCAAACATCCACCCCTGATCCATATTGCTTGGTGCCAAATAATAGCTCAGGTGCTCTATACCATCGGGCAAAGACCTAAAAAAGGACATAAGGCAAAATGTAAAATGCTGGTAAGGAAAACCATTACAACTTTTACTTTCATATCGAAAAAAACCATTACAACTTTTACTTTCATATCGACAAGTTTTGAGATAACTATGGAAATATTGTCAGAGAGAGAGAGATAAGCGACAATACTATCAAGATGGTATCTGAAATTTTCATCAAAATTTTATAACCAGAAAAGCTAGAGCCCAACAGAGAGGACTAATAAATATAGATAAATAGATGGACTAACTGAATATAGTAGCAAAACAGATAGGACGATAAATGTGAAAGCTTGTAAGACAAAAAGTACTAGCCGTAACGATTACAGTGTGATAAAAGCTTCTTTACCATGATGTCATCACTAAAAAACGTAATAATAGATTAGACCATGTGCAACCAACCACAATTATTTACTAGCCATTTATAGACTAACAAGATCTCAAGATTGACTCCAGCTCATGCACCAATATGCTTCATTCAGATTAACGTAGAAAAAAAAAAAGAAGAAATGAGCTATAATATTCCAAACAATGGGGGCGGGGGAAGGCTCAAGAGTTTTCCCCTCTTCAGAGCTTTCGTGAATCACGGTCAGCTACACCAGTTGAATATTATTATCAATGAAAAAGAATATTGAAATCAGAAAACTTTTAGAATACATAACATCCCCATCGATCAACTTGCTTTAAACAGAAATAGAAAGGGCAAAGAGTTTGATCCCAAAGATGTCTGATTTCGGTTAATTGCGCATGGACGTCTCAATGGGCAACATGTAATACAAGGAGAAGAAATACCTGGTGAGTAAACCTGCGATCAGGGCTCCCAAATATTCGTGCTAAACCAAAATCTGCAAGTTTAAGTTGTCCATTAGGTCCTATCAGCAGGTTGTTGGGCTTCATATCCCTGAAAGTAACATGGGACCAATAACTGAGATAAAATATAGCAAGCATGCATCAACCTCAAAAGAAAGCTTCTGAACGCAATATTAGAACCTGTGTAAGACCCATTTCTTGTGGCAATAAGCAAGCCCTTTTAATGTCATCTGAAGAAATGATTTTATGTCAGCAGGTGAAAGGAATATGTTTCGGTCACGAATTACAGCTTCAAGGTCTGTCTCCATAAATTCAAACACAAGGTGCAAGTTTCCCTTGTGGGGGAACGCATCAATTAACTCAATAATGTTTGGATCTTTGAGCTCTTTTAGCAGTTTAATTTCCCTAAGTGCTGTGAAGTTCACCCCTTCCTTTTGCTTCCCGAGCCGAATTTTCTTAATTGCCACTGTCTGTCCCGTCTGCAGAGAAACCAAATCAAGACTCAAACACTTAAAAGAGTATTCAACTAAGTAACAGTAGTACACCAAAAACTCTATGATTACCACCAAGTTAAAGAAGAAAAATTGCGTTCATTCTCCCATTTGACAGATAGAATAAGTGAGAACATAAGGAAACAATATTTGGATTCTACATTATCTAGTCAGCTCAGCTCCCATTTTAAAGAACTTCAATTTAAATAAAGTGTTGCACTTTTCCAAAATCAAAAGCTCGTGTAACCTTCAAGAATTTATGCCTTTTCTTTTGCGCAGACTATCACAAACCTATGATAAAATCCATATCTAGATGTCTTCCTAAAACCCAATTCTCCATTGAGTTCTCACACAACTTTTGTTAACAAATCTATTATTTTCTACAAGAAATAATTTAGGTAATGCATAGAAATCAAAAATTGATACGGTAAGCCAGATCAACATATCATGAACATAGGAACTTTTAATTCTGTATTAAAAGAAGTCAAGCTTACGAACAAAAAATGGTATTTTTCAAAACTCCACATGATACAAATTACAAATATCTCGACCAACAAACTCCAACAATTAAACAAATATCTTTCCAAGAAAAAAAATTGTGCTGCCATTAAAGAGAAGATATTTGGCTTGGCTTACCTTAGTATCAATGGCTTTGTAAACGACACCATAAGTACCTTCACCAAGAACCTCACGCTTCAAATATCTGTCGGCCACTTTTTTTGATGGATCAACTTCCGCCATTGTTTCTTTGGAAGTTTTTATTGAGCAAAAAAAAAAAAAATTGCTGCAAACTTGTTTTATTGATGCCAAACCCTAGCAGAGACGGAGGAGGGCTTCAGTAGGCCGGCGTCGGAGCTTCCAACAGCCGTCGGATGCCAAACCCTAGCAGAGATTGAGGAGGAGGAGAGAGAGAAATGAAGAAGAACAAGAAGAAGAAGAACAAAGAAAAAATTACAATAAACGGGCTCTCAAAAGTCGTTAATTGTTTGAGAGAACAAAAAAAAATCAAGAGAAACCTAAACGAAAATTCGAGAAACAAGTTTCGGAACGATTATCCGCGATCCGTCACAACTATTTCAACGCTAAAATTTTGCGAAATGATTTCGATTAATTAAACTGAACAATACGATTCAGCGAATGCTTGAAAAGAAATGAGAGATAAAGAAAAAGGAAAAAGGACCTGAGAAGAGAGGGAAGGAAGGAGTGGAACCCTAGAGGCAGAGAAGAGAGAGAAAGAGGGGCTGCGAAGAAGGAGAGAGAGAGAGAGAGAGAGAGAGAGAGAGCTCCTAGCCCTCCCGTCTACCGAGGTCCATGGCAGAGCCAGAGAGAGTAGTCCCAGTCGGAAGGGGAGATCAAAACTGGGCTGAGAAAACTGTCTCACGTCTGCATCTACGTAACGTATTAAATGGAAAAGAATGGTTTTTATGCAATTGCATTCGAATTTATAGGCGTCCGGATTCAAATTTTTAATTCGAGTTGAGATGTGATATTTTTTTAAAATTTTTTATTATAATAAAAAAAGTTAGATGTGATATTTTTTAAGAGCTTTTTACTGTAAAAATCTAAAATTAAAAACTCAAATCGGTGAAATAAACGATGCCATAATAGTTTAATAAATTATCCTCATAATTTTTAATTTTAACAATTAACTTTTAAGTTTGTAAAATTATTGTAACGTGTTTTATTTTATTAAATTGGCCCCATTCATTTTGCTGATTCGAGTTTAAAATTTGAGTTGAAATGTGACTTTATATGAGAGCTTTTTACTGTAGCAAAAAAGTTAGATGTGATTGTTTGTGATAGCTTTTTACTGTAAAAAAACTCGAATTCTAAACTCGAATCAGCGAAGTGAACGGAACCTTAAATATTTTATTAGATCTAAGAGATTAAAAAAATTAAAGAATTAAAATATTTATGTTATATTTAAAATAAAATATTAAAATTTAACAAAATTATCGTTAAAATAAATATATTATAATAATTTTACAGTTAATAGAGCAACTCATCAAAATTAAAAATTCAGAAAATAAGTTGTTAAAATTATATAAATTCAGAAAGTAAACATTTAAGAGACGTTTGGTTCATGAATTAGAATCATAAGATTAAAATCATTTTTGATTTATGTGTATTTTTTATGAGAGAAAATACTGTAGCAAACTATGAACTATGATTCAAATCAGGGTACGAATCCTCCAACCAAATAACCCTTTAAAATTCTGATATTCATAAACTTAATGGGACAAATTAAATTTTATTTTCTCAAAACTTAACAAAATCCAATAGAACGAGCTTAATTGTCAATGTCGTGTAGACGTTTAATTTATAGATTAAAATTATAAGATTAAAATTATTTTTAATTTATGTATATTTTTTATAAAAAAAAATATTATAATAAATTATAAATCATGATTTAAATCATGATATGAATCTATTTACTAAACATTCGTTTACTACAACTAAAAAAGAGTGGTCAAAGTATTACCTACTAAAGAATTACGGACTAATAAGATGCAAATTACCAAAAAGAAAATCCCATAAACAACCCCCTCAAATGCGCTCTAAGCGACTAAAAGAGAAAGAGAACGAGTGTGTTAGTTTTTTATTAAAAAAAAAGAAAGAAAGAAAGAAAGAGCGAAGGAAAAGTAAGAAAACGACGAAGCCGAAACCAAAGCCTCAGCAAATATTTCCGTATCGAAATCTCATCCAAGCTCTGATCTGCTTGGACCTTCGCGTCCTTTTCCGATTTTCATCAGCCTAAAGGCAAGACCCCAAAGCTCTTTTCTTCTTCTTCTTCTTCTTCTTCTTCTTCTTCTTCTTCTTTACTAGATTTGTATGAATTGGAAAGTTTAGATGTTTGTTTGTTCGTTGATTGGTTCCGTTGAAGTGTTCTTTCGGGACTTCAGATCGGAATTTCGGAAGTAGGTTTAGATTCATTGCTTTTATCAATGATTGATCCATGGAATTAGCTTCTTTTGCGATCTTAGCTTTGATTAGATTTGGGATTCCGATTTTCTTAATCTCATCTCCGATGGATTCCATTGCAGTGCAGAACCCTAAAAATGGCGGCGGTTTTGCCCCTACTCCTCATCTTAGTTGTCGGTGCTCTTTCTCCATCGGGATTTTGTTTGCCTTCCATTTCCACTGCGCCTGCTTTCCTCTGGTCGCCTAATTACAACGATCACTGGTGCGAAATCTTCCTATTTTCATTTTTTTTTTTTTGGGTTTTACATTGCAATATTCAATTTAGTTGAAGAATTATAGTTGCTTCAGTTACTCTGAGAACAACCAACTATTAATTGGACAGCCCTATTGTAAAAAAATAATAGATTGACATGATATACATGATGAAGAAGTAACGTTTTGAAGTTTCTCTAGCTTGAACTAGTAAGTTTCATTGCTTTCTCATTAATTCGCATTAAAATTACGGCAAAGCGTTTTTTTTTTTTTTTTTTTTTTTTTGGTCTTTTGTGGACAAAAACAATAGCAGCAGAAACATATGGACAAAAAAAAAAGATTGAAAGAATGTTTCCTTAGAGCAGAAACTTATAGATAGTGATGAAGATAATAGTTTGAAGTCCCTGCAAAGTTTCAAGTTGTCAAAGTTTTCCTATATCTTTTTCTCCATTTGTCTACAATGTAGAAATTAGAAAAAGGAATTAATTATCTGATAACCACTCCGAATCTCCAATTCGGCTTTTAGGCCTCTCCTAACATAAGACCCTAATCATTTCAACGCAATCAATTTAATTTAAAAAGAAACAGTATCAGAGATCAAATTCTGACCTAGTACCTTCTTCTTTGTTTTAGGTTTGGAGTTTGATCAATTAAAAAATTTTGTTAATTGCAAAGTTAAGCAACCCCGAAAATTGGGTTCTCCTGTAATTTAGTTGTATAATGAGAATGAGAAAAGTAAACAATTTGTTTTTGGCACGGTAGCACTGAAACATCCCACTTCATTAAGGTGGTAGAGATGTTAGATAATCCACTTTCTTAAGGGAGCAAAAGATGGTATCAGGACGAATTTGGCCGTCTATAAAATCAATTGATTGTTTTAATACGTTCCTTAGAATGAATCAGATTATCAGAAACCTGATATGTTACAAATTGGCTGATGAAACAAAGCACTTCTCTTTCCTAGATAAGATATGTGCTAAACTTCCCCGTTTGCAATGTAAAAACTCGTTTGGGCTCCTGCTCATTATTTTTGATGAGCTAAGCAATTTATTTATTCATTTATTTTTTGTTCAAACTGCTTTGCTGAGCAATTTTTTCTCCCCTTTCTGTACTCCTTTATCTTGTCCTTTATTTCTATTTTATTACTACCCTAAGTTTGGATCCTTTATTGTGGTGATAACTTATTAATATATTATGTGACCATACATTTGCAAATGACAGGCTTCAGGCATCTGTCAATTATCAGACTCTCTCTCCCAAGGATCTTGCTAAGTCTGTTCTGTCTGAAGGAGGATGGTCAAACTTATTGGTATTTGATTCTTCTTATTGTTACCTTTTTTGTTTCCCTGTTTTAGATTTTTCTATGATTCTCAGTCCATCAGGCTTTCTAAAAGTTAATTCTTTCTCTTTTGGTGCTCTTAGATCATGTATAGTTTCTTTTCTCTACGTGTAACATATATGTCTTATGATATCTCAGTGCTCAGAAAGCAAAGTTAAGCAACCTGTGGATCTGGCTCTTGTATTTGTTGGTAGAGAGGTAATGTTTTTCAATTACGACACTTTACTTGTGGAATCGTCCAATATTGCATATTTTTATTTTTTTATTTATTTATTGCATCCTTCTTATAATTAAATAATTTATGGGCCTCGACAGATTCATCGTTTAAGGATCTTCCACTCTCTTTAATCTTGTCGAATTGGGTGGATGCTTTGGGCTAGAGATGCTTAGTTTTACTTCTTGTATCTGTGTGTGATTTTCTGTATTCTCTTTGTTGTTTTTGTTTTTGTTTTGTTTTTTTGTTTTTTTGTTTTTTGTTTTTTTTAATCCTTGGTGGATTCCCCATCTATTGTTGTACGCCCTTTTTTTTATGTTAATAAAATTTTCAGTTTCTTATAAGAAAAAAATTTAATCACAAACTTTGTTTACCCATATTGCGTTTGTTAAGTTGATGTTAATGTTTAATGTTATTCGTGTAGTTGTTAAACCTATAGATGCACATCAGTCGTATATGCAAATTTTCCCAGACATGCTGAAAAGGCTACATTTTCAAATTTCTTCTATTTATTTATTGATTATTTTAAATCGGAATTAGCACAACTGTGCTTGCTTCTAGTGAATAGAGGAAGAGTTAAGGAGTGCTTTACACTTGGATTTATTCTTCCCATACATTAACCTTTATAGCCATCATATTCTTAATAAAAAACTAAGTTAAGGATTGTAGAGCCTATTGATGAACTGTGGTGCTGGACCTTTTGCGTAGGAAAGAGGAAGTTTGACATTGCACTAGAAAAGAACACTTGCCCTGTTGTATATTCCCCGGGGCACTGTTGATATTTCGTTTCTCTTTATGCAGTTGCAATCTTCAGATATTTATGCAAACAAAAATGCAGACAAAGATTTGGTGAATAGGCTCAAGGTAAGCAGCATTTCTGGCTGTCTTATAGTTAGGATTTGAGTTGGAATTTATGATTTGCTCTAACGTCCAACTTTCCATGTTCACGAGTAGGTCTCCTTCACAACATCGAATTTTTCCATGGCATTCCCCTACATTGCAGCGTCAGAGGACGAGACACTGGTTGATTCTTTGCTTGCAGGATTTACTGAGATGTGTGGGCGTGATGTTGGACTCAGTAATGTTGCGTTCTCGGAGTCTTGCTCTCTAACCAGTGGAAATTTCCCAAAACTTTCAAACTTGCAGTCCGTTCATGTAAATCACATTGACTATGCAATATAACCGTTAAATTTGGAAGTTTATGGGCTATGGTAAAGACATGATGTCTTTTTTTTTTCTTTTTTCCTAATATGAACGAAACAGGATTATCTGGCTTCCAGAATGGAGAAGAGGGCAAAGGGGGAAGCAGATGTGGTTGTATTCTGCCATGAAGGATCTAATTCTCTCAATGAACTTCACCAACCACGTTTAGAGGGTACTTTCAATTTTAATGACTGCCGCTGTTCATTTGAACATGATAAATTTAAAATTGCTTTGTTGATGTGAAAAGTCATACATGGCTGAAAGTTGTTTATACAAATGTTTTATTAAATGTACAGGTGAAACATTTGCCGAGCTTGTTAATTCCATGGATCAGTCTGGGGAAAAATATGCAGTTCTATATGTTTCAGATCCTTTTAAGTCAATTCAATATCCTTCTTATCGGGAAGTAGAAAGGTTTTTGCAAGAAAGCACCAATTCTACAGGCTGTGGTGAAGTTTGCAAGATCAAATCATCACTTCTGGAGGGGCTTTTAGTTGTAAGTTTGGTTTCTATGATGATTATTTTAATTTGGTTTCATTGATTAAATATGATTTCCAGTATATCAAAGTCCAATTCATTGCCAAAACTCCTAGGGGGCGTTTGGTATGCGGTAATCGTAGGAATCATATTAATGGGAAAGTGATAGAAGGGAATATGATTCCCAGGAAACGTGTATTGCAGCGTATGGTCACGTATAAATCTCTTCTCACATTCCCATAAATATTATTTTACTGTGTTTGGTTGTTCGTGGTATTGTAATGTATTTTTTTAGTAAAATCAATAAAAAATTAGAAATTATAAAACCAATAACTTTAAACTAATTCTTTAAACAAATAAATTGCGTTAATTGAAACCGAAATAGGTAAATTTCCTTAAGAAAAAAATTCTCCTTTTAGAAAATAAATAATTCAAAAAATTAGAAAAAGAAATACTCTCTCTCCGTTGTTTCTTCTTTCAATCTCCCCTTCCTATTGCTCTAAGGATACTAGGGCTCCGGTCATTTCACCGATTCGAGTTTAGAATTCAAGTTTTGCTACAGTAAAGAGCTCTCAGAAACAGTCACATCTAACTTTTTTGCTATAGTAAAAAGCTCTCACATAAAGTCACATTTCAAGTCGAGTTAAAAATTCGAATCAGTGAACTAAATGGGCCCCAGATCTGGGTAAGATATCATCTCAATCTTCACGATCTTATAATATGCCCAACACATCTATACGAGTCTAACCCACCTGAACTTAGTGGCTTTTTACTTCCCCCACCTAAAATTTAAGACGTTAGTCTTTCTGGGTCTTGATTATTTATTCTGGGTTGCAATAGAGGGTTTGACTCATGGTGGGGTTGTGATAGTGGTGAGGTTGTTACCGGTGTCTGGGTAGTGGTGGGGCTGCAATAGTGCGACGGCCCTGAGTCGTGATGGGGCTGCGACAGTGTGACGGTGACTCTGAGTTGTGGTGGGCTGTGACGTTCGTTGGGGTGGTCTGAGCGGGACGCTTAACGTCGCCGGACCTCTAGTGCGTGGTGGGCCTGCTGAGTGACTGAGCAGAATGTGGTCAGTGGTGATGGTGGTGAGATTCCCGGGACACTTTATTTGTCTTGGTTTCATTCAATACATTTATGACGGTGTTTTATTTCTTTTTATTTGGATATCATTGTAACAATGTTTTATTTATTTATTTATATATTTTTATGTTAGTTTACCAATCCATCCCAAAAGCTTAAGCTATTAGGAGGTGGGCCAACAATAATTTTATACTTTAACACTCCCCCTCATGTGTGGGCTAGACAATGGGTAATCGTGTGGGTAAATTAATTGGAAAGCCCAACACGTGAATATTTAAGCCCGAGATATATTAAAGACCCAACACATGATAATTTTTAAATGGAGATAAAGAGTGCAATTACGGGGGTTTGAACTCAGGACCTCCCGCTCTGATACCATGTTAGTTTACCAATTCATCCCAAAAGCTTAAGCTATTAAGAGGTGGGCCAACAATAATTTTATACTTTAACATTTTAATACATGTGTCATAGCATTTTCAATGTGTAGTTTTATCTAGATCATAAGCAGACTAAGTTCTTTGTGGTTGATGCCCCCCTTTTCTTTCTTTCTTTCTTTAAACGGTAAGAGACTTGTTTATCGTGTCACAGAGGAGTTGGGTCCTTAACAATATAAAAAATTTACTCTTTATTGCTTGTCACAGAGGAGTTGGTTCCTTAACAATATAAAAAATTTACTCTTTATTGCCTTTGGTTATATGGGGGCTGTTTATGCTAAAATGGATTATCAAGTCAAAATCTTCACATTGTATTTAAGAGGCCTGAAGCAAGAACTCCTACAAATATTGAACAATTGTTGATGAAAGTTCATTGGGATTTCTGAATCAAATTCAAGCATTCTTCGAGTCCATGTCCTACCATCTCTGTGAATTATGTCTCTCAATCTGGATTGGAGATCCTATTGAATTCTTTTTTTTTTTTCCTTTGACACAACACGGGATTGAACCCGCAACCCCCCACCCAAACCCCACCCCACCCCACCCCCCCAATGCCACTAGACCAAGAGGTCTTAGGCGAGATCTTATTGAATTCTAACTCCAACTAGGAAAATGTGTCACTATTGTCAAAAATACTTTTGATGTTCTCTTACATATATGTTAGTGATGAGGGAGCTAAAAAGTGGGCCATCTATGCGGTTCATTTTTTACTGCTATCCTATTACGTTGGAAAACCTTTTCTCAGGTTTGGAAAACCGTTTGTCAGTCAGGTTTAGTAATTCTGGAATCAGCTATGTTTCTTTAAGACGTATCAACCTTAGAGCTGTTTTCCTTTTCATTTTCCTGTTGTTTTACCCTTTTATTTGCATATAGCTTGGCCTTGGGTTGCCAACAGTCGTCTTCTCCACTTTCCTTTCATAGTTATAGTCATCATTATGAAGCTTATAGAAACCACTCTTCCAAAAAACCAAGCTGAAAGAGCACTGGGATGACTGTCATCAAACTGCAAAAATTGGTTTAATGTTGACTGCTGTCACTGCTTCTGCTTTAGTTTGTAATCCCTTGAAAGTTTCTGAAAATTATGTAGTTCCTCAGGGCAACTACTTAGAAAATGGACTTTTTTTCTTAACATCTTCTAGGAAACTCCACAGCGTCCGGCCTTCTGCTGTTCTGTCTGCACATATTAAATTGTAAACATTGTCATGTGTAGAGTGTACTACCGCTACAATCATGCCTTGGTGTAAAATGGTCAGAACTAGCCTTATGTCTAGGAGGTAAACTATACATACATTCACGCTGCGCAAGTGCACACATACACATTTTTTTATTTGCACCCATAAGCTTGATATACACTAGATACTGTAGTATTTATGTAGCAAGTGCGCCTCTTCTACTTTTATCGAGTTTTGCACTTTCAAAATGGCTATTATAGAGGCTAATCGTGTTTGACTTTGTTGTTCCACAGGGCATTGTTTTGCTTATAATCTTGATATCAGGCATCTGTTGTATGATGGGAATTGATACTCCAACGAGATTTGAGGCACCGCAAGACTCTTGATTTGTCTTCGTGCAAGATAATACCTACCTGTTGCGCTGCTGCTGCTCTGTCCAAGGCATCGGTAGTTTAGTTGCTTGTTATATAGTTCCAGTGGGTGGGAGATACCTTGTAATATTTGTTACCTTGCTTAGAGCTTTTCACTGTGATGGCAATAATGCAATATGATAATTTTTTTCTGTTGCATTTTCGTTTTAGGTTTATGCTGGTGGTGCTCTTGTAATTTCATTTATTACTTTTGGCCAGTCTGGTGGGCTATTGAGTTTATGTGATGATAGTTGCATTTAGTATCGTTTTGGGCAAGGGAAGAAGTAAAGCCCAGCTGGATCGATATTCTACCTCTTACCCATTCTCTGTTTTAGAATGTACTGATAAAGGAAGGCCCGAATGAGAGTTATGTGAATTTCCTATTCCTTTCACAGCCTAAGGTTGTTATTGACTTTTCAAATTGCATATTTTGCAGAAACTTTATTATGTAAACTTGTGTTGAGTTTAAAAAGGTTGTATACATCAATGTGTGTGTTTGTTTGGCGTCTGTTATAGGAGATTAGTATAATTTTTGTTATGCTTAAGCAAGAATAGAAGACCCCTTTGACCCAAAGGCCAAAGCAAAATGGTATTATTGTAGACTGTAGTAGCTGCTTTGTCGTTTTACCTCATTATTTCATTTCATGGCATAAACCCGGCATTATATTCCGAGTTTGCTTGCTTGCAACATAGGTTTTTTGGGATATACCCTGCTTTCTTCAGCTTAGGGCCGTTTGGTTCTGTGACTTAAAATTCATGATTCTGATTATGCTCTTTGAATTAATAATGTTCTTGCCAATGAGTTTTCTTATGAAATTTAAATTCAGATTTAAAATTACTGATTTGAATGTATAAACCAAACATGCCATTAGCAATCAAACTGATCTAGAAGACTAGTTTCTAGCAAAATCTTTTAGTTAAAATGATAAACAAATATGGGAATTGCATTTAATGTCAGATGTTCCATTTGATAATCAATTCTTTTTTATTTTTTATTTTTGGGTCAGATATTACTAATACTGAAGACTGTTTTTTGTCTCGGATATCGTTTTTATGTGCTGCTGCTGCGGCTACAGTCTACAGTCTACAGTGTGGAGTCGTTTGGTCATTACAGACAGCTTGTGCCTTGTGAGGAGGAGATAAGAGTAGAATCGATATGCAATCTTTCTGATCCAACATGATCACTTATTAGCTTGCCCCACACCACCCCACCCCTCAAATTGCACTTTCTTTGAGTGGGGACTCTTTTTTTCTTTCTCTCTTTTGGCTAACTTTACCATTGATGTGGTGTCTCTGTGATATGACACACAGATTTTGTCCTACTTGTATTAAAATGGAAACACCACAACCAAACATGCAATTGCAATTAATAAGGAAATGGGCAAAGTTTTTTTTTTTTTTTTTTTTTTTTTTTTGTGGTGGTCTCAGCCTGCTACTTCTCCAGCTCTCATAGTGGCAGAGTAAAATTGACAAAGGAATCCTACCGATTGTTGGAGTGAGTGTTGGGGGAAAAAAAAAGAGCAAAAAATTCGGTAAAGCATACATTGGTCTTTGAGCCACTCTCTTTTCCCTATAACTTAACATGTCTCTAGTCATCTGCCTGAAAGTTGCTCAAATACTCTTTTTATTTCTCAATCTCATGCATATTGGAAATAGCTACTCTCAGTTTTTTAAATCTTTGCCGTATGTAAAGCCGGCAAATCTCAAGATTCCCTTTTCTCTTATGACAAATGACATTGGTTTATTTATTTTTAATAATGTGACGAATGATATACATATACATATACCCTTTTGAGTAGCTGTAGGGTCAAAGCATTGCATGTGATCAACATAACATAATCATTGAGACTCCGAACCATTTTAGCTTTACATGTACTAATAGTTTTTCAGTCCATAGTCCAGTACTTGGTATTCTCTCTCTATATATAGAATTAACAAGGCTTCCTTAATCTCTCTCTCTCTCTATATATACATATGTGTATATATATATACATATGTGTATATATATATACATATGTATATATATTACAGCATATAACTAGTATAGAAGATGGCTTATCTTGTTAAAGAAAATGAGTGGTTTACATGATATTATGCATTTTGGTGCTGAATCTTGTGTACCTTGCAGCCCCTGAGGGCTTGCCTTTCTTATATGGCCCCTTCTGCCTTGTGCATGCAAGTGGGATGTTCCTTTTTGAATTTATAAGAATTTGGAAATCTTTTATATTTACATTTTTGGGATGGATAGATACATATGAAAAACGTAGAAAAGGAGTTGGTGACGGTGGAAAGATATGGAAGAACCTTATCCCTTACTTTCATCCACAATTTGTTGGGCCCTCTTCTTGGATCTCTGCAGTAATTAAGGAGAAGTCCTAATCATCATTTATCACCTGGATTCTGCTTATATTGCCCTTTTTATATCTATATATGTATCACAATCACAATCACAATGATTAACCAAATTAATCAAATTCACTTGATCCCTTTATTACTTTACCCTGCAGCCTCTATATATACAAGTCCCTATTTGCTTCACTTCTCTCTGTCTCTCTCTCTCTCTCTATATGGTCTCAAGTCTCTCACTTATTGCCTTGCTTGCAGAGTGCAGCAAGTATTGTGCAGCCAAGGATGACTTGCCGACTACTTTTTTTCTCACTTGACTAGTTTCCTTTTAATGTTAAAGAGAGACTTTCAAGTTGGCAAGTTGTTCTTGGCTACATAATTCTTTCTGCTCCACATGCCAGGCATTGGGTGATCAATCACATTTTATTTTATTAAATGCAAGAGCTCTAAAGAGGTATTTTTTTTTTAAATTTTTTTTTTTACTTGCTAGCTAATACTATTTACTATTATCATTGTCTTTTAACGTCTTTTTAAGGCTTTTTCAGTGGTCTCATGTATGGTCTAATTATCAACTATTTTGCTTTCCTCAAAAACTGTGTGTGTATACTTATTGCTTGGACGCTGATTAATTATTATTATTATTTTTCCTTCTGACTTTGAGAACACACAATCCTCATTGCTTAAAGCTTGAAACTGCAAATACATACATACATATAGATATGTATATGTATTGGGGGAGTAATATTCATATATACTCCTCTTCTTTAAACCTGATGTGGGGATTTGAACTTTGTACCTTACCATTGAAGGGTGGAAATTTACTGTTAGGCTAAAGTTGCAACCACCAAAAAAGGGATTAACTTATTAACTAAATAATAAACATGGATATACATTTTTCATGTATTTGTATTCGAACCATTTGAGGATTTTATCTTCATATATTTCATGTCCAGGGACGGATTACAAGGTGCTTTTTTTATTATTTTTTTTATAAAGGGTATTACAGAGTGCTATTAACATCAACCTACATTATTTTGTAATTTGGCCAGGCTGATAAAATCTGTTATGAAATATTGCCCTTTCAAAACTTGTGCATACAGCTTTGTTCTTTAGTCAACCCAGTGATCATTGGATTTGTAATTTTGTATATTCCGCCAAGGATTATATATATGTGGCTTAGTATTTTGGCATACCACTATATTTTATGTTTCACCAATATATATATATATATATTTGTTATATATATATATATATATATTTGAGCTCCTTTTTCAGAGTGTTAGTCCAATAAACTTGCACAGACTACAGAGAGAAAAAGTATCACTGGAAGCCAAGGACGGTGCCGTCTCTAATAATGGATTCTGATCATGAGATTTGAAAAGCAAGTCATGAACAAGAGAGAAACTTTAGGATATACTATTCATTATCTACTTAAAAAAAATTGTAAGTTGAAGATGATTGTAAATCTATGGAATCAAGCAGTTATTCTGGTTTATGATGATGGGGGTGTTCAAAAAATTGATGACATCGTGGATATCCACCAAATTAAACCAATTTGTTTCAATTTTCATTCGATTGATTTGATTTGGTAGGTTCGAAAGTCTCTTTTCTGTTTTTCAATTTATATGATTAGTGGTTTTTACGTAAAGAGTCATGGTATTAAATGGGCAATTACAAAGTTGCCCTGAAATTTTTTTAGGGATTCTTTTATTTTTATTTTTTCATCTTCTTCTTTTTATTTTTGTTTTCTTTTATTTTCTTCAGTTGAGCGAAATTTTAATGGGGTCTTTTGCTTCATTTTGGTTTTGAAGCTGAGATAATGCCGAAGCTGTTCATTCATTTTGCTTTTCCTTCATATTGTCTGTGAATGATGTGAATTTTAAATTCATCATCAAATGATTGTTTCCTAATATTTTCACATTCTACACATAAATAATGGATCATATTCCTTTTTATAGCAGTCTTTGCAAAGGATACAAACTCTAAATTAATCATTCTCTCATATTCATTACTCTTTCTATTTGCAAGCATCCATTCCTATTCATTGCTACACAAAACAAAACAATATCTACATAAATTTCCATGATCATATCATAACACTATATCTACCAACTCAAAAGTAAAACAATAAATATTATCAATCTATACAAATTTCTATTTAACTAACAGCTACAAAAAATCAACACCATAACAATTTCATAAACAATCACATTACCCAATTTCATAATCAACCTACAACCTATCCACATAAATTTCAAATTCAAGATAAACAATCAAATTAACGCTAAACAACATTCAAATTACTCAATCACACAAACAATTAAACAACTAATTTCTTAATCACCACAAAACCAAACAAAAAATTAAGAAATAAGTTTTGAAATTTAAAACCCAACAACTAATTTCTCAATGATCAATCACAAAAAGAAACTAAAACCTAACAAATAAGCATTGAAATTTAATACCTAACAACAAATTTCTTAATCAACCACATGAAATTTCCATTAAAAGCTTTGACACTTATGGAAATTACTTGATAGAGTGGAGGCAAGGCTTGGGCGACGAAAGAATGGGCGGTGGCGGCGTGGCGAGGCACGGAGTGGGTCGGGAGCGACGACGGTGTATACGCTAGCGGCTTAGGCGAGGAATGAGTGACAATGCGGGCAAGATAGTTTCGTTTTCAATTTTAGTTTTCTAGTGGCTTTTCGTGAAATGAGAATCGCCATATTTATTTTTAAACCTCAATAGATGGCGGTTTAACGGTTAACAATAAACTCGTCGAAACCAACGGTACAGAAATCCGAAACATTGAGCTTTCAGTGCTGCTGTTTTAACTAAAACTATAGACGATAGTTGTTGTAGAAATTCTTCTAGTGCTCGGTTTTTTTTTTTTTTTTTTTGCAGAAATACAAAAACTGTTGTCTAGATTCAGTCGTCTAATTATATATAAATTCTTCTAGTGCACTCCGTTGGCATTAATTTACATATCAACACTAACAATAAAATCATTCGCCTGTATGTTTCATGGATAATTGCCACAAACGCGCTAGTTCACATGTGTTGTTATTGCAGCCCAACAATAATGCTATCCTGATGACCAATTCCTTATCCGTGAAATAAGATGACAGACATAATAAAAACATAAATGCTCTCCGTTTTATTACTCTCTACATTTATTGTTTAACACGTTTTTAATGATCAGGAGGTTTATCAACAAAGATTGGCTATTTTCAAGAATTCTATTATTAATCATGTCAAAAGATCAACAAAAGCCCAAGTATAATATGAGTTAGACTTTATGATGTGGGGCTGGAGTATTCAGATCCAACAACTACTTTCACTATTAATTGCTTGTGGTCTTGGCTTGATAAAGCTATACTCTAGACTTAAGGTGCACTTGGTCATTTTGCTAGAGTCCTTCTTGGGATATATATACTCATTTTGATAGAAGCCTACGTGCTATGCACGTGGGTAGTAATTTATGTGTCAAGTTTTAATTGCCGTGTTAAAATTAAAAACACATAAAATTTAAATTTAAATATAAATTTTCAAAAAGAAAAAAAATAAAAAAATAAAATTTTAGGGCAACAAGCCCAAAAAAAAGGGATAAAAAATGATTAAAATGAAGAAATAAATAGGTTTTATGGACAAAAAGAACCAAAACGGGAAAAAAAATAAAGTTTCAAGACAAAATTAAAAAGGTGTAAAAATCGGCGGCCAAAATGAAAAAAATAAAGAAGTCTTAGGGCAAAAGGAACCAAAATGAAAAACAAAATAAGTTTCATGATAAAAATAAAAGAAAAGTATCAAAAAGTGACTAAAATGAAGAAATATATAAGTTTTAGGGTAAAAGTAACCGAAATGAAAAATGATTAGGGCAAAAGTAAAAAAGAAATGGTCAAAAAAGGACCAAAATGAAGAAATAAATAAGTTTTACAGCAAAAATCTAAAATAAAAAAGAATAAGATTTTAGGACAAAAATAAAAAAAAATGTCACAAAAAAAGGAATAAAATGAAGAAATAAATAAGTTTTAGGGCAAAAATAAAAAGGGTTTAGGGCCAAAATAAAGAAATAAATAAGTTTTGGGGAAAAACCAAAAAGCAAAAAAATAAAATAAAGCTCCAAGATAAAAAAAAAAAGAAAGAGTAAAAAGGGACTAAAATGAAAAAATAAATAATTTTTAGGGTAAAAATAAAAAAATTAAGAAAAGGGACTTGAAAAAAAGAAGAGGAGGGGGAGCACTTTCAAGCAAAATGGTGCCGTTTTATTTGAAATTGCTCGAAGTTTTAATTACCTTGTTAGTATTAAAAACATATAAAATTTGAATATAAGTCTCAAAAAGAAAAAAAATGAAAAAAATAAAGTTTTAGGACATCAAGCCAAAAAAAGGATTAAAATGAATAAATAAATAAGTTTTAGGGCAAAAGAACCAAAACGGAAAAAAAATAAAGTTTTAGGACAAAGTTAAAAAAGGTGTAAAAATGGGCAAAAATGAAAAAAATGAAAAAAATACAGAAATCTTAAGGCAAAAGGAACCAAAATGAAAAATAAAATAAATTTCACGACAAAATTAAAAAAAGTGTCAAAAGGGGATCAAAATGAAGAAATAAATAAGTTTTAGGGTAAAAAAATTAAAATAAATAACAATAAGATTTTGGGACAAAAATAAAAAATTTAACAAAAAATGAATAAAATGAAGAAATAAATAAGTTTTAGGGCAAAAAGAACCAAACAAAAAAAATAAAGTTTTAGCGCAAAAATAAAAACGGTAAAAGGGCCAAAATAAAGAAATAAATAAGTTTTGGGTAAAAAACTAAAAGAAAAAATAAAATAAAGCACTAAGATAAAAATAAAAAAGAAAGGGTAAAAAGGGACTAAAATGAAAAAATAAATAAATTTTAGGGTAAAAATAAAAGTTTAAGAAAAGGGCCTTGGAAAAAAAAAAAAAAAAAAAAAAAAAAAAAAAAGGAGGGAGGGGGGAGCACATTTTACAAAAAAAGGGCGTGGAAAAAAAAAAAAAAAAAAAAAAAAAAAAAAAAAGGAGGAAGGGGGAGCACACTTTCGACCAAAATGGTGGCGTTTTGTGCTTTCTATAACATAGATATCGGGGACTTCTTGCGTCCCTCGGCGCCAAAAGGAAAGAGCCTCCCTATGTATTTATTATTATTATTTTTTTCGAGCCGTTCATATGAAATGCAAGGGCTGCCAGTGAAAGGAGGTTAATTGACTGGGTTCAATAAGGTGAATGTGTAGCCGGTAAAATGGGGCATCTAAGGCAGGCCCATACGACATTGCGTTTTTCAGGAAGCTTATAAATATTATTTATTAAAAAAATTGAGGAAATGGTAGTAAATGTAGATTTTTGAAATTAAATTAAGTAAATAGTAGATTTTAAAACTATTTAAAGTAAATAGTAATTTGTGTTGTAAATGAATCATAAATGATTCATTTATGATTGATTAAAAAAATAATTTAAGTGGTAAAAAATCTTAAAATTTTTTTATTTACGTGGAAAATTTTTTTTTTACCAATTATAAAAAGTAAATTTACGTAAAAAAAAAAGGTTCATTTACTATGTAAACTACGTAAATAATTCATTTATTACGTAAACTGTTAGGATAGAATAGGATTGCATCCATTGGGGACATAATTAGAACAAATTGTTTTCCTTAATTATAAGTTCTCAAACATATTCATTTACTTTTACCACATTGTTTTTTGCAACAGAAGTCCAATAATACTGGGGTTTTATTCATAAAACTGGAGCAGGGACAAAATATTAAATACATTACAGACTGACTTGAAAAGGGACATGATCACTTATAATTAATGTAATAACTGGTGATTGACCATGAATCCTTTTCACTGATTCATTGTTGTGTATGTGGCGCTGACTACAAAGAAAGGTGTGGATATGTCTATTTTTTTTTATTTTTTAGATGGTGTAAGGATGAGGCTTGGGCAAGTCCTTGACAATGCCGCAAAGCAAGGCGTTGTCCGGCATATTGTACTCATCCCTGAGGGACCGCGCCGGTGAGAGGACACTAATGTAGAGTTGCTGCCCTAAGTACCGATTCTCTGTCAGCTCCGACCGCAGGTTCCACATTCCGGCGTTGTCGAATGTAAGCAGGACTGCGGCGTATGATTTGGGATACACCTGAATTGTGTGCCTGCTCACTGCATCAAGAAGATTGTAATTTTTTCTCTTCTCTGGCCTCCACCTCCCTGGTTCAATCCTAGATCACCCATTGTAAAAACAAAATGTTTTATTAGTACTGGAGAATAAACACGTCTGCCATTTTTAAACAAACATTTTTTTTTAATTAATTTATTAATACAGAGTCCATTTAAGTGATGGAGTTTTATCATAATAGGATGAAAACCATGTTTTCTCAAAACATAGAATTTTTCTTTACCAAAAACAATAATAAGAATAAATTGATGGCTAGCTAATTGATTTTAACTTACGAGACGGCAAAGAAGGAGTATCCAGCCAAATGCCAAGACTGCAAGCTCTTCTCATGGTTCTCAAAGATGATCTCCACAAAGTTACGGAATGTCTGGTTGACCACATTAGGAGCCAAAGTCACTTCACCAGAAAGTTTCTTGGGCGGCTCATCTTTGATCAAGTCGTACTTGAACACCTTATCGGCAACACCGTAGTACTCGGCCAGCTTCAACGGTGTCACGGGATTAACGTGAGAGACTCCGTTGATGCCGTAACGGAGCTTTCCCTTAACTCTGCTTGCCGAGTTGACGATCTTGATTGTGCGCGTGATGGGGATCTTACCGTAGTGGTAGGATCCCTGGGGGTTTGGCCTGGCGGCGCTGGCGGTGAGGTTCCACCGGAAGGACCGGAACTGGTTGAGCGACCAAGCCCACCCGACCGGAGCCTCTGGGATGTTTTTAAGGGATGCACTGCCTTTGCGGCCGTTGGTGTAGCGGATTATGGCTTTTCCGGTGAGGACGGTCTTAGTGAACCTGGTGGTGAGTCACGGATCCAAAAGTTTATTTATATAATATGAAAAAATACAAAAAGTTCTACCATCATGTTATATTATATGATAATATAAAATTATAAATGTGGAAGAGATAATAATGCACTATAATTTAGTAATATTTGCAATAAATCATAACTATTCTACCAACATATTTAAAAAAATATGTGGCTGTTTTTTTTTTTAAAAATTATCTTTTTTTTTCCCGCTAATTCATGTTATCTAAACTATCCTCATCATATAGTAAATTACATTAAAATTTTAAATTCTTCAAGTAATTAAAAAAAGGTGTCAAAATTTGATGGGGAGAAGAAAAAAATTAGACAACAGTATTATAAACTCGTTAGGGACACATTATTTGGTGATGTAATGATTTCTTTAAGATATTCTCACAAGAAAAAAAAATTCAATTCAACTTATTAACTCAATCAAGATTTTGTTTCCCCCTTTGTTATACAAGAGATTTGGAGAAACCAATGATTATTAGGAGTAATTTAGAGAGAAGAAGAAAATAAAATGTTGTATATTAACTACTCATAGAGAAATTACCTGGTTGAGGCCACCATGTAGTACTCCTTGGGCGCCTTATCGGCGGTGACGAGGACCGAGAAGCACTGGCCGACGTGGACGTCGAGAGACTCGTAGGTGTTCTGGACGGTGTGAGAGCCCTCCATCTCAACCAACTTCATGGGATGGTCTTGAATCCTGAAGTTTAGGGAGTCTTTAAGGCCCACATTACAGATTCTGTACTTGTACGTCTTCCCTGGCTTCATGGTGAAAAGTGGCTTCTTGTCATTTCCAGACTTGCCGTTGATCAAGACGCCGTCCGGCCTGCCGAGGGAGCGGCCGCTGTCCAAGAAGTTCTTGAGGGTTTTGTGGCTCTTGACGTACCAGTCTCCGATGAGGACGGTGTAGTCGTCCTCGGGGTCCGCGTAAGGGACGGGGATGAGGAGACGGCTGTTGACGCGGAGGCCACCGAAGGCGCCTGCCGCCCTGTGTACGGCGGTTGTGGGGTAGTAGATGTAGCTTCCTATTTGGTCCTTGACTTGGAAGTGATAGGTGAAGTTTTTGCCTGGAGGGATGGGGCAGTTTGTCCCAACCACTCCATCTTGCCAAGAGTTCTTCCTGTGCTGGACTCCCGTCCTGCATATATGGCAATAATTTAATTAGACTTTTTCAAATAAGATATGAAAAAATATGGCAACAATAATCTACTATCAATAATACATATATATTTATATGTTTTATATATATGCTCATTGTCACAACCACTGCATAAAAAGGGCCTAGCTATATGAATATGACTATAAAACATCGTGACAATGTCTTGTTAGAAAAACATGATGAAAGGAGACACGAATGAGGGGACATATGAGCCGATGAATGTAAGTACCAAGTCAAAAGGAAAGGCTCGTCAAGGTTGTTCAAGACGTTGAGGACAATGTTGTTGTTGGTGGTGGAGTTGATGTTGGGTCCTGGGAATTGGCCATTAATGAGAATTCCTTGCTGAGGAACACCCAAAGGAGAGATTGTACCGTACGTGACATTCCACGTGAAGAACAGGTAAGGATCTTCTGCTCGGAGCTGTACTACCGCCGATAGCAAAACCAACCACGTCACAAAAATCACCCTTCTCATTTCTCCTCCTATATATATATATATATATATATATGTATGTGTGTATATATATGTATTGGGACTGGAAAATTATCAAACTCTTTCCTTAAGAGTCAGTGTAATTGTCTATTACATATGAAACCTAATATGACAGATAATATCTGTCGACTGGTTCCTATAGAAGAAGATGATTGATCTTCTTCGTTTTCTTCTTCTCTATTTGATCATAAATATAATCCCCAGTTTCTTCCTTGAGGCGTCCCTGATCTGTTATATAATATGGTAATCTTGACAGTTTTTTTATGTGTTGGAAATGGTGAAGACATCGTTGGACAATTCATTTTTAGTAAATCATTATTAAAAGCAAATAAAACGAAGCCTAAAATTAGACATAAACTTTGTTTATGATGGATGGTAAGAAAGAGTTTGAAAGGACTTGTAAATTGATGTGGACCCTAATTCTTTTTTACAAATATTAATTAAGCAGGATCACATGTTCTTATAGATATTGAAATGATGCCCTTAATCACTTTCTTGGAAAAAAAGAGAATTAATGTCAGTTTTACATTTTTTATTTATTTATGAAAGTAACTTCCGAATTAAAATTTTTAATACTAGATGTTAATAATTAAGAAAAACAAATTTCGAAAATAATATTTGTCATTATAGCAATAATTATGATCACGACAAACGAAATCAATATGCCTTATATGTTCTCATTAAATATTATTCAACAAATAGAAGAACGAATTATAAGTCATCAATTATATATGTATATATAAAATCGCACGGCGGATCTGGCTTTGGGCGCCATGGTGCTGGAGGGGTGAATCAGCTCACAAGTGAACAGAGTGCATAGCGCTGCAGCGCCACTCTGTGGGCGGAGAATTTACGAAGTATGGAAATCGTAACAGCGCCTCGGCAGGCACCCACTGGAAATTGTCAGACAGTAGTTTTTGGGTTTTTTCGTAATCTCAAAGAAAAATATTTTACTTGGGACATAATTGGGATAAAATTACTTTTAGTAACAATAATTTAGAATAAGTATTTAAATAAAAGAAATTTTAAAATATTAGATTATAGCAAAAGAAGCAAAAGAAACGGGAGAGAGAACAAAGCCAAGTCGAAATGGGAAATGGGGAGAAGGCAGTAAATGTCAGATTTTATGAAACTAAATGAAATAAATATCAGATTTTAAGATTATTGAAAGTAAATAACAGTTTATGTGTGTAAATGATGGTAAATATTCATTTACGACCCCTTAATTTTTAAAAAATTATAGTTTGACCACTTAACTTTTTAAAAATTATATTTTGACCCATTAATTTTTAAAAATTTATATTTTGATCTCTTAATTTTTTAAAAATTAAATTTTGACCCAATTTCATTAATAATTACATTTATACACCTGGTAAATGAATCATTTACAAGGAAAATGGATCATTTACATATCTGGTAGATGAGGTCAGTGAATCATTTACTTAAACGAATCATTTACATTGACCTAGTAAATGAGGTAAATGATTCATTTACATGGTAAATGAATCATTTACAAGGGGTATTTTTTCATATTTTTAAAAATTTAGGTCTAAATGTAATTTTCAAAAATAAGGGATCAAATTGTAATTTTTTAAAAATTAAGGGATCAAATTTTAATTTTTTAAAAGCTAAGGGATGAATTTATAATTTTCTAAAATTGAGGGATCAAATTTTAATTTTTAAAAGTTATTATTTACAGTGGTAAATAAATCATTTATCATTTAAATGATAAATGATTTATTTACCACGTAAACTGCTATTTATTTCAAATAGTTTAAAATCTGACATTTACTCCATTTAGTTTCTAAAATTTGACATTTACAACAATTTCTCGTCAAAATGGAGAGTATACTTTTGCACTTTCACAAATAGAACATATTTAGAACAAACTAATAAATAGAATACAAAGGAGGAATATATTTAAGTAAGGGTATTTTAGGAAAAATCATTTCAGTAAGATAAAAAAGGGAATAAAGTATTTTAGTGAAATAGAGTTTAAGACTAAAAGGGTTTTCAATAATTCTAAGTAATTTTTTAAGACTAAAATATTTTAATGAAATATTTTAAGTAAACGTTTAATATTTTTTGACAAAAAAATAAATTAAATCAAATAACTCATAAGCGGTTTGGGCGGTTTAAGCTTAACACTAAAAGAGTTTTTAATATTTCACAAAAAAGATTCATGTTTATAATATAATATAAAAATAGAAAAGTCATAAAAATTCCCTATTGTTGAGGCTTTTTTGCGGCGGACCTGCTGATGTAAACGGTATGATGTTCGTGGCCTCTCCTAATTTGTCTAACTGGGTTAGCTATCAGATGTGAAAGAGCGTCTAGTAGCTGATGGGCATATGACAGAGTTCAAGAGGGGCTTTTAAATCATTGTTGTAAGCTCTGGAGCTGAGCGAGCTCAGAAGGATGTTTTCGTGATCGACGATGTTGGCCCAGTTGGGTTGGGCTAGACCATTGTGACTCCGAGGAAGACGGTTTTAAAGGGACAACCGTTGCGATTCCTACTCCATAAATGTGTAGACTTTCATGAAGAGGATCTCTAGGACGTTTGTTTCCTATATTCGTTCCTGATTCTGAATCATAGTTTATGGTTCTCTACAGTGTTTTCTCTCACAAAAAATACACGTAAAACGAGAATGATTCTGAATCATGATTCTGAATACATAAACCAAACGTCCTCTAAGTAAACCAATAGTGTGGGGGAGGAACATAACTATTTTATTTTTTTCATACCAAATCAAAAAATATTTATCTAAAAAATTTAAAATATTTTATACCTATAAGCGACAAATAAACAAATAAATATTAATGGGATCTCTATTTAGCATTGTTAGCATTTATACCCTTAGGAATACATGTAACGATGTTCTTTGAGACATTTTGACTATTAATAAAGATTTATTTATTTCATATATCTATGTATTGTCCTTTTATGTTCATATTAGTTGAATGTATAATAAGCAAACTGAAAGTCTGAGACTGTCATTCTAAATCTTTAGGTCATGCATGTAATGTGAAGAACATGCGGAAAACAAGAATCTAAAGATGATAGTCTAAATCATATGATCCATAATCGAGGGAATAAAGTTGGGCTTTTTATTCATGTTAAGATTATTATGTTGTCTACTTTCTAACAGAGACGGCTTGTCTTGGTCGTCGGAGGTGGGACTCCATGGGTAGAGACATTGATATAGTTTCTAATGGTAAAATCTATATTGGATCGGACCAAAGTTGAATTGTTTTAATTAATAATTCTGTTTGAATAAAATAATTCACTTTTGACGAATTATATGTTGTCATCTTAATCCTGAGATGGATAATGAACCCATATGCTTGACTTGCATCTTTTGATGTACTAAAGGGAGACATCCTGACATTATGTAAAGGTACGTTTACCGGTACATTAGGGGTATGACTCGTGTATGCGTAGATTCGTTATTCATAGATAGTGGAATCCATAGCTCCTATAAAGAGTCAATGATATCCTCTTTGCATTATCAGTGGATCGAAAATACGAGCGCTCAGTCATTAGACTACTATGTGTTATCTAATGGTTTACTGTTTGTAATGGTACGAATAGTGGTTTTCTGATGGTGTGATAATGGAACATAAGATAAATGTAATCGGGAAGGGAAAATGAAACTTGACCTCAAGTCGATTATGGATATCCTATGGGGATGATACACTAATATATTGAGTCATGGACTAGAGCTATTTAGAGCTTTGTAAATACGCTATATAAATCGAGAGTGCAGCTCTAGGCTTTTAGTGGAGTAGCGCTAGAGCTTTATAATCATGATACGGACTTGTTGGTTTACAAGTAGCGTTGTGATTATAGAAGCTTAATTTATATATGTCCATCGGGTCCCTTTGCTAGCTCACATAATTTCCTGTAACGATACGATGTATTTCCTACATATTGGTAACTTGTGTTATTTCTGTAAAAATGGTTCAAAGTTAATATGAGATTGGTTAATTAATTCATGAGTGATTTATCGGGTGAATTAATTGTTAAATTAATTCTAGATAAATTGGTTGAATTATTGTTTTAAGAGTTGTTTAATATGGGAAGACTATTATATGACTGTTTTGATCATGCACTTTCTCTATTGGGTTGCTTGAATCAAAACTGAGGCTCTGTGCAAGTTTCCCGTATTAAAGAACTAGGAAAACAACTTTTACCAGTGCGGACAGGTCGACTGGTTCATGAAGACAGGTCGACGGGTCCGGTCAACCGGTTTGTGAAGAACAGGTCGACCGGTGAGTTATAACGTCTCTGTCACCGGTCGACCGGTTGTAACGCATAGTGTGTGCTGACATGGTGAAACTGACTCTGGATGCGATTAAAACTTTGAGAAACCTAATTATTACGGAAGTATGACTTCCCAAACACTATAAATAGCCCAGTAAGTCACATTATTCATAAGATCACTTGAGAGACTTTTTAGATGCTATTGACAAAAGATTCCTAAGAGGAAAAATTATTTAATTCTCAAGAACGATTTTTCCTTTGGCTCTCTTGTGGTTGGAAGGAGTTCAAAAATACCAAAGGGAGATTGAACGACATATGCCCACCCGCACTCCGATCGTGGAAATGAGAATAGCAAAAAAGACCAGTTGGTTGAGGCTCTTCCAGTTGCTGTTTACAACGCTTTGATCTGATCGCTGTTTGGAACGCTTTGATCAGTCAAACGTGTAGTTTTCTTAAATCTCAAAAGGTATGATTTAGATCTTTAGTATTTATGTTATATAGCATCATGAACATGTTCTTGGTTAGCTTTGATGTTGATTAAATTTTTTAAAATTCCGCTGCGCACTCGATGCCGTTTTTCCAACAAGCATATCCAATTGTACGAGTGAGTACACATATTATTATTATTTTAGGTTATCCCATAAATAGAATCTCAGATTTACTCTTAATTTCACTTTAGTTCTCGATTTTTAAAATGTGCCACAATTAGTCCCTAAGGTTTTACTTTATTTCAGTTTCAATACTTCCGTTAGCTAGGTGTTAAATAATTAATACTGTAATAATTAAATATCAAAATTGAAACATCTAAAGTGTAGAGACTAAAATAATACAAAAAATCAAAATTAATTTTCATAAATAGTTTTTAAATTTTAGATGCACATTTTCAATTTTAGTCCTTAATTTTTACATATTCTGTCAAATATTTATTACCTAACTAACAGAACCAACAAAATTGAAGCAGAATAATACCTCAAAAATTAATTATGGGATGTTTCACAAGTCAAGCAGGAAAATGGAATTGAGGGTAAAGTGAGGGATTATTTGTGAGATTGACTCTATTTTTTTTTAATGGAGGTGTGGACATGTATTAATTAAGGAACTAGCCATTTTCAAAAATAAAATAAAATAAAATAAGAAACTAGCTAATTAATATTTGACATAAAATTTATTAGGGCTAGGTCAAGATCTAAATGATTAAAGAACCTAAATAACCTGAGGACAGTTGATGAGGCATATGTTGGTAAACCGTATAACAGTCTTTATAGGCAAATGTTAAAATAGAAAAAAAGAGGAACATGATTTTAGGGTAATTATTAGTGAAATATGTGAGGAAAAGCGCAAAGCAAGGATTAAGAAAGCAAAGAGAAGAATTCGCTGACTTTGAATGGTCAAGAGATTACCACTTGCTTGTATAAAGGAGAAAAGTCTCTGGTTTCTCTTTCGGATGACACAAATCAAACCAACAAAATTATCAACAACCTTCTCCTTCTTCTTCTTTCTTTTTCATGTATCATCTCTAATTAGGAAACTATAATACACAAATATTGTTCATGTAATCAACTAGTTTTAGTATATATAGAAACACACAGATATATATATATATATATATACACACATACACATATACATAGACATTATATATATTATTGTAAGATGGGAAGGGTGATATTTATGTTATGTATATGGGTTTGGGCAATTACAATGGCCAGGGCTGAAGACCCTTACCTTTTCTTCACATGGAATGTGACGTATGGAACTATCTCTCCCTTGGGAGTCCCTCAACAAGGCATTCTCATCAATGGCCAATTCCCAGGCCCCAACATCAACTCCACCACCAACAACAACATTGTCCTCAACGTCTTCAACAACATTGACGAGCCCATTCTCTTCACTTGGTAATTAAATTATTTCTCTTTCACTAATTTGGTTGTTTATTATTTAATTCATTACATATCATGTTTTATATATATATATATATATATATATATATTTATTTATTTATATTTATTATTTATTTATTTTTTTATTTATTTTTTTAATTTTTTTATTATGTGTATTTATGTCAACATAATATATATATATATATATATGTAGGTTGGGAATCCAGCAGAGGAAGAATTCATGGCAAGACGGGGTGCTGGGAACAAATTGCCCTATTCTCCCAGGCACAAACTTCACGTACCGGTTCCAAGTGAAGGACCAAATCGGCAGCTACTTCTACTACCCGACCACAGCCATCCACCGGGCGGCAGGCGGGTTCGGCGGCCTCCGTGTCAACAGCCGTCTCCTCATCCCCGTCCCTTACGCCGACCCCGAGGACGACTACACCATCCTCATCGGCGACTGGTACACCGAGAGCCACTCAACCCTAAGGAAGTTCCTCGACATCGGCCGCTCCCTCGGCAGGCCCGACGGAGTCTTGATCAACGGGAAATCGGCGAAAAGCGACGGAAGCGACGAGCCCCTTTTCACCATGAAGCCAGGCAAGATCTACAAGTACCGAATCTGCAATGTGGGGCTCAAGAACTCTCTCAATTTCAGAATACAAGGCCATCCTTTGAAGTTGGTTGAGATGGAAGGCTCTCACACCGTCCAGAACACCTACGAATCCCTCGACGTCCATGTCGGCCAGTGCTTCGCCGTCCTCGTCACCGCCGACAAGGCGCCCAAGGACTATTTGGTCGTCGCTTCCACCCGATTCACCAAGAATGTTCTCACCGGAAAAGGCATAATTCGCTACACCAACGCTAAGCCGGCCCCTCCGTCCCCCGACGTCGTCGAGGCGCCGGTCGGGTGGGCGTGGTCCCTCAACCAGTTCCGGTCCTTCCGGTGGAACCTCACCTCCAGCGCCGCCAGGCCGAACCCTCAGGGGTCGTACCACTACGGCAAGATCAACATCACGCGCACGATCAAGCTGGTGAATTCAGCCGTTAGGGTTCAGGGGAAGCTCCGATACGCCATCAATGGCGTCTCGCATGTGGACCCTTACACTCCGCTGAAGCTGGCGGAGTACTACCAGGTTGCGGACAAGGTTTTCAAGTACGACATCATCTCCGACGAGCCGCCGGCCAATGCCGGAGATAAGATCACGGTGGCTACCAACGTTGTGAACCAGACTTTCCGTAACTTTGTCGAGATTATCTTTGAGAACCACGAGAAGAGCCTCCAGACTTGGCACTTGGACGGCTACTCCTTCTTCGCCGTTGCGTAAGTACTTGTAATAATACTGGAATTTCTGTATGTTTATTAGAAAAAAAAAATTTGCTTCTATATATGCAAATGATATACTCTGGAAGATTTATAACAAATATATAAAATATGAATAATAATGCAGAATCGAACCGGGAAGGTGGAGCCCAGACAAGAGGAGCAGGTACAATCTTCTGGACGCGGTGAGCAGACACACAATTCAGGTGTTTCCGAAGTCATGGGCTGCGATAATGTTGACATTCGACAACGCCGGAATGTGGAATTTAAGGTCGGAGCTGACAGAGAGGCGATACCTCGGACAGCAACTCTACATCAGCGTTCAGTCGCCGGCGAGGTCTCTCCGGGACGAATACAACATGCCCGACAACGCTCTGCTTTGCGGCGTCGTCAAGGATCTCCCATGGCCTCCTCCATACAGCATCTAAATTACTACTATACATAACAAGTTTGCAATTACACCATCATGAACAAGCTAATTTGAGTTACATCCTTTTTCTTTTTCATTGGTTGAGGACGTGGCGAGCTTTGATTCGCAGGCTGGTTCATTTGTTGTTTGTTTGTTTTTTTATTTTTATTTTTATTTTATATATGGTCTGCTTTTATCATGTATCAATGGATGTTGTTGTTGACAATGTACTTTGCCGATTTTACGTTAAAGAGATCAAATTTTGATTAGACCAGGTGATTCAATACCGTCCATTAATATTGTAGCGAATAAAGATTTGTTTACTATTTTTATATTATTATTATTTTCTGAAAAAGAGTTTGTTTACTTTTTAGTTGGAATAATTACACCAAATTAACAAATCACCGTAAATATCGGTTGGCTAATTTATGCTAACTACTCTACTGCGTATATGCAATGCATGTGTATCGGCCTTTTGAAAATCCGAGGCCTGATCATTTTAGAGTCGCAAACTCTGGTTGCTTGTTTAGGGCTAGTTTTCTTTTTCTAATAGAGTTGACCTTTTTAAAATTGTCTTTTGGCAACTTTTCTTGTAGACTTCGTATCTTTTAGGAGATGAACTATCTTTAGTGTGATTTAGAACCTTTCTAAAATTCCAAAATGGAGGATTCTTCGGAAAATTTTTAAAATATTCTTCAGATTAGTCGACTCTTCTCCTTCTCCTGTTGAGCAATTGTGGTCTCTAAATATTATTGTCGACCTAGGCAGTTCTTGGTCGGTTGTCTAATTTGTCTTGGGTTGTTGAATCCTCTTGAATGGTTTTCTTGGCTGATGTCTCCAACCTCAGTCTGACTCGAGTGGACACGTGGACAATAGAGATTGAGGAACAAAATTTGACCCTAACAAACATCATCAACCGCTAGGTTCGAGACAACCTCTAAATCCCTCAACCACTTATGGCGCCATACAGCCACTTTTGCAGCTGCCGATTATTTGGCTTTCATAGTAGAGTCAGAAATGCAAGATTGCTTAAAAACTCCTCCGTATCAGAGCTCTACCATTCAAGATGAACACTGAGCCCAAAGTTGACTTTCTCAAATCCATATTTAATTGAAAATCGGAAACAGTGTAACCGACAGGAGTAAGATCCGACCTTGAGTACACTATAGTTTCATAAATTCCGGTTTTGTCATTTGATTATTATGTGTGATTTTTAGCTGTCGTTGGTTAAAAAGAAAGGATTATTTTCATAAATTCTCTCACGGTGATTTCTCAATTCTAAAAAGAATAATACTAGAGACACCAACTTAAATCTTAACTCTTATATACCAATTGAAGTGATATGTCAGTTGTCATTTTTTTATTAGTAGGTGTTTAAAAAATTGTCACGTCAATTAATAAAAGAGATCGCATCTCTAATAGAAAGATGACAACTTATGCGCCACATCAGTTGGTACACAACAATTAAGATTTGAATTTGTGTCTCTAACATTACTCTTTTAAAAATGCTACCTAATTTTTTAAAACCATTCAAAACATCCCTTGATTTATAGAAAACCGTTTAAAATATTCAGTTTGTCCACTTCCATTTATAACATTGAAAGGTTTTCTGTTGTGGCACCAATTTTCAAACATTATAACTCAATTAAGTTGTAAAAAGAGCAATTATTAAAAAAACAAATTCATAAAGTGTTTTTTTTTTTCTTTGAAATAAATATGTTTCATCGAAGGAAGGCTCGAAAAGTACTCTCACGCAGCTCAAACCCCACTAGGACAAAAATACAGATATGAATGGACGACTGCAAAATCCCACTCTATCAAATCCATTAGTATGGTATTTTAAAAAATTTACTACAGATCCAGAGTATTTTAAACGGTTTTGTAAATTAAATTGAGGGATGTTATGAGAAATGGTGCATATTTTAATGAAAATAATTACAAAAAGAAGCTTTTGATGATTTTCTTGTTAATAATTGCTTCAATTGATTGGTAATGTGTGTTATGTAATATTTTGTAATCTAATGTTTTTGTTTGGCAATTTAGACCACTGGTGTAGTTGACCGAAGTCCAGACACGACAGACTGATAATGTATCCAAAAGAAAATCTATGTACCCGATTTGTCTCTTGTCACCGGCATCGGTGACATGCGATGGCCCTCGATTACTCTTGGTTCCAGCGACATTTGGTAGATGACTTACAATAATCTAGTAAATTACCTTTTTGAACGTCAAGAACAATTTCCATTTATAATATTCAAGCAAAAACATGTTTAGATTTAAATGGGTATTTCAATTCATTCTACTTACTTTTTCTTACTAACCTAAACACTCGCAGGAATGATAAAGTAGGGTATTGAGAAAATTACATAATTTACTTTTAAGAATATATAAGTCTGGACTTTTATTCCTTACTCTTAATAAATATCTTTTTATTAGTGTAATTATTAGACTAAAAAAGTTATGAATCAAAGGTAAAAATTCTGACCCATGAACTTTAAAAAGGTATTTATTAAGATTACCTATAAAACATATATTGTTGATCTTTAACCAGTCTATTTGAGGGACACAAATTCAAAGCTCAAATATTTAGCTCCTTAAGGCATTCCTTCATATTGCTCTTTTAATTAAAATAAATATGTAATTTTTATTGTTAGATTCTTCTTATTTAGTTAACTTACAAAGTTTAATTTTATCTTTCAAACGAGGGAATACTAAATTCTGTAACTTTTTCATCATAAATTTTCAGGTTATTCTCACTATTGTCCCCTTAAATTTAGGGTTATTTCTACCTTTCCCCTTAGACTTTAAAAACTTTCCCTTTTCTTCATGTATGTTAAATAGTCCCACTTAATTACTTGTGTATAAATTTTCATTAAAAATATATAAAAAAGCACCTTTGACCTCACTTTACCTTCTATATATCGATTTAACGGAAATTTCAACAAAGGGAGTTAAGAGTGAATAATCAAAAGTTTAGGAAATAAAGAGAGGATTTTTAAATTTTTGTAATTTTTTTATTTTCGTTTATGTATTTATATATTTGCAACGATTTCAGGGATGCTTGGTCGGTGGAAAGCCGAGAAGGGCATAACCATAAATATGAGAAAATTTAAAAAGTGTCATCTCAATTTTGCCTAAATACAATTTTTATCTCCAAGTTTTAAAATCTAAAAAGTACTCCCCGTGTTTTTGAAAACAAACAAAAAATATCCATTCTTTTAATTTTTCTAGTTTATTTTTTCTAAATGGCCAAATTTTCTTTAAATATCTCATATACCATTTAAATTTATGCTGAAGTATATCAACTTCTAAACACTACTCTTAGATTTAAATTTATGCTGAAGTATATCAACTTCTAAACACTACTCTTAGATTGTAATTTTTTTTTTTTTGAAGTGATTTTATTAAGAAATTTAGAGCACCAATTTATACAAATACCACTCAAAAATAAAAGTTGTATTCAGACAAAATCGAGGAATACTTTTTAAATTTTCTCCGTCAATATAATACCTCCAACATATTTTTCCCATATTTTTTCATAAACCTTAGTACCCCAACTGAAGAAACCATCAGTTTTCTTTTGTCATCTTCTTAACTTCTATGCTTACAAGTCTGACAGATTCTGAAAATCAACTCAAAATAGTTATAAATATATATATATATATATATATATACGTTGGTTGCCATTAGGTTTGTTTATTAATTTCTCAATCGGATGCTTCATTAGATTACTTTTCCTTTAATCTTCACCTTGTATTGTGGTTTTTGGTGCTTAATTAATTTCTTCTTCTTTTCTGACTTATGAACACGAAAGCCGAAACCTTTACAATTATTTTTAATTATATCACTCTGTTGCTTGAATTCCTCAAGCTTTTCATACTTCTGCTTTAGATTGTTTTCCAATTTCCTTTATGCTCATTGATTATGGCCTTATTATACGAATTATGTTTATATGCTTGCTTTGCTGCTCTGATTCAAATTTGATATATTGAATTATCTTATGAGTGATATACATTTATATATATATATATATATATTTCTTTTACATTATAATCCGAAGCCAGCTCTTTTTTTCTTCATTTACCTTGCTTTGTTCCGTTATGATGTCACTAACATTATGAATAGTTGCCTTGACAGAGAAATGGAAGGAAAAGAGAAACTTGATCACTTCAAAGTTGGATCTCTGCCAACTATAATGTACATTCCTGAGTTCATTACGCATAACGAACAAACCAACCTTCTAAATAATGTAGTTTTGCCATCTTTATTATATGGGCATTTTCTGTTTTTTCTTTGTTTGTTTTGTCCCATTGAGTTTAAATTTATTGTCTTCTTATGATACTTGTGTTTTTACTTCCTTTTAGATCAATGGAGCTCCCGTATCGAAGTGGAAATCTTTAAAGAACAGAAGGCTACAGAATTGGGGTCTGTTGACGTTCTTATTGATTAGTTTTCAAGTGTTTAACAGTTTCATAAGCATAAAATCCTTCGATGGAAAACAGGTCCTGACTCTGTTTTTAGATTGTTTTGACTTCTTTCTGACACCTTGTTCCATTTTTACAGGTGGTGTTGTCCATGAAAAAGGTCTTCTATCACAAGATTGTAAGTGGAAAAATACTGTAGCTTATTGTATACTTTTTCTCAAACTCTGCGGTACATCACATAGTTCTTTTTTTTTTTTTTTTTTGTCTTTATTGCGGTTTGAATTCTCCAGGAATTAAAGCTATGCAGTATAATTCAATTTTTTTTTTTCAATGGAAAGAAAAAGATTGAAAAATTATGTGATTCATGTTCAACCAGTTTAATATAAACGAACTAATTACTAATGAAATAACAAGATGGGGTTCAGTTGTTATTTTGTTACAGAATAAAATCTAGTTGAAGTTGAGGCAGCAACGACATACCTACTAGGGAATCACAAAATTTTACTACTAGAGAATAGATTATTTTCTCACCAGGTATAGAGATCGTTCTTTATGTAAGAATTGTAAAGTAATTCCTGAAGAAGTACTAGCCACCCAACATAGGTTAGTGATATTAGATGTGAGCATTAAGCTTTGCTATAAAAGGATTAAGATAAGCCACCTCCCACGAACTCGTTGGTGGCATTTGAAGGGAATAAAGCAATTGGCCTTTAAAGAGAAGTTGTTAGATGAGGCTACTTGGTCATATGTACGTGATGTAAATACTATGTGGGATACCATGGGCAACTGCATTAGAAAAGTGGCAAAGGAGGTACTAGGAGAATCTAAAGGTAAAGGCTCCCCTGGGAAAGAAACCTGATGGTGCAGTGAGGAAGTTCAAAAGGCTATGAGCCAAGAGGGATTTATATAGAGATTTACCAAAGCGTAAGTATGTTGAAACTTTTAATAAGTACAAAGAAGCGAAGAAAGAAGCTAATCGAGCAGTTGGTAAGGCTCGTTCTACTTACTTAGATGAGGTATATAGGAAAACTTGGGACTAGAGAAGGAGAGAAAGATATATATAAACTAACTAAGATAAGAGAAAGGAAGTGTCAGGACCTAAATCAAGTGAGGCGTGTTGAGGATGATACGGACCAAGTTTTGACAAGAGATAAAGACATTAGGGAAAGGTGGAGGAGTTACTTTGAGAAGCTTTATAATGATGATCATGCGATAGAGTTTGACAATCTTAGGTCACAAGAAGAACCTAATGTGATGTATACAAGAGGAATCAGAGTCTCGGAAGTTAAAACTGCACTACGGAAGATGAAAAAGGGGAAGGCATGTGGGCCAGATGATATTCCAATAGAGATTTGGATGGCGTTAGGAGATGTTGGAAATGTGTGGTTCACTAAGCTTTTTAATGAGATACTAAAGAAGAAACATATGCCTGGTGCATGGAGGAAAAGTATTCTTGTCCCCATCTTCAAGAATAAAGGAGATGTGATGAATTGTAACAATTATAGGGGCATAAAGTTAATAAGCCACACTATGAAACTTTGGGGGAGAGTTATCGAAAGGAGATTAAGAGCCACAACTACCATCTCAGGTAACTAATTTGGCTTCATGCCAGGCAGATCAACCACGGAAGCCATTTTTCTTCTTAGGATGCTGATGGAAAGGTACAGAAATGTCAAGACGGACCTACATATGGTCTTTATAGATTTAGAAAAGGCATATGATAGGGTGCCGAGGGAAGTTTTATGGTGGGTGCTAGAAAAGAGAGGAGTGCATGTGAGGTATATTAAGGTAATTAAGGACATGTATGATGGGGTGGTCACGAGTGTGAGAACTGCTGGAGGCTACACGACAGAGTTCCTTATTCAGATTGGCCTTCATCAAGGATCTACTCTTAGTCCTTATCTTTTCACCATCGTGATGGTTTAGCTGACAAGAGAAATCCAAGATAGAGTTCCTTGGTATATGCTTTTTGCGGATGATATAGTTTTAGTTGATGAACATAGGGAAGGAGTTAACTGTAAGTTAGAACTGTGGAGACAGACTCTCGAGATGAAGGGATTTAAGTTAAGTAGGACAAAAAATGAATACATGCATTGTAGGTTTAGTAACTCAAGCAATCAGAGTGATGGAATTTCATTAGATGGTGTGGGGATTGGGGCTTCTAGGAAATTTAGGTACCTTGGGTCTATAGTGCAGCACGAAGGAGATATAGAAGAGGATATTCAACATAGGATTAAGGCATGGTGGGTTAAGTGGAAGAATGCTACGAGAGTTATATGTGACGGCAAGATGCCTATTAAGTTGAAAGGAAAGTTCTATAGGACTGTAATCCGTCCAGCTATGTTATATGGTAGTAAATGTTGGGCCATTAAGAGACTATATATCTAAGATGAGTGTGGTAGAAATGCGTATGTTAAGATGGATGAGTAGCCATACGAGAATGGACCGCATAAGGAATAAAGTTATTTGTAGTAAAGTAGGTGTAGCACCAATAGAAGATAAGGTACGTAAAGGCCGCTTGAGGTTGTTCGGGCATGTCCAACGTAGACTGCTAGAAGCACCAGTTGGTGCTTGGGAGGAGATTCTTATATCTAATACTAGGAGAGGGAGGGGTAGACTAAGAATTACGTGGACCGAAGTCGTTAGGAAAGACATTCTAAATCTAGGCCTTTAGGAAAGTATAATTTCGAACAGAGCCGTGTGGAAAAGTGAAATTCATATAGCTGACCTCAATTAAGTTGGGATTAAGGCTTGTTATTGTTGTTGTTGTAGAATCGACATTTTGCTATAGCTCATACTCAACTCTTGAGAAAGCGTGTTTGCTTGATGCTGAATTAGTATTTGTGTCACAAACTTCTGCTCTAAAGCAGTTTGCTAGATATCATTACTCTTTGTTCCAAAAGACTAATTCCTATGTATAAGGGTCTTTCTTTGTGTCCAGCACAATCAAACAATCCTTGTGATAGAACCCCAGGTAATTCTGGGTAAATCTTTATTGATTGTGACTGATAAAGAAAAGTGAAAGGAAATTACAGAGGGAAATTTGAGGTTCCTCTGCCTCCGTAGACCTAAGCCTGCAATAACAACTTTTCATACCCCTCCTCCCTCGCTTCACTAGCCTTTATATCCCCTTGATAACAGAGAGCAAAACCAACTCATAACCGCACCTGACCTCAAACGTGACCTCATAACAGAATCCTAACAAAAACGCCATGTCATCAAAACTTCTCTAAATTACCCCTCCCCCAAGAGTAGTTTTATCCTTCTTGCTCCTCCTGGAATAAACGAACTTGATAGGAGGGGCTCTAAAAAAACTTATCGAGGATTCTTTGATCGTGCTCAACGCAAAGAAAGTACTTACAATCCTGGAAAGTATTGTTTATTAATAGTTTTTGAAAAAACAATCATTTGGTCGTCCATCATCAAACTGGAGTGGACAAGGTTTTGCACATCTTGGAGGCGCACAGTTGTTTAGATTGAGCAAGTATCTTGGAAGAACTTTGTGAATACAACATTTTTTACTTTCATTAGTCTATTACATCTCTGTGATATGTGATGCGTCTTTTACGTCATTGTGCACTTCTAAAGTGATTTAGTTATGATAGGCATGCCGCCATTTGTTATTTAGAACTTCCTGATATGAAAATTCATCTTCTCTGTCTATTCGACCTATCTATTCATTTATCTATTTCCCAGTGCCGCCTTGGCTAATGAAGGTCACACAGAAGATAAACGAGGAAACAGGACTATTCCCTTCACCAATAAATCATGTTCTTATCAATGAATACCTTCCGAACCAGGGGATCATGGTTAGCACCAAACCTTTATTTTGTGGGCTGTCCTTCATATTTTCTTATAATAGTAATTCAAGCTTGGTTTTATCATGTGAACTTGAGGTATTATTTCCTTTTCTTTTAGCTATATTTGGTTTTGAATTCAATAGTTCACTTGCCTTTCTCTTAACTGATGAGTAAATTTTCTGACCTTTCCTGAACCCTGAGGTTTAAAGAAATATCTATTAGAATTCAGATATTACATATATCAGTAATATCTAAAAGTCAAAACTGCCGTGTGTCAAATCACTAACCTCATGAGGAGCTTAGTCTGAAATATATTTATTCTTTTACCGTCGTGGATTCAAACTAGTATTATCTACTTAACGTTGCTTTAATTTGATTGCTGTAACTTGTACAGCCACATCAGGATGGTCCTGCTTACTTTCCAGTGGTAGCAATTCTATCTCTTGGCTCGCCTGTTGTTATGGACTTCACTCCCCATTCGCGATTGAGAGCATGCACAAGCACACTGACAGAAGATGCCAAGGAAGAGAGATTTTCTTATGGAAATATTGAGAATGAGAAAGACAAATCGTCAGACAACAACAATCACCATCCCTTTTCTGTGCTATTGATGCCTCGGAGTTTATTGATATTTGAAGATTCAGCATATTCAGGTGACTCATATCTGCTTTGTCTAGCAAATGAAAAATTTCATTATTCATCTTTGTTTAACTCAAAGTTTTGACCAAATTTAAATGGCGTCTTAGATTACTTACATGGTATAAAGGACTCGGTGATGCACTGTTTCGACGGGGTAAGAACAATGTTTTGGCTTTAGCCAAAAAGAAAGCAATCTAATGCATGTAACTTTTGAGTTTTGGCTTGAATTTGTTTCTAAAATCAGATGTTTCTGCTGTGTCTAATATTCTTTCGTTCACTCCATTCCAGGTTGTAAATGAAGTTGAAGTTCTAAATCAGAAAGAACCAGATCCTGAACTGTCTCGAGATCTCAAGAGCATCCAACGGACTACCAACCGAATTTCACTTACCTGTCGATTGGTTTTGAAAGTTCACAAGAATTTATTCAAGTTTTAGAGTCTCATTGCTGAGTTACTTGGTCGACGTGGTGTCATTTATTTAGTTCAATGAGAAAGCTGTAAGCAATTAAGCAGTTCGTATAGGCTGTAAGTTTGTTAATTATTATCTCCTTTAGTTGATGGTATATTGACGGTTAGTGTTTGGTTAGTTGATTCTTGTGAAATGTAAAATGGCACCTCTAAAAATATTTATTAACTCGGTTTAAAAGGAAAAAAAAAAAAAGAAAAAAAAAACATTTATTCACTTGATGATTTGAAGTTCTACAAGTAGTTCCTTGATAATGTTTGAGTTGTGTTTTTGTTTCATGCTTTAGGTGGATTCCTTTTCCCCCTGTTGTATACCTGTTCTTTCTTGGTTAATAAAGTTTTGTTGTTTCTTTCTTGATTAATTGCATAAACCACTGCAACTAAACTAAACAAAATCGAATTGAATTGATCAATTTACCTTTTTATATGTTGTGTTTTGGATTTATTCAAAAACTATACATTCGTTTTTTTATCGCATCAAATGTATACTTTTAAATTAGATTTAATATTCAAACTTATACCTTTTCACAACCAACCATTGATTTTAACCTTAGAAATACTTAAAATACCCTAAAATAAAAAAAAATATAGAGAAAAAATTAAAAAACCTTAAACTTATAGTTTTGACCTAAAAAATATACAAAATACCATTGAAATGGATTTTTTTTTTATGTTTTAAATTTTTATTGTTTGTAATATTGGAAAGTTTTAGATTCTTTTTCTCTCTTTTTTTTGCGGATAGTTAGGTAATTTTAAATATTAAAATCAATTATTGACCAAAATAAGGTATAGATTCGTATATTAAATCTAATTTGAAGATATACATTTGATGATATTATAAACCGAAGGTATATATTTTGAATAAGCCTAAAATACATGGTATAAAAATGTAAATATTATATGCCTTTTAATAACTTAGTAGTGTATTGTTCTTATATTTCTACGATTTAATTATAAATTATAACTAGTTAAAAAACGAAAAAAAGGGTTTCAATTTTAAGCTAATCCAACTTTTAAGTTTAAATCAACCAATGAAACCAACTGTGATGAGATGAGACAACTCAGAACCCAACATTTTTTTTTGTAAATGTTTGAGAAGAACTGCCACCTCACTTGGGTCTGCAATTTGTGGAATATGGTTTGGTTGGAGTAGTACCCAGGTACATGAAATAACAACTTGAATTTTAATAACCTGCGAATTTATAATTTACTTAGTTAAACAACTCATTTTTGGTGGAAAATCTGATATCAAAGAGGTGGATTTTGTCCTCATTCAATTCATCGATTCGAATTTTTAATTTGAACTGAAATGTGATTTTATGTAAAAAAATTTAACTGTAATAAAAAAATTAAATATGACTTTTTATGAGAATTGTTTACTGTAAAAAAACTAAAATTAAAATTCAATTCAATAAAATAAACTAAACCTTTATGTTCCTTAAAGCACGTTTTTTCCTATTCATTTCCGAATTAGTTTTCTGGACAGAAAAAATTAGTGACCAAGTGACAGATGACAAATAAGTGAAGCTATTGTAAAAGCCAGACCATGCAAGTTTTATGGGCAATTCGAACACTCTTTTCTTCTCTCCACTATGAATATGAAGATGCTTTAATTTTTGTTGGCATGTCTGATAGTTGTACCTCAGCCGAGTACCAGAGCAGCAGAATTGAAGAAGGCAATGATTGATTTATACGAAAAAAGAGAAGCTTGTATTTACAATATCCGAAAATTTACAATTCTCATCCCTTCCCCAAAACCTTGTGTGGTCTACAATTACTAATTTATCCCTCGCACCATGATCACTCCTGCCACAACCACTAAACCATTCTTCTTCCCTAACCCCCCTGCAAAAATTAAAGCATGTAGGAGGACAAAAATAAATAAATTAAAAATAAATAATTTTGGGAAGAGATGGGCTGGTTGAATGTCAAAATTTGCGGCCCGACTTGCTCCGAAATATACACTCTGTACAAAGTGGAATTCACGCTTCAGCCACTTAGCTTTGACAAGAATTGGTTTAAGTTGTATTCTTCGGTGTACTGCGTCTGATCCCAGAGCTCCTCCAGCCCACCAAGAATGGCTTTTAACCCCTTCTTGTTGCCCGGTAATTTCACATCTCCATCGAATCTGATATCTGATTGCTTCGATACAGAAGTTCCCTGAAAAACCCCAGAAAAAAATAGCCATTGACTTGACAACTTCTAAACAGGGAGGGGAAAAGAAATTGGCAGAATTATAAATTTTGCTCACTGAAATGAAATATTCAGGTCAGCCAACAAGGACGACACTAGTGTATGTGAAAAAATAAAATATTCACATCTAAACTGCCAAGAGCATAAATATTAAAATCACATGTACAAAGAAGACACAATACCTTTCTAGATGTCTCTGCTGATGCAAAGAGATCAAGCAACTGGTCTGTATTCATTGTTTTCATACTAGCATTTTCTGCATTAATGACTGCATTAGCTACTGAGAGTTTAAACCTCTGCAAGCTCATAACTTTCTCTTCCAGAGTGCCGCGCATTATTAGGCGATGGACGTTGACAACTTTTTTCTGACCCAACCTGTGTGCTCTATCCATTGCCTGCAAGCGAATTAACGGGGGACAATCAAATTCTTTATCAACACAAAAAATCAAATTCTTTAACAGCCAAGTAAAACCTTTTCTCCAGAATGATCGAATCAACACATCAAAATAAAGCAAGAAACCATAAATGAGACCAACCAAGGGCACGGAAGTGAGATGGGCCCTTGTCAGACATGATTAATAGAAGAGATGCTGAGAGTTCCAGATAGAGAAAGATGAAGAGAAAGGTTGTAGAAATTTAAATAAAAACAAAAGGCGAGTAATCCTCATCTAGCAACTAGATGACATCTTTGTATTTGATAGTATCAATATATTGCAATGATAAAACCTAGTAAAGTTGAAAATTTTCAACAAAAACAAAAGGCAACAGATAACTCGCGGAAACGCACACTAATCTGCATGAACTTGCTTCGCATTTGGTCACTCAGTTTCATTAATAGTGCGCAAAAGATTTTTGACTTAATGCTACATATGGCATAAAACTCTTGCACCCAGCTTCAGAATGAATTTGTGGACTCTGCTCTGTGGAGATACCAAATTTTGAAAAAATAATTACCTGATGATCTCGCATTGGGTTCCAGTCATGCTCCATAAAAATGAGCGTGTCAGCAGATGTCAGGTTCAACCCAAGGCCACCAACTAGAAACATTAATTAAGTTTAGTAACTCTTTTCGAATGTTATTTCTCTGAATGCCTTTTAGGGAAAAGAGCCTACCATGTGTCGTGAGCAACAAGGCATCTATAGTAGGGTCTGAATTGAAAGCTTTAACAATTTCAAAACGTTTTTCTGTTGCAACTGATCCATCCAATCGCAGATATGTTACGCTGCTTCAAAAATATTGCCAATTAGAGCATATAAATATATCAATAATCAGTAGTTACATAATTGAAGGAGACAGGTAGAAATTCTGAGATGTGAAAAATGCACCGTAGCTCAACTAAATAACAATAGATCGTTTACCCAACAACTTAGAGGATGAAATGGATGGCATCAATATTAAAATATTATGAGATGGAGTCGCTAATATGAATAGAGGGCTGTTTAAGATATTTTCTATCTGAGAATGCATATAGATAATGAATAACAATGAAAATTTCTGCATACCATCAATATTTGAATGAGAATATTGGCAACAATATCCAACAAAAACTAACAGTAAAAAGACCATTCCGGTTTCCAGATTTTGTTTCCATCTCTGGAAAGCATGAAACTCGAGGTTTGTCATAGGTAAGTGAACGAAAGCAATTGAATCCAGACATGTAGGAGCAAACCACAAGCCTGAGCTTTTACTAATCCCTTGCAGTTTTAAGTAAAAATCTGTTGCCTTGGTTACTACTGATATTTTATGTCTGTAAATAATTACACAGATTCTATATGTTAATGAACACAGACCTATCTGTCCCCAATTCAATAAGCCTAGGAATGTGTTTAATTCAACCCCATTGTAGGAACTGATCCTTCTATATTATCCTGTTAATTTGAACTCATAGTTGATAAAGGAGGAGATTTTCAAAAGAAAAATCGCCAATAAAATTATGATGGAATGGCGTAGAAATACTATTTATCATCTTAAATAGTAATAATTGGTTTTATTACAAAAGCAAGGGACTTGCATCCTGTGAAAAAGGGACTCAAAGACCAACCTTTTCATATGGGTCTGAAACAAGTCTCTTTCAATGATGTCCAGAAAGGCCTACACGAGACGCCACAATTGTATGAGAAGTAGTTCAGAGAAAGACCATATAGTTTCATGAATAGTGAAAGTAAAGCAAGCATTACTTTATGCTGAGCAAATATCAACACTCTATGCTGCCCAAAACTCGCAGCAGCTTCAGGACTAGATGCATCAACACCTATTCCACACTCTTCCAGAATCTCCTGAAGTGCGACGAGTTTGGGAGAGTGGCAAGTTTTATGCAACTCTGAGATTATATCAGAACTAGGAGGTTGGTCGGAGAAAAGGCATGAAATTGAATCTGGAATCTTTTCTCCAAGGACAAGCAACGGGTGACTACAAAGTTTTAGCAAATACTGAAGTGCCTGAAACATTAATATGTGAGATATTAGACTAAGATATGTTCAGGAATTAAACGCGAAATTCATATATAAATCAACAACCATCTTACCTGGAAAACATGTGAAGATGCTTTAGTTGAAACACTGCTTCCTTGTCCCGTGTCTCCTGACCCTTTTACCATACTAGAAATTTCTTGTCTCACATGTGAACCAGAAAATTGATCGTACAGTTTTAATTGTACAGGGCTCAGGTCGCAATATCTATCCTGAATGATTTTCTCTGGCAGATCAGACAAGACTTCATCCTTCGTTCTACGAAGAAGGAAAGGCATGACCTATTAAAGAAGTACTTTAGTTAGAAGACGATATTGGTTTCAACATAATCTCCTGTAATTTAGTCTAAAATAACTGATAGTCAGAAAAGCTAAAATAACTCTGCCAAATATTTTTAGTCAAAGAAAAAAGCTTGCAGAAAAAATACTTGCTGGCTTTAAAAATTTAAAATAATTTTCATATTGTTTTTCACGAAAAACCTTCCATTTTTTCCAGAATATTTTGACGGTGGTAAAATAAATCTGTTCTACTTTTTCTGGGGGTATAAATGGGTTAAATAAATTGCTCCTTGCATACTTTTCACGACGTATGAACCAACAACAAAGACAGATTTCTACATACATTTAAAGGACACTTTTCAGTGGAAAGAAATATTGACCTGCTTGTGTTCCTTGCATACTTTTCACGACGTATGAACCAACAACAAAGACAGATTTCTATATACATTTAAAGGACACTTTTCAGTGGAAAGAAATATTGACCTGCTTGTGCAGTGCTTCCATAGCAAGTGCCCCTGCTTCAGCATCCTTTGCGGAACATTTAGGATCTCTGGATGCTAGCAATGGTTTTCCATAAGTGGCTTGGAACTGCTCAGAGTGACATCAAATCAATACCATTTGTTCGGGAAAATGTCGGGAATAAATAAAATGAAGCAAAGAGTGAAAATGGTATCAACAAAAGAAACGATCAATTTACGCTTTTTCCCATGCTATTATTACTCGTCATTTACTATTGTTGTTGTTTTTTTAATCCATTTTTTATTACTATTATCTTTTCTTTTTGGTGGATAAGAGAGAAGACTATCAAAACAATACAAATACAAAACACAGGGACAAACATTGGAAATAAGCTTTAAATTATATTACACCTCATATACACTCTTTTTCGATTATCTACCCCTTTCTTATATATTCTTCTACATATTTTTCAGCAACTTGCCCTTAGTTGGATTGGATGGCATACAATCCAAAGAAGCAAAATACATGAACTTTTGTAGGAGGGAAAGAATAACATACCTGTCTCTCAGTTCCAAGAAACCCCGGCATTAGAAAATCAAAAAGGGACCACAAATCCATAACGTTATTCTGCAACAAAAGGTAAAGCCATTATTCAGGGACACTGGTGTACTTTCAACTTTTTGCTAGTTTTTTATATCTAACAAACCTGGATGGGCGTTCCACTCAGTATCAAGCGGTGCTGAGCTTTCAATTGCTTCACTGCGTGTGTGATTTTAGATTTTGCGTTCTTGATGATATGCCCTTCGTCTAAGATACAATAATTCCAGAGAATCTTTCCGAGATAATCAATGTCTTTACGAACAACATCATATGAGGTTATGATTACATTATGCTTATCAAAATGTTCTCTAAGAGAAATGCGGTCTTGAGCAGAACCAACATATTGCAGAGAAGATATTATTGAAACATCGATATACTTCTCTATCTCAAATGCCCAGTGTCCAACAAGGGTTGATGGGCAAATAATTAAAGATGATGAAAGACCTTCACTGCTATTTGAAGTACAATGCTCTACTACATCAGAAGCCACAATAGCTGATGCTTGAAGTGTTTTACCAAGCCCCATGTCATCACATAATATTCCATGAAGCTTGAATCGTTTCAAGAAAGCCAACCAATTTATACCTTCTTGTTGGTACCTGAACAAATTATAACAGCTTAGAACCACAATGTAAATTGGGTGTCACTATGGGTGTGGGTGCGGGTGGGTGTGTGTATTTGTTTGTTCCTTTCCCACCAAAGAAACACATAGATCAAGAAGGGAGAAATTAAACTCAATTAGCATGAATAACAAGTCTAGAAAATATGAAGAAAAAAAGTTGGTTCTAATTAACTACTAAATACACTGAAGTACTTGACAATTAACCTGAATTTTTTTTTTTATAAGAAACGAGAATTTTATTAATAATGAAAATAAAAACACCAGAGGACAAGTGGTCCTCAAACCAAATAAAACAGGCAAAACCAAAAGAACCTAACAAATAAAATCCACAAAAACTACAACAGGGACAACATGACTGTAACAAAATTAAGTCCCGTCCCCTTAGGAGATCCGAGAATGAAAAAGCCTTGAATTATTTATCTTGTGAAGTCCACAATGCCACCCAGTAAATTATCTTGAAGTTGGAAAGCAACTCTAGGATTTTCGAGGAGAAGGAGTTGGGTATTGCTGATATTTTTGAGAAAGCCAAATTCTCAGCCTCTTTATGGGCTTCGTCAGACAAAGCTTTCAAGGGTTTTCCACTTTCTTTGGTTGTTTGAATTGGAAAGATGTGTAGGAAGATGAATTTTAAGTTATTTATCAGATTGGTTTCTTGTTTTTCTACTGTTTCTTTGTTTCTTGAGGATACTTATCCTCTTGTACCTGCAATTGATAATTATCAATAAAGGTGTTTTTCTTATTAAAAAATAATGGATAAATGAAGTAAATTGTGCTTGTTGATACGTCCTAATAATGTTCATTTGTTAGATAAATGGATGCCTATATCAAAACAAGAATTATTTTTGAAGATTTAGAGAGATGTTTTTGTAGTTTGGGACAGAATTAAATTTTTTGTGGCATTGTGGTTGTCTCATGTTAAAGGCTTCAGTGCTTTTTCCTTTTCAGACTTACTCAGAGGATGGGATTTAGCCCTCCTTCTCTTTTAGTTTGTTCTGGTTTGGTGGACTCCTTGTCCTCTGCTGTACTCTTTTCCTTTATTAATAATACTGTTAAAATATAAAACTATTGTTGGCCCACCTCCTAATAGCTTAAGCTTTTGGGATGGATTGGTAAACTAACATGGTATCAGAGCGGGAGGTCCTGAGTTCAAACCCCCGTAATTGCACTCTTTATTCCCATTTAAAATTGTCATCATGTGTTGGGTCTTTAATATATCTCGGACTTAGATATTTACGTGTTGGGCTTTCCAATTAATTTACCCACACGATTGCCCATTGTCCAGCCCACACATGAGGGGAAGTGTTAAAATATAAAACTATTGTTAGCCCACCTCCTAATAGCTTAAGCTTTTGGGATGGATTGGTAAACTAACAAATACTCTCTCGTTTCTTATAAAAAAAAATAAAAAATAAAAAAAATCAAGAATTATTTAACAGACAATACCTGAGTTGCAAAATTTAGAAACATGTTCAAGAAGTATGTTCTTCTAAGTCTAATTAAAAACATGTAGGCAGTGGCTCTAGATGGAAGCTAGTGAATCACAATATCCAGATAATGATATTGTTGGTTAAAACTACGCAGAAGTGAGCATAAACTTGAACAATAAACATTCCTACACACTCAAATCTAAGCTGTTGCAGACAAAATTGGGACTTGTTACACAGTAATTCTTATTGACAGAATTTACTGATGCTCCTCTCTATGACTTTTAGGAAGACGAGAAATATAGTCTAAAGGTTATGTAGACCTTTTTTTCTCATTTCTTTAGTAGTTGTGTTGAGAGGAGCTCGTCCTCAGGTTTTATACTTCTTCTCTAATGTCCTATTCAATATTCTGTCCTACAAAGATATAATTTCAAATCTGCAAATTTTATTAGAGCTTCTCAATAAACTGTGGCTCTAGTTGTCCAGGAACTGATGCGTACCTCCTCAATGTCACCTTCAACTCAGTGCAGAGTTTGTAATCGTCAATATTGGAGTTGTCAAGTAGTTGCTCAAGAAACTGCGCATCCTCTGCACTCCTAGAGAAACCTTCACTAAGTCCAACAGGTGGGGGAAGGCCTCGTGCCAGTGGAAGAAGAGGTACAAGGGCAGCAAAACTATGTGTTACACTTTTTCTTACAGATTGATCACAATCACTCATACACCTTAGAAGAGGAACAACTAGCAAAGGAGCATACGGAACCAGCTCTCCACCCAAGCCCTGAACAAGCAAACTAATCAGCATGCCAGCACCTTGTCTTGCACTAACGGATGAATTATCTCCTAACATCTGAATAGCATTTTCAATTATAGCTCCCATTGCATGTACTGCCATTGACTGGGCCATCGAAGTGATGCACCGAGAAGAAGCTAGTCTAACAGCTATGTGGGAATGGCGAATGCAATAGAAAAGGCATGGGAGAAGAGTGAGAAGTTTAGGCTTAAGTGCCTCATTTAGCATAGGAGCAATGGAACGTACCACCTGCAGATTAAAAAATGAAAACAAAATGAGACAACAATAGAGTAGGGTCTAAAAGTCATGATCCCTGATTCTAGACTGTAAAAGAAAGAACAAAGGATATCATGCAAACAAAGAACCAAACGTTGACCAAAGGTTACCCTGAAAAAGTAATTTGCAGCTATAAACTAAAAAGACTTCCGCAGTATTTAAACACAGCAAAAACACCCCCAAAAAGATCCATTTCAACTCCATTGGAGGCTAGGTCAAGTCATTGCTGTATTTATGTAAAAGCGCTTCTTAATGATACATAAGGTTTCATTTTTAAAAAAATCCTATTCCAACATAACCTATTCTTAGAACAGTTGACAACAACATTCGTGCTTCTCACTCTCAAAAAAAGGAAAATAAAATTATGACCAGATTTTTATTATAATATTATTATGAAATTATATTAGCATATTGAACAATTTTGGTAGAAATATACTTTTTGAGATTTTTTGACAGTTGAATTATTCTCAATTCTCATATTACCTCCATAGAACGTAATCACATCCATGGAAAACTGGTTTCGACTCAAATACTCCAATACTATTTACTTTTCATTCCATTATGCATCAGTATGCGCACACCAAACACTGCAAACAAATTTTCTTTCAGGAACATGGCTCTAAAGTATAGTAGTTATTAGTCCTTTTTTTTTTAATCAAAACTGTGTTTAATCTTCTAGAACCCAATATCCGATCTTCAAAAACCAAACATCCAAACCTAAAAAAATAAACAATATTGTTGTCGAAAGCCCAAATGTCTTGCTGTACAAACACATCCCCAAGGTCACAACCACAATCGTAGCATAAGAAATAAAAAAACATAAGGCCGGAAATAACCTGGATATTATTTATTAATATTTGCGGATCCAGAACAGAGTCAATAGTTTGTGTAATTTGCTTCTCATCTGGAATCAAAGACTCAGTACTGATAGGCTTAAGAACTTCTGTGAGGCAATCCCATAGTTTAGGAACCTTATCAAATAATGAAGCACCAAACTTCTCACACAGATGCCTCAATGCAAGCTCAGACCCTCGTCTACTAATGAACCCTTCAACCTTGGATCGGTCTTCAGTACCACCAGCCAGCACCTGAACTTTTGATTTCTGCTTACTAGCGGAAGTGCCAAAGGAGTAGAGATCTTGATCATCAATAACCCCCATGGAACCGATAATTGCAGCTTGTGGTGTCTCGCAAGGATCCATGCAAGTTAAACTACAAACATTCTTAATTAACTTATCATTCGGACTCGGCTTGCGGGAAATACAATAAGAAATAAGCTCTGCAAGTGCTTCAGCAGCCTTCTCTTGTAGTTTCTCCTCCTTCAAAATGAATTTAAGAAAGCCAAGAACCAAAATCAATCTTGGCTTGCCTGTCTAATTATTAAAACAACATTAGTATTAAAAATACTACCTGCTCTCTTCTTATTGAAGCCATAAGAGGCAAAATAACTGGATTAAGTCGTGCAGGAAGTGCTGACACCCAAACAACCGCCGCAGCAACTAGGGCAGACACTGAAATATGCAGATTACTCTGCAGATTGTTTGAGGAAGTACAAATAAGCATGTGTGAGACAGTTAGAAATAAATTTAGAAAGCTATTAGTTGCTTCAAAGTTCAAACTAATATCAAAATAGTAAAAGATAAAGAAGGAAAGCTTAAATAAAACTCGCGAGTCGATTCGTAATAAAAGATGTCTACTGAAAGTGCAAAAAAAAAAACTAAAATACACTTCAAAATATATAAAAAATAATAATAAAAAAAGAATAAAAAAGAATAAAAAAGAATAAATGTAAGAACTCTGCAAGAAGTGCATTTCAAAGGAATGGCCCAGTTACATCTCAAAAGTACCTGAACACATTTTAAATATCCTGAAGTCGTCAGAAGTCGTTGTTTTACTGATTCAATGTCATCAAGATTTCCAAGAGAATCATCTCCAGTATTGTCATTGCATAAGGCAGGAACTTTTGATGCAAGATTTATTGCATCATCCGGACTCAAGCTTTCCAAGTCAAATTTAGTAGTTGCCAGGAAGTTATCAAACATACCCGATGAATGAATAGCATGTGATAACTGACTAGCCTCACCACGCATCTTAGAATATGTTCTTGAAAGCTCGGAATACGGAAGAGGTGAATCTTTTGTAGGGAATGTAGGGTCAGCACATGCTAATAAGTCCAACAGCCAATTTTTTAGATGATTGGGAAAACCAGGCAAAGTTCCCTGATTTTCACAACCAGCCCTGCTTTTTATCTCTTTGAACCAAGAGATAAGAATCATAGATGCCACCTGGATAGTATGCAAGTCATTAAAAGGATCACAAAAGACAGAAAAAAGGAGGAGGTTACAAACTTGCAGTTTGCATCAATCTTGAAATAAAAGCAGTACCTGCCGCTGGACACCAGATAAAGAGGTAAGTGCATTTGTTAGTGGATCAACTACATGTTGCATAGACCCTTCTTCCAACTTACATGCAAAAATTCCTAATGCCGTTGCTGTGAGCACCCGAGTACGCGTGACTGACATTTCTGAATCAGCACCAACAATTATCTTAACTGGATTGCTGGAAGCATCTACAACTTTCTCTAGTGGAATAGCACCATTTGTCACTTCCAATCCCATGTTCCTATACGACTCATTTTCGAGATTAGCAGCTCTTCTCTTTGCCGCTGCTCTAAAATGACTCTTTCGGGGAATAGCAACAGGCAAAAACATTTTTGTAGGATCTAAAACAGAGCCATATGGAGTACTTGCAAGCTCTATCCAAGACGACATATACGACCTCGCAACATTTACCAGGTCCTCCTTTGGGGACTATATAATCCACAAAGAAAAGAGTGAGATGACAGTAGCCAAACTAAATTAAGATACAGCATAACAAAAAAAAGATAAATAAAATAATGCATCTTATAGGCATTGTGGAAGCAAGAAGCAAAAGCAAAGGCTTCAATGGGGAGAAGCAAATACAGAAGCTAGTTTTACATGCATTTATATTAGAAGCTTTGGCTAATCAGGAATAATGAGAACATAAAAACCAAGAAATATGTAACTAAGTAGTAAGTATTGACAATTTCAAAGTGGAATTGAATTTATGCAGTTTCGAAGTGGAATTGAATTTGACAGAACATATGGAACAGCCCATCAGCACTAGGTTTCTGTTTCTCATCCAACGTTAGGGACTGAAATCCAGTGACAGCAAAAAAGAACCAACACAGTGCAAAGGTCTTATGGTGTATAGAAAAATAGTAGAAACTAGTTATGTCGTTTAAGAAAACACTGAATAAGATCACAGTGCCCTGGAAGTGAAACCAGAAAAAAGAGAATGAGAAGAGAAAATTCAGAATCCAATAGATGCTGTTCAACCGCAAACAGAAAGAAAACAAAAACCTGAACGAGAAGACTCCAAACCCTCTCGGAACATTGCAAAATTTCCTCATTTGAATCCAGCAGCAAATTCTGAAAGACAATTCTAAGTGTATCACCCAATATAAATGAAGGCCAAAACGAAGAACCAGAAGGCTCAGAAACATTTCTTTTGTATCCAGCTTCAAGCAGCCGCTCCTACAAATAAGAAGTTCAAACAGTTAGAACAAATATTCATCATAGCACATACAAATACAATGTAGCTATACAAAGAAATGTCTAAAGAAATCTCTTGGCCAGAACTACACCCATTGAACTTGTTTCACCAAATAAATTCCTGTATCCATAATCACTGGATTAGAAAAGAGAAATTTACCAAAGTGCGAATAGCTGAATAACGGACTGATGTGATGCTATGCCTCATAAATGGCCATAGACGTGGTGCCAATGTTGATAACATGAAAGGATTTTCCTGTGAATTCACTACTCCAGTATCATCAATACGACCAAGCTCATTTAAGTCAAACTCTTGGCTATCTTTCGATGTCCCCAACATCTTAGGAATCATTTCCTCCTGGGAATAGATTTCTGCCAACAAATTCATCACACTGCAAGCAGATTACAAGATTTTTAAAAGAGATTAAAATATATGATTCATCAGAAAGAAACTGAAAAGTAAACAGTATCACAACCACACAATAGTGTTTTAACCATTCATAAAGAAATAGAGCAAGTACTATAGAGACTGAAGCAAAAATCTTAAGGCAAGCTGCTTGGACAAGCATCACTTGTGAATTCCTCAGAGAGAACACCTGATGCTCCGTTGCCCTCAGGGGGGAAAAAAACACTCACAATGGAAACACTAATCAATAAACAGCAAGAATAAATGAATATATATTATATGTTCTTTGAGAAGGATTGCAACAAAACAAAAACCAAAAAAAAAAAAAAACAACAACAATTTCAAGCTAGAGAGGTTTTGGATTGCCCAATATATTATAAGTCGTCCTCTACAACTTACAAACCCTGATTCAATTAGAATTGTTTACAAGGAAAACCAAAAAAAAAAAAAAAAAGGAATTCTAGAGGATACGTGTTGTCAAGCAAAAATAATAATAATACCTATTGTAAACAACACTTAAAGATGAAAAGAACACACTTTTCACACAATTATGTTAAAGGTATAAATGCTCGAGTTCACATCTAAAAGGTTATGTTAAGAACTATAAATCCTTAAGGTTTCTTGTCCAGAGGGCAGACTAGAATCTATGCAAAAAGAGAATTCCTTCTTGTACTTGGTACACGTAAGGGGAAAAAAAACTATTGAAAGGCTTTCCTTGTTCGCTTAGGTGACTAAGATGGCAAATTGGTTTATTTATTTCCGGCAAACTAGATACATTAGCTCATACATTATAACAATGCCCAATGCAATAGAAACAAAAACATAACAGGAAAGAAAAAACATAATGAACTTAAGAGATAAAATTACCTGCTGGTGGATGGACTTAAATCGTCCAAATCAAGTAGTATGTCCCAAAGTAACATCACTATGGAATTTAACATTTGACCGCGAATACGAACAATAGCAGCTGCTGTTGGTATCAAAGCATCAGCAGCTACTGCTCGAACATCATCATCAGGGTCCTCAAGCCCAGCTTTACATGCAGGGAGAACACGTCCAAGCAACTCATGAAGCATCTCCTAGTTAGAATAAATAAATAAGATTTATTATAAACTATCCAAAAAACAAATAACTCGGCAAAATACACAACTCCAGCATGAGTTACATTCTTGAACACATGTCTTCTATCTTAATCGTTCAGATTATTAACGCACTCTAATTCCTAGAAACTGTTCCTCCAGACCTTTCAACCTATTTGCCAAAAAATTAGCCAATATCTTGTATAAACCAGATACCAAGCTCATCGGTCTAAACTCTTTCACTTTTCGCGTATCTACTTTCTTAGGAATGAGACATAGGAAAGTATGTTTAGATTAACTACCCCATTCCCAAAGAATTCTTGAAACACTTTCATCAAATCTCCTTTCTCCACATCCCAACACTTTTGGTAGAATCCCACCGAAGAACCATCTGGCCCCGGCGATATATCTGTCACAAAAGAACACAAGTTTCTTCACCCACTCCTCAAAGGGCCTTTCAATCCAAGTAGCTCTTTCCTCAACCTATTTGCCAAGACTTTAATACAAAATTGAAGGTACGAGAACTAAACGTCTAACAGAGGGCATACCTCTTGGAGAAAACGACTTGTCGTTTGGGGAAGGTCCATACGACTTGTCGTTTGGTGTGGCGGCTTTGAGTAAACTTGCTGATTGGCTTCGAAAAGGCTGAACGTGAGGTTGTTGTCGTATCCAGGTGCTAGATGTCGTTCCCTTAGCCACCTTCAAGGCCATAATACGATCCTCCACCCTCTGAGGCAATTCAATGATCCAATTCAACCCACTCGGCTAAAGCAGTCGAATCTCCGCCCAACCGTTATTCTCACCACTCCCCACACTCCCAAGGCTCGGCCTCACACGGCATTAGAGAGTCCTGCTACTGAATTCCCTTTTTGCCCCTGCCTTTTATTCCTCCTCACATAAGTAAAATGCACCGGTGGCTTATCAGACTTTTGCCATGATTTTGTAAATACTTGTCACCAAACTTATCGGCCTATAGTCCTTCAACCTCCTTGAGTTGGTCTTTTTTGGGTATAAAACAAAGAAAAGTAAGGTTAATTATATAAGTACTCACACCATTCCCGTAAGATTCCTCACAGACTTTCAACAAATCTCCTTTCACCACACCCTAACAATCTTGAAAAAACCCTGCTAAAAATCCATCTAGTCCCGGTGACTTATCCCTATCACTAGTAAAACACTGGAAGCTTAATTTCCTCTCTTCAAAAGGTCTCTGAAGCCACCTAGCCTCTCTCAAAAGGTCTCTGAAGCCACATAGAACAAAATAGTCTCTCTCAATCTCCTCCTTGTCTTCCAACATAGAATCATCATCCTTTTCTAACCTTGAAATTACACTCTTATTTCTCCTGTTACTTACCAGCTTGTGAAACAATTTTGTGATTGCATCCCATTCCTTCATCCATCTAATTTTCATTTTTTGTTTCCAAGCCATCATCTCTTTAAAAATTATTTCTTCCAGCCTATTCCTTCTTTCCTCCCTCTATCATCCAAAAAAACTCCCCTCTTCGTTGTCCCATCTCTCAATTCTCCCCAAAAGCCCACTTTTTGCTTAATTTGTATCCCCAAAAGACTCCTTATCATCTATACCTATCCAACTGCTTTTGGCTCCAATCTAAACGTGGTCCCAATGCAAGTACATAGACCAAGGTTCCATCTTTGCCAAATATCTCTTATTTTGAAACATATACTTTTCTTCCAGTAGCCTATTCATGTCCTTTACATCTAGACACCATGTAAACTGCTCTATCTGCTGCCAATGGAACCACTTTTGTCCTCCTCATCCTACTTTCAATTACATGCTTTATCATGTCCCACTGATTCTCCAATCTGTTTATATAAATGACCACGGCCTTCTTCCATGACTTAACAAGATCACTATGGTTTCCTTCCAAACAAGGCTTTTTGTGCTATTGTTGTCCTATCTCTTGCTTCTGTGTCTCGCGTAAATTATTTCTCCCTGAGGTCTCTTCGACTCTCCTATCTTGGAAAAAAAAAAAGAAAAAAAGGTTGCCCTCCCCATTAAGCTATTTAGTTAACTCATGAGTATGCTCCATCCAGTCTTCTTGTTGTCCCCTAGAAGTATGATGCACCTCACGGCTCCGCCATTAATCCTTGTGATCTTCAAGTAATCCCCTCTAGCATTCTTAAGAACCTCGATGATAACCACATACTGTGAACCAGTCTTCTTGTTGTCACCAAATCCTGTTTCTTTTTGCCAAATCCTGTTTCTTTTTAAAACCGTCCAACTTTCTTACTTCTGCAAATGAGTTCCATGTTTGACATATCCATGTCGCTGCCTCCAAATAAACGGAGATAGAAAAGTATGAGTTTCTATGAAACTCTTCTAATCTCACTAAACCTCCATCGTTGCTTAAAGAGATTCTATATGATTTCAAACCAATTCTAAATTCATGAAACAACCTATTTAAATCTATTCTTGCCATAATACCAAAGGAAAATCTAAGACAATAGAAATGCAACAAAATCCAAAGTATCACTCAACCAAAATGTTGCATCAATTGAACATGATAAAAAGAACCTACAATTGAATATACTTTCCTCCATTCTAATTACTCCCACATCTGATCCTAGGTTTGAGTTTTCTTGATATTGAAAACAATACTATAGAAAAGAGGCAAAGGAATCCTCTAGAGAAGCAAAAACAAAAAAATTGACAAAGTAAACACTATCAGTCCAAAAATCTTTCCTATTCAGAACAATCAAAGAAAAGGAAAGGCTTTATTAATAGAAGCCCATGACCAAGCTAAGTATTTAGTTCTTTCAAAAAGAGTGTGTCCAGCTCATTATCATTCCACTCCATCCAAATAACCGATAGCTTGGCCAATACCACACCTATTCACAAAACCCTAGCCATTTTATTGAAGCCAAAGCTACATGACCTTTCAACCCGAAAAGAACTGCAATTTTTTTTTTCTTTTGCTGCTGAGCAAATAACTGCATTTGGTAGTGATAGTGTCTGTTTCTTTGTCACCTTTGTGGCACATTTTGTGACAATATCAGTATTAACTATATGACATGCATTGCAGGCGGCCAGACATTTATTAAATAGATTTACTGCTTGAAGCAAAGGTTCTTCATGGTCTATGCTAAAGCTCCAGCCAGCTATTTATTACTTAAAAGTTTTATGGATTTGGCAATAGCAAGAAAGCTGGTCTGGTTCTTTTTTTTTTCAGTTGGGGGGGGGGGGGGGGGGGGGGGGGGGGGGGGGGGTTCAAAATATGGCATATTATTCAAATAAGCTGGAATGCCATGTTCACTGTTGTATTCTCTGTTAAAAAATTGCTTTACAAAACATATATCTATAAAAAATAAAAATAAAAAAGATTCGCAAAGTCCAGATTTTTCGTAAGTGGCAAATCTGAAACCAAGGAGAGTCAAAAACAGCTGTGCCAATCTTTTTTCCTAAACAAGAAACTTTGTATTAATGAGGAAGAGACATCCTCAAGCTTTTAAAATAATAATAATAATAATACTAAACATACATATATATTGAGAAGGGCTACAAAAAAGCTGGTTAGATGAGAAAAAAGCACACTGCTGAACGTGACTATCTTGACTAACTTTGATATGCAGACGTCGCAATGATAGGAGATAAAGTAAACAAGAAAATAGCACAAACCATGATAACCAAACAAGTAAAAACCAAGAATGATTATAACATGAAATCCAGCATATCCGAATTGTCCTAAATTCTGGTAATAAATAATATTTACCTGCCGCACAGCTACCAAATACTTGATACCTAACAGGCTTCCATGGCGAATTTCCCATTCTGGTCTAAACTGAACATAATGAAGTATCAGAAGCATAACAAACAAAACAAAAAAGAAACAACAAAAAAGAGGGAAAACAAGAATCAACAAGATCAGTACAACCTGTAGCACTTAAAAGAACTAAAAGCATGTGCTTACATGAAATTTACCTGCATCTCCAGCAAGATATTCAATGTTTCATGAACTAAGGTGGAGTGCATGTACTTGAACACAACACTTAATGCCTGTGCACAGGTTTCCCGTACAGGGGCAACAACCTGATCAGATACATAATCTCCAAAACTGCAATCAATTGAAACGAAGGTGAGATTTATTCATCATCTAGGCACGATTATAGAAAATTCCAACCAGGAGTACGCAGAAAATAAATAGTTTTAACTTATAACGTTCGAAATCAGCTAGGGATGCAAAAATAAATAGTTGTAATATTTGAAATCAGCTAGGGATGCAAAAATAAATACCTGTAATATTTGAAATCAGCTAGGGATGCAATCAAAATAGTATAAAGACAGAGACAGACAAGAAAAGAATTACCGGTCTAGTGACAAAACACACAGGAAACGAATTGCACAATCTTGAAGAAATTGGCAATTCTTAAGCCAAGAATGCCTGGCCAATTTAATCCAGTTCATCATTTCACCATTTTCAGAAAGACTTTTCATCACATCTGTTTCCTTCATGCTGGAGGAATCCTTGAGGGTAGTTGTTTCAGCTACTTCTGTACTTGGATACAATGTAGTATCAATGTAAGAATCTGGCTCCGCCTTAATGGAACCAACGTTTGAACACTCACTGATTGGCTCAGAAACCAAATCCCACCTAACATCTTCAACCTTTATGCTAGTGTCAGATTTAGAATCCTTACTAGGAAAGATCGTTGTATACATCAATGGAGATGACACGTCCTCAAACTTTGGCCTTTTCAGGTTTGGTTCAGTCTCATCGATTGAACCTTGAACATTCAAATCTATTTCTCTCTCTCTCTTCATTGTATGTGATGTTAATTCATCTTCTAATTGGACAAATGGTGAGCCATCCAAACTCATGTCAGGCATAAATACCCCAGCAGAAGCACCTTGATATGTTAAAATTTCTCTTAGTGCCATCACACTACCATGTCGCACCTCCCAAACTGTTAAATGGCAGACAATATTTTTTCAGAAGATAAATAAAGAAAATAGATACCATGACAACAGTAAAGTTAATAAACTAATATCAATGATAAGACTACCAATAACAATAGTCAATAAGATAATGATCATAAAAACCACAACCCCCTCAAAAGAGAGAGAGAGAGAGAGAGAGAGAGAGGTATACCCATTGTAATTGTAATAATCATAACATAATCAGAGCCACAGTCGTAGTCTTAAACAACAATCATAAGCAGTGGGCTTACCAGGATCAAACATATCAATAAGTAGTTGCTCAACAAAACTATGGAAAGGCCACCACCCATCTCTGTCATGTTCAAAGTTGTCTTCATCATCATTAACATCCACAGATGCCTACACAAAGAATCAACATGAAAATGAAAATTTTTGTGCTCTTACATAGAGAAGTCAAGAGAGATTTTTTCCAATCATGCTCTCTAACCCAACAGATGCAATTAGACAGTTCCATATACCACAATACAAAAGCAATAACCCCAGAAGTTCCATCAATATTTTTGCAGTGCCTCCAAGTGAAGAAGCAGAAAAGTTTGATGTCAGACCAAATAACAGAGATTTTTTTTATAAAAAAAAGGAAATTATTAACGCGCATACCTTATTAGACCCTAATGGCTCGGCAGACGAACCCTTTAGCAGTGCCAAATTTTGTACACCTGGTACTCTTGAATCCCCATCCTCACACCAACCTTTCATTTGGTCTTTTGAACTTATTTTAGCTTTTCGTTTTAAAAGATTCCTTTCTCTAGGACTCGGCCTTCTTGACATTACACTCGGAACCATATCTGCAACTAGCCGTTGAATATTATGTTGTACATAAACTCTTTGATTTATCCCATTCCCATGGGAGTTATGCATAATGAGGTCTTCATCTCTTATCATATCATTTACATCCATAAACTGCTCACATACATCCAACCCTGCAAAAAATAAAAATGAGCTTTTGACTTGCGCTAAAGACCAAATATAGTGAAGGATAAGAAGTAATTATTACCAAAGATCATTATAATCTCACAAACCAATTTCACCACTGAAAAGACGAAAACCACAAGGATTCACTAAAGATGAGACACAAACCAGAAATCAAATAAGAAGCAAAACAAGATGTAGAAATCGAATAAAAAGCAAAACAAGACGTTTGTAGATGCATCATTACACAGATCCAGGGAGGAAAGTCTACCCAAATCATGGTTCAAAAACCCAAACAGAAATCTTTAAGGCTGGAAATTAGCAAAGTTGTATTCCTCTTTGGCCAAATACTTTTATATAATTTCTGCGACAAATGACAACAATTTTGGTATAGAGTATCAAGGTCCTCAAAATGGGTTTTATTCTATAGAAAACCTCATTTTAGCTAGACATTTCGTTTCACCACAATATTCATCAATCCATAGAGACATTAAACTACAAACCTAAACGCCGTCGAAGATTTTGTTTTTGACGAGCCAACCTCTCCCTTGGGTTCTTCGTGTTATCATTCGCAACATCGTACTCCTGAGTTCAAAATTGATATGAGAAGGACTAAATTTCATACAAACGTAACGAAGGTTAAATAAACAAAACTATTTTTCCTCTTTCTCAAAAGAGTTAATAAATTTGGAAATTGGAGTACAACTATGGGGAAGAAAAAATTGTTCCATACACATCCTTTTCAAAAAGGATCAGGAACGGTGACATTTTATTTTTTGGAGCACCACTATCAATACAGAATACCATTTACTAATAAAAGAGAAGGCATAAATGTAATACCATGATGCAATAGGCCAAGCACATTACCTAGTCAAAATAGTACCACAACTCAGCACAATTCCTCTCTAGATGTACTTACTGTCAACCTCATTGTTCTCCCATCTCTTTAACATAAAAGAAAGCCACTATAGCTTTATATATATATATATATAGAGCCACTATAGCTTATTAATGGTCTGGGATACACAATATCACATCCCTATCCATAAAGATCCACTAAGAGTCTAAGACTAAACAAGCATAATTTTCCCGGATCCATACTTTTTCAACAAGAAACAAAAGTTTTCTTAAAAAAGCAAGATACTTTTTCAACAAGAAACAAAAGTTTTCTTAAAAAAGCAAGATAATGAAACTAACAGAGGATGAGATGTGAGATATGCAGATTGCAGAGCTATCACAACAAGGCATGTTTAGTACATTGTATTAGCGCTCTGTATTGCATTATTTATAGATAATATAGTGTTTGACAACATTTATAGATCATATAATTAATACAAAATTCAAACCTAATACAGTACATAAAACGATATTTAATACGAGAAAAAAAATTGTATTAGATCATATTGTATAATCTAAAATTTTAACTTGAATACCATATTTTAAAAAAAAAAAAAAATCATATAAAATAGTTTGAAACTATCAAAGCCCAAGTGACGAGGTTGTGCGCCGGATCGGTGTCAAAGTCAGTTTTTGGTGACCTGATACCATGCCAGGCTCAAGTTTTGGGGCTGGTGTTGGGTTTTGGGGCAAGTCCCTAGATATCTGATTCTTCCATTAAGATAACAAGTATCTTTTTGTTTCTTGGTAAAAAGCATCACTTCATTGAAAATCAAAAAGGATAACAGTTCTACAACCAGAGGACTCACAGGACAACGAGTCCTCTGGAAGACTCGAAACATAAAACATACAAAAATACATCTAAACTAACACACATAGACATTACAAAATCAAATCCCATTTAATAAATCCAAAAAAGAGAACATCAAAATCCTTAGTTTGATTAGCCAACACTTAGAACCAAACATTTTCCACGAGTATAAGACCAACAATTAAGAAAATACTCAAGTAAACCTGCTTCTAATAGAATGACTACATTTTTATGGACGTGTATGGTGATTTCAACTCTTTAGATAATTTGGATGGAGAGAGAGAAATTTTAGAAGATAAGGAACTAGAGGTGAAGGATTTTTTTAAGAAGGCAAAATTTTCAGCTTTTTGTGGACGTCAACAGATGAAGCTTTTAAGACTTTCCATTTTCCTTTATTGTTTAAACTCGAAGGATGTAATTGGGTACAAGTTTTTCTGATTCTCAATTTCAGCTTTTTTCAGTTTTTCTTTCCTTTCCTTTTCTGCTTGTTTAGAGAATAGTAGAATACCTTGTCCTCTTTCCTTTTATTCCATTTAACTATCAACAAAAGTAAGTTTTCCAAGCAAAAATAAAACTAACTTGGCCTACTCATTTCCCCAATCTTCTTCTAAAAGAATATTCACGAGAGGGAGAATTTAAAATCTCCATAACAGTAATGAATTCAGTCATTGGACAAGTGCAGAACCACAAAGTGAAGTTCTAAATCTATCAGGAAAAAAAAAATCTAATAAGAGTAACTTAAAAGTAGTCCTCCCTTCTTGTTCTCTTCAATAAAGTTTTTTTCCTTATCAATAAACGAATTAAATAGATGGATAAAAGAAAATAAAAAATTAACGATTTAACATGATGTGCAAACTATCTACTTTGTGTGTGTTGCAAAAGTACTTATCAAACTTACTTGTCCTCCAGATGCCAACAGAGCACCAAACTCCAGCACTTTGTTAATATTAAAGCTGTTGTACACAAAAACTAATAATCATAAGTAAATGATAATAACAATACCAACAATTCAAAAGAGACTTATTGACAAGAAACATTGAAAAGCATGTCACAAGAAAATTACATGTAATACAGACCTTCTAAAAGATACGCCCGCAACATTAGAATGAAAATCAGGCAATGCGAGCAAATCTTCAGATATTCCAAACTCTGACAATTTCGATTGGAAAGAAGAAAGAAGTTCAGTCAAAGACATGTGCTTAACATTCTCTGCTATAGCCCCGATTGCACGAGCCGCAGCTACCCGTGTATCCCAGTTTTTGCTACAAAGATACTGCAAAACCTAATTTCGAAAACGTAAATTATTATCAAGACAAACAATAATATAAAACAAATTTCCTTTTGGTTCATATTGATAAATTTAGTTCTTCATCACAATAATCCGAGGAGGAAAATCTCTATCTAGTCTAGACCAGACCTAAAAAAACCGAAATTGACAACAATTCAACGCATAATTCGAAACTAGAGAAATGGATAGTTGAAATTTCCTATTTAATTTGATACCTTCTTCAATAGAGAGGTCAAATCCTGCGGATGCAATTTAGCGATTTCCCCAATCTGCCGAGCAGCCGTGAACCTCGTCGACTGGGACGAACCAGCTTTTGCATTTTCGTTAAGGAAAATTATTAAAACAAAAAAAATCCAAAAAATTTTCAAAACTCCAGAAATGGAATTGAAAAGGATACTGTCCAAGAGAGTGAGGAGACGGTGAAGACGAGAGGATTGTTGTGCCATAATCGGTCATCCCACCGCTTTTATTCAACAAAAACCTGAAAGTTGAAACCTTCTCTATAGCTTCTTCTTGAAAATCTTGAAAATCCTGTTAAGCCTCTTCTTCTTCTTCTTGAAAATCCTGTTAAGCCCTAGAATGGAATCCATGAAAGGGGCAGTCAGAGGAACCTCGATGCGGGAAAAAGGCAATCGACAAGAAATGGAGAAGAAAAAGGAAGCTAGGGTTTCGAGGAAGAGGCAGATCCAGAGAGCATTCAGCTGAAAATGGAGAAGAAATGAAGAAGAAAAGGACGAACTCACCGGAGAAGCGAAGATTGATTTTTACACAATGCCTTCGAACGAAACGAAACGCTAGGTTTTCGCCTTGAGAGAGAGCTTTCTATAATGCTTCTTCTTCGTTTTCTTCTTTCCCTGTTCACAGACTTTGGCTACGATTTTTCCTCCTCCTCCTCCCTCTTATTTCATATTTATATTTATATTTACGTACGTTATTATTTCATTTTAAATCTGTTTTATTTTTATAAAAGAAAAAGAATTTTAAATCCAAGTTTAATTTATATTTACTCACTTTATTGGCTAAAAAAATAAAAATAAAAAAATTACGCACTTCCGTAAATGATTTCAGGACACACTTTACCAAATATACCCCTCTTTTAGGGGTCTATGTTTCCCCGTTCCTCTTGGCAGCCATTCTTTCCACGTATAGCGAGGCATTTGGATTTGGATTTTTGGGTTCTGATTATTGACATTGTGCTTAAAAAAAAAAACTCTCTGACCAGTCAAATTTTTTAAAATACCATAACTACCCTCAATAGATTTTAAAACTTAATCAAATAGGCCGTTTGATTTTAAGACTTAAACTCAGTGATTTTAATTTTGATCTCGCACGAAAAAATTTAAATAAAAAAATTCATACTAATAAGTTTTTTTATAAAATTTAAATTCAAAATTAAAATTACTTACTTTAAGTGTGAACCAAACAGCCAATAAAAATGAAATGTCGTCAGAAACCATTTTTCAGCAAGGGAATAAAAACAAACATTATTTGTACGGAAACACACATTTTTCAGCAAAGTTGGAAGTTGCCATTTAGGGGAAAAAAGATCTATCGTTTTTGTCGAATTTTTTAGAATAGCTTTTTAGAGTTTTTGTATAAATTTGAGTGTGTTCAGTTAAAAGGAAAGATGCATTTGCCATATTTAAGTTAAAAAGACTATTTTGCCACAAATAAGAAATTATTAGCAATAATAACAAAAACAATATAATAATTAGACAAATAACTATTATTTATCATTTTTAACTCTCATTTTCTCCAACTAAACAACACAAAAGGATTATTATAATCCTTTGTGTCCTTCATAATCCTCACCCCGAGATAAAAAAATGAAAAGTTCTATTCCAATAAAATACAGACATGTTTATGTAATCATTCAATGAAAGGATTGTTTTTTTTCTTTTTTCTTTTTTCTTTTTTTTAAGAAAATTTTATTTTGGTATTCTCTGTTATATCAAAATTTAAATTTGGTACATTCTATTTTTAAAAATTTCATGCTCGTACCTAACCTTTTAGAAAATATTTTTTAGTATGCTAGAGCTATTTTTTGAGATACAAAAAGACAAAATTACTCTTATTGTAAAAAATCATCTGTTGACTAGAATTTTAAAGGAAAAAAAGATTTTAAAACAAGATTTTGAAGAGATTAATTTTTAAAAAAAGGATTATGCTCTACAAGTATAATAATTTTTAAAATATTTTCTTCTTCAAAATTCTGATCAATAGATGAACTTTTACTATAAGAACAATTTTATCTTTTTGTGGCCCAAAAAATAGCTCCAAAGTACCAAATAAATATTTTTTTTAAAAAGCATGGTACCGACATGAAATTTTAAAAAATAAAGAGAACCAAACTTAAATTTCAATATAACAGATAATACAAAATGAAAATTTTCCCTTTTTTTATTATCTTCTGGATTTCTAGATAACTGAAGAAACTAATGTTTCCAAAAATAGCCAAACTTGTTCAAGAACTATTTTGACATTCAAAAGCATTGAACCCAATTCGGTTACTTCGATCTATTTGTGTTTTTCCTAACCCTATCCAAAAGAAACGAAGTAAAAATAGTAACTGATAACTGATTATTTTATATTTCAACGGTCAAGTATTCAAAGGCTATAGAGTTAAAAGTTGTACAAACATATGATTGCAGGCTTAACTTAGTGATAATTTCATAATTACCTCTAATATTGAGGTTTAAGTTCAAATATTCCAATTACGGAGTTCAAAACAAAAATATATGACGTTTGGTTTATGAATTAGAACTATTTTCGATTTACGTGTGTTTTTTTTTAAAAAAAATACTGTACCGAACCACGAACCATAATTCAAATCAGGAGACGAATCCCCCGACCAAACAACCCAAGTTCAGTGTAGTACGGTGGCAGCAAAATTCAAATAACGGTTAAAGGGTTTTTTTTTCCCTTAAAACAAGCACTTTGGCAGCAAAATTTATCGTCCAAGTCGTTATGCTTCCAATGTGACAATCCAAAGCCCAATCGCCATGCTTATTGTAAAGTTCAAATGTAACTCAATAAAAAAATTTGGAAATTACAGCCCGCCAAAAATTTCAAATTCGACGCCTATTGGTAAATGATCACTTGGGTGACTAAAGTTCGGTAATCCGCCGACATCAGACGGGTCAAATTCTGGAAGCTCAAGCAAACTCACTGGTTTGATGCTTTCAGAAGGGGAAAAGAATATGTAGTCTAGTGTATCAGTAAAGTCAGGCGTGCAGTTTGTGAATTTTGGTTCTCCACTTGTGGAACCGTAGGCGGTGCGTAAAGGAATCGGAGCATCTTCTGAACCTTCCGCAACTGTTCCCGAGGAAGCCAACGGATTGCCTGAGATAAGGCACTCGTAAACCTGAAATGCTTGGAGTGTCAAAACTATTACAAGAATGCCAATGCACGGTTTTAGTCTCGGTTTACACATGGTTCTGCACTAAGCAACTGCAAAGATAGTATTATAGGTGTTCATGAGAGCTTTTTCCTTTTTCTTTCCACCTAGAAAAACATTTATGACGGAATTAAAAAAGATTTAGTTCTTGTTTAAGTGATAATGGCTTAAAGATACTTGCAAAGACACCCCTAAGATTAAGTTCAAGTTCAAGTGATGATGTAAACTCGGTCAGTGTTAATATTTTTTGGCTTCCCTTGGTTGTTCGTTTGAGATGTGTATTACAGGAATAAATTCAACACGTTAATTTCAATTTCATAATTTTGATATTATTTGAAGCCTATGGGGAGCAGATAATATCAAGAAACAACTAGGACTAGAAAAGGAAAAAAAAAAAAAAAAAAAAAAAAAAAAAAAAAAGAAAAAAAAAAAAAAAAAAAAAAAAAAAAAAAAAAAAAAAAAGTTGCTCATTGCGCCAAAGAGAAAAATAGTGGATAAAGAACTTAAAAGATGCTGTTGTACTGAGGCAGGACAAAATGTGGCTACCGAGACAATTTTGAAAATCTTTCGCTGATAAACACCAAAATGTTCCATTTTTATCTGTTTTAAGTGCACAATAATCAAAACTCACAAAAAAAAAGAGAGAAAGAAATAGTAGCCGAGACATAAAAAACCAAGATTCATATCCATCAAAAAGGATTGTTTCATGAAAATTGGCCAACACTATTTCAAAACCGTTCAAGCTTAGCGAGAAGATTTTGGACTGCTTTTGGTCTTCAGATAAGAAGACACAAGGCAATTATATAAAGCAATGGAAAAACTATAAGCATGGCATTGACGAGAAACAGAGAAAATAATGCTTGGCACTTACGAACCTTGTCCCCTGGGGTTGAATTGAAATCACCAGCCACGATCAGTGAAGATGCACACTCAAATCTGTCGGATACTAGCGCTTTAAATTGAGCTAAGCGCGATAGAAGATATTTAGCTTGTGCAAGCTTGACATCAGCCCATTCTGGATCCCTATAACAAAGATATTACTTTCCTTCGTTTCTACCACTATACTACGTAGTCCATATATAGGCCAAAGTAAATAAATACAGCAACTTCTTGATAACAGCGGGCAATAATATTGAGATCACTTACCAGTAAATGTGCGTGTTGGCCACGATAACAATATGATTATGATAGTCCTTAAGTTTAAATGCGCCCATAATACCAACGCAATCACGTTTTAGTCTCACACGAGGATCAATTGGATCTCCTCGATCTTGGGGAACTTTTTGCATTGAACCTGAAACATCTATTACTAGTGCACATAATGCTTCTTTCTTATGAATTTTCATTTCCTTCATAATGTGGAACATTTGCATAGCACCACAATTTTTTTTTGTTTTTTTGGAAAATCATAACATTGTAATTTTGCTTAGGAGGAAAAAAATTGTTTTTTCTTTTTGTCTAATTTAAAGTTCATCAAAACTTGAGTTTGCCATTTGGAAATTTTAATTTCAAGACAAAGCATCAAAATATATATAGACACACACACACACAAATTGAAGAGCAAGGTGGGAGAAAAACTTTACCACTTTTTATTTTGGCATCTTTATTTTTACTATCTTGCTCATCATTTTGTATATCATCAGATAATACAGTTCCATGTTGAATTGAGTTCACAAGATCATTGTAGTCTATAGTTTCCTGTAAGATCAACTCTGCACTGAATGAAAAGCAGAACAAATAATTAAGCAAAAGCAACAGTGAGATTCAAATATGATAAGCAAGAGATATTATAATCCTTCATTGAGTATCTTGATACGTTCCGCATTGAAACAAAAGAAAAGTCTACGTACCTATCGTGCTTAAAAAAAATTCCACATCCATCACGCTTCTGCCCAGTTCTCTGAATATAAATACTAGAATAGCCACAGCTTTCCATATTTCCTTTGTAAAAACTCTCATACTCATCAACTTCCTGGCACACAAAAATACGACAAGTTATGTTTACAACCACAGTACAGGAGTACAAGATAAACTAAGCATAGTAAAAAGAAATGAGATGCTATGCATGAAACATATCTTCTACAGGAGGGGATAAATGAGAGACCTGAAGGCAGAGAAAGTCAGCCCCAAGATTCTTGAGAACAGCTAAAACCGCCTTTGAACGAGCCTTCCATCTAGAACAAGCAATAATACTAGTTATAATCTTAATTATTGATACAGACGTCGTGAGACTTAACAATTATACTCTATAAATAGCATACTATTCTAATAAGATCTGAATTTTCTTATAATTTTGAAAAAAACTCAAAACATATGACTCACTATGAAAATTACAAACTGATTTTCACCACTGATTTCTTTCTCCTTTTCCCTTTCTCTAATCAGGTCTTAGAGCTTGGGACTTGTTAATCTCAGTCAAAGACCAAGATTTTCCTGCTTTAGCAATTTAACTATTAATGTCTGAAAACTAAGTCTAGTGCTCCTTTGAAGTCACTGCAATCTGTGATGTAATCCTTTTAAGAACAACGCCAATATATGTATATATGTTAAAAAATAAAAGTCGACACCACTTAGTCAGCAGAATTTAATTTTCCCATAACATATAGTAGAGCTAGACAGCCAGATATATTAGCAAAAATCCTCACAAGTCTGATGAATTAAACACGAAAACAAATCACCTCGGTCATCGGAGCAACAACAAAACCAAAAAGTAAACTAGTATAGTATCACATACTTGAGACAAGCAGATGGCGAATGAGGAAAATTGGAGCTCTTCACATAGACCTACAAAAATAAAAAGAGAGTTACCACAAGTAAGATCTAGAGTTGTATGACATCAAATTATGATACCAAACGACATAATCGTAATGGGGCTTTAGTGCTTGAAATTCAATTTGCATGCCCTCGTTAGACAAATGAAAACTGGTATAAGATGAAAGTTGAGAACTTGAACTTATAGATTAAGATTCCCAATAAAGGGAAAATTAGTCAAATGGACGTTTTTTCGCCACCTTTTTCAATAAATCGCTGGACTTTTTATTTTTTAGACAAATGGCCGATCTGTTTTTTAGGGAATGGTCGTTTTTCTATAGTAGTTAATCAATGATAAACCTGTTTATCATCAATTTACCAAAGGTTTATCACAGATAAACCGGTAATTTATTGATTGAAAATTAAAATTGATTAATTATTAATTGATACCGGTTATATCAATTGATTAGCCGGTGATGAACACCAAGTTAATCATTGATAAACTAAATTTAATCAAAAAAAGGGTCATTTCTCTAATTTTACGAAACTTCAGCCATGTACTAAACAAAACCCTACAAAATGGGCATTGACTCCAAGTGTAAGGAGGGAAAAAAAATTTCAAACAAACACATTACTAGATTCAAGTATAAATACTCACAAACTGATAAGAATGTGGCTAACACATAGCAAATATACAACAACCAAACAAAATTTAGCATGCATCCATTTACTACTTTAAATCAAAAATAGTATACAATACAAAGAAGTTATTTGGAACTTAAAATAATATATATATATATATATATTGTAAATATAATATAGTTAACATACCTGAGCCAAAATGTTATAGGAAACAAGCCGAAACCTGGCACCTAAATTGAAAAGGCTTTAAAATACAAAGACTGCTTTCCTTCTTCTTCTACTTTTTTTAAAAAAAAAAATCAACATACAAATAGAAAATACAGTGAAGAGAGAACGAGAGAGAGAGAGAAATACCTTGAGGTTCAGTTTCTTCTAAGGAAACGAATTTAGGGTGATGTGGGGTAGCTGGAGTTGTGCTCATTCTGCAGAAAACCGATCTGCGGAAAAAAAAAAAAAAAAAAAAAAAAAAAGAGAGAGAGAGAGAATAGATTAAAAAAAATCAACATACAAATAGAAAATACAGTGAAGAGAGAACGAGAGAGAGAGAGAAATACCTTGAGGTTCAGTTTCTTCTAAGGAAACGAATTTAGGGTGATGTGGGGTAGCTGGAGTTGTGCTCATTCTGCAGAAAACCGATCTGCGGAAAAAAAAAAAAAAAAAAAAAAAAAAAGAGAGAGAGAGAGAATAGATAAAAATTATGAGTTATTTGAATCAAAGGCTTTAGTTTTGATATTCATGAAGACGAAGAAAAAAGAAAAAAGGAAAAAGAGAGAACCTTGTGACGGAGGGAATGGGAAGGCGGGGGAGCGCAGGCAGAGCCTTCAACTTTTGCATATCTTATTGAGTTTTTTGATGGTTGATTTTCACGCCTTTCTCCGTCGTCTCTCTTTTTTCTTTGGGTTTTTAACGCTTTTGCGCTTTTATTTTTTCGGGTTTTAATACCGTAAACCCGAAGTTTTAGGACTTGTTCTTTTGAGTGAAAAATTCAAAAAAAATGCAACTCGAGTTATAACTTTATTCGAGTTCATATTCTTTTAAATTTAAACTTGAGTTTAAACTCGAATTCAAACTCGAGTTTATGACTAAAACTCGAATTCAAGTTTCCCCTTCAACTCGAGTTCAGAAACTCGAACTCAAAGTTTTAGGGCTTGTTCTTTTGAGTGAAAAATTTAAAAAAAATACAACTTGAGTTATAATTTTATTCGAGTTCATATTTTTTTAAGTTTAAACTCGAATTCAAACTCGAGTTTATGACTAAAACTCGAATTCAAGTTTCCCCTTCAACTCGAGTTCAGAAACTCGAACTCAAATTAATGAACAGTATTTTTTATATTCTTAAAAATGCTATAACTTTTTCGTTTTAAATCTGATTGAGATGATTTTTTTTCCTATGCGTTGACAACGAAAAGACGAATAAAACCCGACCCATATACACTATTAAAATCTTTCATCAGCATTGAGTTTTTATTAAAATATTATTTAAATACAAATTCAAGTTTTGACTCACTCAAACATAAACTCAAAAAGATTCTTATCTCAAACCATAACTCAAATGTACACAACCAAATACAAACTCAAGTTACAAGTTCAACTCAAGTTATAACTCAAATTCAACTAAAAAATTATACTCAAATTAAACTACAAAAGAACAAACCCTTAATTTTATAACCGAACTCAATGTATCCCATTTACTATTTAGCAGATAATGTTAAAATCATATGACCGCCTCGTTTAAGGATAAAAAACATGCCGCGATTAAAACTACAGTTTGTCCTTGTGTTATGATTTAAATTATAATTCGTAATTTATTATAATATTTTAAAAAAAATTAAATTTTAAAAATTAAAATTATAAATCATGATTTTAAACTCATGAATTAATTAGTACCTTAAATCTCTAAACCAACAAATAAATCTGAATAAAAAGGAAAAAAAATAGGACACATTAAATCGATTTATTAAGTTGAGAGGTAAAGTGAACAAATTTAAAAATCTAGGTAGTAAATTGTCAAATAGCATAAAACTCGGGGACAAGAATAGTAAAACGCTTGTTTTTTTTTAATTTTTAGGATTATTCTCATGAATGACCTTTCTATTATAATCTCAAAACATAATGTGAATCAATAATATTTACTCTAAGTTAATGTGTTGTCTTGATCCCTGTAATCATCGCATACTAGTCCATCCATTACAGTTTTTCCTAACATATAAATGCAAACTCATCTTATAGACTTTGAAATCACAATATTTTTATAAAAAAATACATATAAAAAATTGATCTAAAAAACAGGAGATAAAAAAAACGAGCCAAGACAATGTTTATGAGGCAAGATTAGAGCTGCAAGTTTCGGACGGATTAAATAAATTGATTTAAGATCCGTCATTATTGGCTCAGTCTACCTTGCTCAATCGCTTGAGTGTCTAGCATGAGCTGAGGTTTCGAGCTCAAAAACTTATTCGAGTTGGGTCGAACACTTTTTTATATTTATGAATTAATTGATTAAAAATTTTAAAAGGAGCTTATTATAGTAACATTCTCTGTATTTTATCAAAATAATAAAGATACTCTCTTTGATCGAAACAAATAACGTCAATACCTTTTAACTCTGTCGATTTTGGTTATAAAATAATGAAAACACCCCAACTAATATCAGCCATGGATTTAAACAACTCTATCTAAGCTCTTGTTTTGATTATTTTTGGATTGGACTTAAAAAAAAGATTAGATTAGATTTTTTTTATAAAAAAACCTTGACCAATTTATTCTTATTTAAAAAAAAAAAACTTTGACCAATTCTCTCGTTCGTTCCACACTCACTCACCACCATTCTTTCCATAGCTCTCGGCACCGTGTTGCGAGCACCAGAACACCCAACTCTGCACCAGAACACCGCATTCTATAGCACTTCCTCCGTCACGACTCGCGACTCCCATTCACGCTGCACGCCCAGCCCCACGTGATACAACTGTCATCGGTCCTAGCACGACCGATGCCGACCCCCGCATAAGTCGTTGTTGCTGACTTTTGAACCACCCATTTTTTATTTTCTGGTTTGGTGGGGTAACGGAGGAAAAAAAATGATTATAGAGGCAAATTGCTATTTTTAAGGATTTTTTTATAAAAAAAAAAAAAAAATAGCCGAAGTTTAAAAAGAATTGAGAACTGGTTAAAAAAATAAATTATTTATAAATTGTTTTATAAATAGATCGTTTATAAACTTTTTTTCCCTAATTTTACTTCAGATTTTTTTCCTATTTTTATCTTTATTTTTTTATTAATGTCCTTTTTTTTTCTTAAAAAAACAATTTTAAATGAATCACGCGCGGGTTAAAACTAGTTTTAAAAAAAAAGGGAAAACAACGATTTCATTCTCGGAGATCATCATCATCATCGTCATGATTCATGAATTACAAACGAACCAATTCTTTCTGAACCATTGTGAGCTTCTCCTTTAACCATGAATTCTCTCTTTCAATGGAGATCATGAGAACTGCTTCCATGGATGCTCGCTCGGTGGCCAACCGTTTCGCTGCTCAGCTTCATTTCTGCCGCCGCCAAAACCCCATTTCCTATTCTCTTGCTCGAACCATCCATGCCCATATGACAGCTTCTGGGTTCAGGCCACGTGGCCACATCGTCAACCGTCTGATCGATGTATACTGCAAATGCTCCAATCTCAGTTATGCACGCAACCTGTTCGACGAAATTCCCCAACCAGATGTCGTCGCCCGAACCACGCTTGTTGCCGCCTACTCTGCTGCCGGCAATCTGAAGCTGGCTCGGGAAATATTCTGTGGGATTCCATTGGACATGAGAGACACGATTTGTTACAATGCCATGATCACCGGCTATTCCCGTAACAATGATGGCTTTGCAGCCTTCCAGCTCTTCCGCGACATGAGGTGGGACGGTGTTACGCCCGACGACTTCACATTGTCGAGTGTTCTTTCCGCATTGGGGATCGTAACCGAGGATGAGAGGCAGTGCAAGCAAATGCACTGCGCGGTTGTGAAGTCGGGATTGGGTTTTGTCACTTCGGTGTTGAACTCGTTGGCGTCTTTTTACGTTAAGTGTGCGGCGGCGGCGTCTTCATTGTCCTCGGTTTTGTTGATGGCTGCAGCTAGGAAGCTGTTTGATGAGATGGTTGAGAAGGACGAGTTGTCGTGGACGACGATAATCACCGGATACGTCAGGTGCAACGACCTCGACGCCGCTCGCAAACTTCTTGAGGGAATGAATGAAAAGATCGGGGTTGCGTGGAATGCGATGATTTCGGGTTATGTGCACCATGACCGTTTTCAAGAAGCTTTGAAGATGTTCAGGAAGATGCAGTCCCAAGGAATTCTGCAGGATGAGTTTACGTACACGAGTATCATCAGCGGCTGCGCTAATAGCGGGATCTTTCAACTTGGAAAGGAGTTACATGCTCACATTTTGAGAACAGAAGCAGAACCCACAAAGGACTTCTCATTGTCCGTGAATAATGCATTGGTGACGTTGTATTATAGATGCGGTAAAGTAGATTTGGCGCGAAAGATTTTCGATAAAATGCCTGTGAGAGATATTGTTTCGTGGAACGCAATACTGTCAGGGTACATCGAGGCGAAGCGAATTGAGGAAGCGAAATCCTTTTTTGTGGAGATTCCGGAGAGAAATGGTTTAACTTGGACGGTGATTGTATCAGGTTTAGCACAAAATGGGTATGGAGAAGAAGCTATGAAGTTGTTTAATCAAATGAGATTAGAAGGTTTTGAACCTTGCGATTACGCATTTGCTGGCGCGATTATATCTTGCGCTGTGCTTGGAGCATTGGAGCATGGATGCCAACTTCACGCTAAGCTAATATGCTCCGGGCATGATTCAAGCCTCTCAGCTGGAAATGCGCTCATCACGATGTATGCAAGGTGCGGAGTTTTTGAGGATGCAGAGCTTCTGTTCCTCACAATGCCTTGTGTAGACTCGGTGTCCTGGAATGCCATGATTGCAGCGCTATCTCAACACGGTCGTGGCGTCCAAGCAATTGAGCTTTTCGAACAGATGTTGAAAGAAGATATCCGACCAGATAGGATAACGTTTCTCACAATTCTCTCAGCCTGCAGCCATGCCGGTTTAGTCAAAGAAGGGAGACACTATTTTGATTCAATGTGTGGTTCTTATGGCATTACGCCAGGCGAAGATCACTATGCCCGCATGATTGATCTGCTTTGCCGAGCTGGGCAGTTTGCAGAAGCAAAGAATTTGATCGATTCAATGCCATTTGAAGCGGGGGTGCCAATCTGGGAGGCACTACTTGCTGGCTGCCGCACACACGGGAACATGGATTTAGGGATTCAAGCTGCCGAACGGCTATTCGAGCTGATTCCACAACATGATTCAACGTATGTGCTTCTGTCAAACATGTATGCCGATGTTGGAAAGTGGGAAAATGTGGCGAAAGTGCGGAAACTGATGAGAGATCGAGGGATTAAGAAGGAGCCGGGCTGCAGTTGGATTGAGGTTGAGAGTAAGGTTCATGTGTTCTTGGTTGATGACACTAAACACCCAGAGGTTCAAGCAGTGTACACGTATTTAGAGAAACTGAGACTTGAAATGAGGAAGTTGGGTTATGTCCCAAACACAAAGTTTGTTTTACATGATGTGGAGTCTGAGGAGCACAAGGAGTATGCTTTGTCCACTCACAGTGAGAAACTTGCCGTTGTGTTTGGACTCTTGAAGCTTTCTAAGGGAGCCACCATAAGAGTGTTTAAGAATCTTAGGATTTGTGGAGATTGCCATAATGCATTCATGTTCATGTCAAGAGTAGTGGAGAGGGAAATTGTAGTGAGAGATGGCAAGAGGTTTCATCATTTTAGAAACGGTGAGTGCTCTTGTGGCAATTACTGGTAGGGGAAAAAACAAATTCACAACTTTCAGATATTTTTTTTATTCGTTATTCTTTAATATGGGCAAAGCTTATACAAATAATATGGGCAAAGCTTTTATTTCAATACAGAAAAGTCAGTGTAGCATTTGACCGACTGATCTAGCAGCCTGTGTTGATGAATTTTTTTCACCTGCTTTGCGGGATTTTGAAAGAATCAAAGATGACCTTAACTAGTTGCCGTTGGAGACTATAATCAAAGCTAGCTAGATTATTTTTTGGATTGAATTTGTTGTTTTGAGATAGCAAAAGACGCACATGCACAAGTAAACTATCTACTTATCGTATTTTGACTCTATTGAATTACTGATCCTGAGATTATTAAAGTTTTGTCATACAGATACTTGCATGCGTTTTCCCAGCATTTTTTTTATATAAAAATAACAATTCATTCACGAGCTAACAAAAGAGTTGAGATTTGAATTTGTCTCTAAACTTAATCAATAATTAATGTAACACGTTAAAAGAGAAGAATGTAATTATATAGAGTTAATATATACGGCCTCGTTCATTTTATCGATTCGAGTTTTGCTACAGTAAAAAATTTTCATAAACAGTCATATTTAACTTTTTTACTACAGTCAAAAACTCTCACATAAAGTCACATCTCAACTCGAATTAAAAATTTGAATCATTAATATATACGGCCTCGTTCATTTTACCGATTCGAGTTTTGCTACAGTAAAAAATTTTCATAAACAGTCATATTTAACTTTTTTACTACAGTCAAAAACTCTCATATAAAGTCACATCTCAACTCGAATTAAAAATTCGAATCAACGAACTAAACGGACCTACAAACTACTCAAATCTTGACTTCTTATTACACGCTTTATAAATTTTTTTTAATACTTGAGATTAAAAATAAAAAAAATAAAACACTTTTTCTTTTTGTGTGTACATGTAATACTACACTGCGAATGCATCCGTACAAGACCAAGGCTAGGAACTAAAGAAGAGGTACCATATACCTCTGCATCACCAATGCTAATGAATAACAATGTTCAATATCTTATGATCCACCAAGGAACAGAGTACAAATAAATGTTGTAATAATTGTTTACATGAACATGACAGAAACATAAAAAAGAACAAAATCATTATAAGTTAAATGCCATATTATACAAATGCCAACTTAAAGCGTCACCAAGACATTTGAGCTTGCAGTGATGCTGCCACTGAGAAGCAGAGATCTCGCTATTCGGGGTCGAAAATGTACAAGGTTTTGTAATCCCAGCACCAGCTACCAAATTTACTTGCAAAGGAGCCGTCAGAGCCTACAGAGTTACTTTCAAAGGAGTTGCCAGTCATCTTCATGTGAACAGTCCTCTGTGTTGTTGCTGGGAAGTGCATCAAATGAGTCACTAATCCCACTACTGTCACCCAACACATCCGCGTGACCGACCGGTTTTGGTAAATTCTTTGTCCGAGTCACGGTAAACAATGGAGCACCATTTGATTCATCTGCCAACTTGGAAGCTCGGAAACAGAAGTCATCAAAGTCGTCTGAAATGACAGAAAAGAATCAGTCAATCAAAAAAAGTTGCCAGTAAGGATTCACAAAATCATAAATTTAACAGAGACAGAGTAGCAGACTTTTATCCCGGCAATAGAATCCAATTGCTAAAGATGGATCTATCGAGTCGAGGCCAATGTGTCTTATAACACTACAAAGAAAAGCGACAATTATGATTAAAACAACGAGAAGAAGAAACAAGCAAACCGAATAAATTAGCAACAATACAATTTAAGTCAGAAGTCTCCAAAAAATAGAAGTGCTCACTTGGAGTGGTAAGATGAAGTATCAGCCTCTACACTGTTCCTACTGATATCGATTACCTGCAGCACGACCAGCATTCAAACACTGTTAAGTAATGGCATCAAGTACACAGGTCAAGTAGATAAATCATATAATTTTTGTCCTGCTCAAGAACTTAAATAACAATCTCCAACAGTGTAGATTCACCAAGCCATCATTAATAAGTTATAGTTTCCCACACCCGAACCACCGATATCAAATTAATACAGCTTTCTTATGGAATGGTATGGTGCTTCCAATACTATGGACACTGTGGATGGAAAGGAAAGCCAGAATTTTTGAGGAAAAGGAGATGGAGTTAGTTGATATTTTTGTGAAGGCAAAGTTCTCAGCATTGCTATGGGCTGCTTCATATAAAGCTTTTAAAGGATTTCCATTTTCTTTGGTTATTTTGAATTGGAAAGATGTAATAAGGAGTTGATTTGAGAGCCTTTTTCTGTGTCTTTGTTCTTTTTGCGTCTTGGTCAGACCTTACTTTTTCTCTTGGGCATTTGCTGTATTTCTTGGGTTTGAGAATACCTTATCCTCTGCCCTTTCTATTGATTTTTATCACTAAAGTTTTTCTAATAAAAAAAAAATTTAATACAGCTTTCTTATAAACCAATATCGGGTCTTTGCAGGTCTATTGACCCTTACAATATCCAAGAGAGCTTTCATTCCTTTAGAATATTTGAGTTCATTTTGTGGGTGTTAACAAAGTTGATTCAAATGGCCTAAACACTACCAAAAGGTAGCAGATGATCTGGACAGGGAACATATGCATTAGATGGGAAATACATTAAAAACAAAAGCAGGGGGATACCGGCTGAACTTCATGTGGATCAAGGTAAAATGCTTTTTCATCTTGCACACCCACAATATACGTCGATGCACCAGGTCTCCCACCCATTATGCCAAGACTTTGAGGAAACGTGAATGTCTCCCGTAAAGACGGAATGTACCTGTCATGAATTTACAAAAAGCCGTCTATAGTTAACTATAGGATACAAATCTACGATGCTGAATTGCACTGGTTGTTTCAATAATAAAGGCCTCGTTCATTTTACCGATTCAAGTTTTCAATTCCAATTTTGCTACAGTTAAAAGCTCTCACAAAAAGTCATATTTAACTTTTTTGCTACAGTTAAAAGCTCTCACATAAAATCACATCTCAGCTCGAATTGAAAACTCGAATCGGCAAACTGAACGGGGCCAAAATTAGTTTAAAACTAAGCTCATATTGCCTAGATTGTTTGAGACAAACACAAAGTAACATAATTTTTGCTAAAGAATTGATATCAATTAGTTGAAATGTCAAAGAGTTGCAATAAAATCCCATTACCTTTGGCATAAGTATAAAAAGAGAGAACAACTTGAGAACATTTTCAATTCAAAAGGAAACAATAACACGCACAACTATGCAAAATTTCAAGTTGCGCGGCTAACTAATGCGTACTAAATTGGAAGACCAATAATCTAAGCACATGTAGATACTTTTACTGGATATTTCTCAAAGAAGTAAAAACTAATTTCTGCAAGTTCCACAAAATGAAATGCTATAATGCAGAACATCTAGATAATTCAAAAAGGAGGGAACCTGGGATTGACTGTATCAAGACCGAGAACCAAAGGAACCAACAAAAGCATTGGTGTCCAGTTCGCTTGGCCTCTGGAAAATTCTAAACAATGTCTAAAGGCATCTTCCACACAGACAACCGGGGCTCCACCTCGTTCACCATCTTCGTCTCCAGAAACAATATAAACAGCCATGGGAAGTGGATGATTCTCAAAGTCATTTTCCTCTCTCTTGCTACGCACAAGAGTTTCCCACGTGCGACACATAGCATATGGGCCCATCCATGATCCTGCAGTTAAGTCGTAAGCCTTTCCAGCTTGAAGAAGATTGTGTATAGAAAAGGCCGATTCTTCAGAATCGTCAAAATGATTCAAGATGTCAATGTACTCTTGGTCCAAAGGCTGCATATATACAAATATACGAAGATAAGTTATTTCCCTAAACACACTAAAGAGTGATGGGTTGTAAAACATTCAAATCAACATTCGTCAGGACAAGATGCCTATAAAAGTAGAACATCATCTAAGACATTGCAACATAACCATAAAAGTCAGGATTAATTACAAAAATTCCACATGAATTATACCCCTTATAACACTTTACCCCCTGATTTTTAAAACGTAACATCCGTTCCCCCTAAACAATTAAATGTTAACAAAAAAGTTAGGTTTTTAACTGAAATTGACATTTAATTTGCTACATGAGGGTATTTTGATAATTTTATGGTTAAAATTTAATTTGAATTTAAACTAAATTTAAATATTAAAAAAAAACATTACAAACTTTTGTATTCTACTGAAAAAAATTTATAAAATTTTTAACTTACATTCAATCAATAACTGATGTATCATAATTTAAAGTTCAAGTTTAAATTAGTTTCAAAATTCAAACTAAATTTTAAACCATAGAGCAACCAAAATACCCCCAAACAACAAATTACATGTCAATTTCCCTTCAAAAAACCTAATGCAGGGACTTTTTTGTTAGCATTTCATTTTTGTGTGTGTTAAACCATAGAGCAACCAAAATACCCCCAAACAACAAATTACATGTCAATTTCCCTTAAAAAACCTAATGCAGGGACTTTTTTGTTAGCATTTCATTTTTGTGTGTGTGTGTGTGTGTTGGGGTGGGGGGACATATGTAACATTTCAAAGATTGGAGGGCAAAGTGTTACAAGGGGTACAGTTTTGGGGGAATTTTTGTCATACATATACATTCAATTACATGCAGAAGAATTTACAAACTAGTATCTTGAAATGTAGAGATAGAGAGCTCTTGTTCATACATTTGTAAGAACTAACAACTATTACCTCTTGAGATAGCGATGATGGAATTAACAATAAGGGGAAAAAAGATTGAACATGATATTGTTCCAACAGTTATTTAATTTGGTATTTAGACCAATAAAACTAACATTGCAGAGATAAATAGGGGGGGAAAAAAGAGTTGAAAATAATAGAAATTGCAAAGAGAGAGAGAGAGAGATGAGAGGAGACATCGCCAACCGCCAAGGAGCCAATATATATAATAAAGAAGAAAAGAAGAAAGAGGTAAAGAACTGGAAGGAGAAAATCCAGAGCCGACATTTCAGCATTGGCATAGCAACTGTAGTGCCAGGATGAAAAATTAAGGTACTTTCATCATTTGGAGAAAGATACAGTGGCTGATTTACAAATCAACTGATAGAGCTTCATGAGAGGAAACAAGGAGCTAACCACAAAATGAGTGTTCAGAAATTTTGAGTCCATAGACTCTAAAGGCTAAAATCCCTTCCCTTTTCAGTTTTGTTACCCTTTTCACCATCCTCTAGGGCCAAATACCTAAATTAAAGAACAGTCATTCATCAGAATCTAACAAATTTATGTTCTAGATCTCGATTCCAGCTCTCATTAGGAATTTTGTTTCAAGTCTGCATCATTCCCAAAATTTGGAATCCTAAGACTACACAATCCATGGTCAAAGTCAAGATTTTCAGTGCAACAACAACAAAAAAAAAAATATATATATATATGTCGCAATCCATGTTGTCCAATGGTCCAACTTACACTTTGTACTGGTCTTCTCCAACATCGCCCCAATCGATGAAAAAGCAAAGCCTGTAGAAGTAGAAGCCAGTAATTAGGAAGACCGTGAATCATGAGTCATGTTTCAAAGTAGCAATGAAGGGCAAGATTTTCATACCTGAGCAACGAGCATCTGACTACTTCGGAGCATACAGCCCCAATTTACATCACTAGTGTACTTTGAATCTCCAATAGCACCAAAACCTGAAGACGTCAAAGATATTGGTTTTCCTTCATCAGCTAAGATGTACTAAATGCAAGCAATCTAAGTTCGATATGTAAAAATTATCGAGCACAAACCTTTACGATATGTCATTAAAATTCTCGATGAGAAATCTTGTTCAAAATCTGCTAATCCACTGTTAGCGGCAGGCAAATCTACAGATGGCTCATCCTGTGAAATTTTATAGCAAACGCCTAGAAGCCATATGTCACTTGTTGAGCTAGAGACACCGGTCCTAGCATATCCCAGTATACGTTCATGAAACCTCCTCATTGAGCCAACACTCACAGCTTTTCTCACAGCCGCTGTCCAACCATTGAATCGTGAACGGATCGCCTTCTTTTCAACGACCGGTGGCTCGCTACTACTACGTGCTTCAAATGCAGAGAAAGCAGATGAAAGAAAGTTGACCATAGGGAAGCCTTGAAGTAGTTGTTACTGTCCCTACATCCAGACTCTGAATAAATCGCTGCCCGACTTTCCTACCTGTGGAATCTGTTCAACTTATTAGAACAATACTTACTCCCCTAGCAGAATATATAATACATTACAGTATGAGATGTCATATAATTAGATATTCTCAACATTGTTTTCACTTCCCTACAAATTTATACTCCAGTCTCCATTTAGTTATGCTAACTACGGAAGATACATATTCTACATATTATTGAAATTATTACTTCTCTTGATTCTCCCTAATTTTTCAATTCCTCTCTTTTCTCTCAATTCCCCGTATGTATGAAACAAAAAAAAAACAAAAAAAAAAAAACAAACAAACTAGGAGCCTGTCCGGTTCGCATTACGTTTTCTATGTTTTGAGACTATTAGGTTTGGAATTGAAATTTTAGAATCGGTGATTGAAATCACTATTTTGAAAACTTGTTTGGTTACAATACATGAGTTGTGTTCTGGAATTTTTTTTTAAGTGAAATTGTGCTTGGTTTACTATCTGAAATGCTTGGTCGAGTTGTTTTTAAAAACTATTAAAAAAAATCGCATAGACTAGCACAAGAGGGGGGAAAAAAAGTAGAAAACATCTTTGTAACCTAAATATTACATATTGATAATGTCCTAGGACTTTTAAGACCTGAATCTTCAATATTTATAATGTTATTGTAATTTTCAAATATAAATTTTAATACAAATTTAAGGCCCATAATTGCTAAACTAAGACCACATCTATCATGCAATATCATCTCTAACATTTTTCGTTTGTGCAATATTTACTTCACTCAAAACTAATGTTGGTGCTTTTGCAGTAAGAACTTTTGCTTCATCAGATCTCCTTCTAATTGATATTTCAGTACTTCTACAGGATTTGCATCCACTATAGTAATGATCAAACTATCCCTACTCGAGTGGATTCTAATAAAATTATACGAGTTAATATTCCATTCAATAGATAAAAGTTATATCACTAATTAAAAGAAGAATTCACTTGCAAACAACAAACACAATTACAAATATAAGTCACCCATTACATCTTCTTGCATTTGCTCTGAAATCCGATTCAACTATTAGTTTAGGAAGTTAATTACTAGTGATCCTGAACTCATTTATCCATATGATTTTGAACAAAAAGTCTGAGTACAAGGCTTAGTCCTAGTGCAGATGTGGTTTAGGCTTGGTCCAATATCTATATGATCTCGAACAAGCTCTGAATTACTGGATCCCAAATACAAGGCTTAGTTTAGGAAGTAAATTACTAGATGCTGAACAAAAATCTGAATCTGGGGCTAACCTAGTGTACTTCACAGTACAACATAAACTATAACTCTTCTGTTCTACCGGATCTTTTAGCTTCTACTCTCTCTTCTAGCTTTAATTGCAAACCTACTTATGCATAATCTACAGCAAGTTCTTTAGAAGAGCTCAGTTCCACCTATATAACAATTCACGATCCTAAATTCTCTAGATCTGTATTAGATTTTCAATTCAAATTCCTTAGAAGGTAGAACAACAGAATGCATTAAAACAAAATGTACATAACAGCATACTGCACGCCAATTAACAAGGAAAACAACTAAATGATGGCATGTTGACGAATAAATATATGGACACGGAATGACATATATATGCTTCTACCAATTGCGTCCAAGAAATGTTGTAAACCCATAAATTAAATAGACTTTGATAAATTTATATGCATTCCAAGAAGCCACCATAGTCATAATTACAATTAAGTCTACCCTACCCAACCCACATAACTGATGAGCTAATCTACGACGAAGGACCTGGGAATCCAATCACCACGAAATAGCATCAAAATAAAAGCAATTCAACTAGCAACAAAATAAAAGTAATTCAACTAGCATCAAAACGACAAGTTAAAAAAAAAAATTACAGCCAAGAAGAAAACAAATAGAAAATTTATGAAGAAACAAATCAAAACAAAAGGTGCTGAAAACCCCATATGGAAAGTAGGCAGATTCTCAAACAAACTGGGGAATCCAGAAATTCATCAAAAATTAAAAATTAGGGCTTAAATAATTTTAAGAACAAAATATTGTCAGAAATTCAGAACTCACGATGTGAGAGCGGGTAAAGAGAGTGAAGGGGGGGAAAAAAAAGGTTAGAGCTGCCAAGCCACCTTTTTAAAAATAAAAAAAAAATTGCGGAGACCATAAAAATCGTTTAGCTAAATCAATTCCTTCATCACATTAATGTCAACTCCAGATCATCTTACAACATTTATAAGAACAAATTTAGGACAACAAAGATGCTTCTACCTCATATTTCGCTTTCTAATCGGAGAGTTTCCTGAGATAAGTCATAAAACCATCCAGCAAAAGAATCTTCTACTCAGAATAAAAAATCAATCATTGAAAACAGAATCCCGAACAAAGTTCCTTTCTTTCTTTTTTCTTTCCCAAAAAAACCCAAGTCAGAGAAATATTTATCATTTGAAAAAAAAAAAAAAAAACAAAGAAATACCTGAACAAGAAAGACAAACATCAAAATTGTTAAGTCCGAAGCCATCAATCATCATCTCAGGAGGAATTTCCCAGAAACGCCAAAATTAGATGCCATGGATCAAGCGATTTCCGATCATAATAGCAATCAATCCAATTTCGACGATTCTGACCAGACGGCAAGTCAATTGGAAGGAAGGGAACATAAAGAGAATTGTGGAAACTAAAGAAAGGAGAGGATCAAGAGAAATTTGAGTTTGGGAGGTACGACAATGGCGAGGGTTGAATTGAATTCATCAGTATTTTTCTTATTCCTTTGTGTATGTCGTCCCGGATTGAAATTGAAATGGAAAACACGATCAGGACTAGGGAGAATGACAATAGAAAATGGCTTACCTCTATGGGCTTCCAGCTTGGGCTGGTGGAAGAGGACCGAGCCCACTGGACTTGGACAGATAATGGGCCTTAGGACCCCTTGGACAAAAGATGAGGGAAATTTTATTTAAATAATTACATGCCTAATATTAAAGCTATATTTTTTAACAAAAATACCGATTTAATTTTATAAGTCATATTCTTTTCTGGTATTACTTTTCTGATTTTCCAAAAATGGGCCTTAGTTATTACTTTTTCTTGTAATCTGATTTTTGTGATTTTAATTTAGATATTTACTTTCCTTTTTAACTCTAATTGATTTTTTGTAATAAACTTTTTATTTTGTTCTGATATGGTTTTTTTGGGTATTACTTTTATGGGTTAGTTATTATTTTTTTCCTGTAATCTGATTTTTTGTGACTTAATTTAGATAAGAGAGGGAAAAAAAAAAGAAAAGAAAAGGGAAAACTAAAAAAAAGAGGAACGAAAGAGTATAGATATAGATTTAAGAAACTAAACACACACCCGCTTTTCAACTGGTATTTAACATGATCAAGTGCTTGAGTATATTTGTAACACGTTGAAAAATTAAATGAGATTAATTAATAAAATTGAGATTTATTAGTGTGTTTCATATGAATTAATTAATTAGTTATTAATAAATATTTCTGACGTGTAAATTTAAATAATTCCAAAATATTTGAATATTCTTAGCATTTATATTTTTACTCAGAAGTGTGTATGGGCACATTTCTAGACTGCCTTTTTAATTTTGTGACACCTCTCAATTTTTATTTTCTTTTTCCTTTTTCTTTCTTTTTCCTTTTCTTTTCTCTTCCTTTCTTTCCTCATGTGCACTCTCTCTCTCTTTCACTCTCTCATTCTCTCACCCTCACTCTCTCTCTCTCGTTTTGCTTCAAAATCAACCGGATCTCGAACCAAAGAAGAATTTCAAAGAGTTTTCAACTTCAAGAGAATGATTCAAGGTAAGATTACTGAAAGAACCTCTCTTGAATCTCAAGTTTTCGGATTTTAAAACTTATTTTTGGTTCGAAATGAATTTTGATGGATTTTGAGTAAAACTATGGTAGAAATTGGAGATCTTGGGTTCTCTAGACTTGTTTTAGTACCTAGAACCCAGATCTAGTGGTTGTCCCTTGAGATATTGTGATTTGGGACTGGATTTGGCAGGTTTTCAAACTGATTTTGCGAGTTTTCTCGCATTGGTGTTCTTCACCGATCAACCTGTCCGGTCGACCGGATTGCATTGGCTTGACCGGTCGACCGGATTGCATTGGCCTGACCGGAACTGATTTTGCGAGTTTTCTCGCATTGGTGTTCTTCACCGATCAACCTGTCCGGTCAACCGGATTGCATTGGCTTGACCGGTCGACCGGATTGCATTGGCCTGACCGGTAGACCGGATTGCACACCACCGGTCGACCGGTGGTGTTACACTGCTCTGTCACTGGTCGACCGGTGTACACGGGGTTTGACCCTGTTTGGCCTGAAAATGCTGTTTTGACCCCTGTTTTCGAGTATGACCCAAACTAGCTTCATTTGGGGACCTAGAGTAGATGGATTAGCATCTTTAATCCATGTTTTGAGATTGAAAACCCTTGGAATGATGATTTGAAACATGAAATGATTTGTAAAAATCGGTAATTTAATAATGGCACACTAATAGGAAATCAAAAGATATAATTGAGATTGAATTACTTTAGGAATGAGAATTGAATCCTAAAGTATTGTCTTGTATCAGTGTTAGCTGAAGACTCAGATTGAGTGGCTTGAGGAAGCAAAAGCCGGAATAGTGCACCGCTAGCCACAAGTTTGATATCACGAGGTAGGATTCCTATTCCTTTTTTTTATGAGCCTGTTTTCAAAAAGGATTTTGGCCTTGCAAATATTTTAAAGAAATGGGCTTGTTTGCGAAAGAAAAGTATTTAAAACCCATGGCTTGTTGTAGTTCATAGTGCCCATGGCTTGTTGTAGTACATGAGACCATGACTTGTTGTAGTTCATGGGACTCATGGCTTGTGTAGTTCATGAGATTATAAAGCCTTGTAAATATTTTAAAGAAATGGGCTTGTTTGCGAAATAAAAGTATTTAAAACCCATGGCTTGTTGTAGTTCATAGTGCCCATGGCTTGTTGTAGTACATGAGACCATGGCTTGTTGTAGTTCATGGGACTCATGGCTTGTGTAGTTCATGAGATTATAATGAACGATTTCATAAAGTTTAATGAATGATTTCTTAAGATAAGAGATCTTGCGAATCGGTAAACTGGCTGATAGCCAAGATAGGATGTGGAGAGTGCATCCTTGGGGGCAGGACCCGAAACCCCAAGGGTATGGCTTATGCACGTGGTTGTGTAAGTAATTTGTATAAATTAATTGCTGATGCCTGTAATATGGATATTTTCAAATTTATTTCCTTTGAGAAAAATGATGTAAGGTTCTGGCTGTTGTGTCGGGACTGAATGTCTTATTTTATTTGCTTATCCATTTATTTATTTACTCGCTTATTTATTTATTCATTTACTTATAAAGTTATTTCAAATTATATCCTACTGGGCATTTCACTCACGTTTTCCTTGTTTTATATATATTAAACCCCTCCCAGGCGACTTTAGGAGCGGTGCGGAGTAGCTGGATTATTTGTTACTGTTCGATCAAGTGAGGATTGTATTCATCCTCTTGGATAAATGTAAGAATTTGTAAAGTCTGATATTTAAATTTCTAGACTGTGGATGATGTATGTAATGTTTTATTTACATGTCATGTATGTACGGTAACGAGATTCTGTGTTTTGTACGGTGTAAGAGGCTTGAGGTTTAGTCTCTCTCTTGTGATTTATTTTAATTAAGTGTGGGGCTCGTTGGGAATTTCTTTTATCATCATGCGTTTAACCCCTAATCGAGCTCCACGTCACCGACCCCTGCCCCGGGGCATGACAATATTTTTCAAACTTTTATCCTAAATTCATCTCTCTTTTCTACTTGGTATAGTACCAAATATAAAATAACTTAGAACATCTCTATTATAATGTCATAATTGATGTGTCAATTATAAATTCAGCATTTGAGGGTGAAAAACACTCCTTAATATAATATTATTTACTATATCACATTTTCTCATATGTTGTGATAAATTTTTCACAAAATATATCATATGAAAAATTTAGTATTTGATTGTTATTGATTAAAATGTTTACTTTCTTTTATGTAATTATTGTAATTATTGTATTTTTTTATTACTTTAAAAATAAAAATTTACTTTTACAACTTTTAAAATTTAATAATTATGGGAAAAAAATATTTTACATTTTAAATATCATTATGTATTAGAGTAGAATAAAAACAACTTAATCTATCATATTTTTTATGTCAAATATATAATTGACATTAATATTTATATTAGAGATGGTTTTTAGAACTTAAATTTTTTATTAACATTAAAGGATAAATTTTATTTTTACTCCGGACTTTTGCACTTTTGTCACTGTAGCCCCCGAACTATCAAAACTGGTATGCACACCCCTTATATTACGCATAGCAGAAGCTCTCTGTATACGAATTCGAGTCTGAAGCCAATTTTCCCAAAACAAAGACACCGACAATCAATTGCTGAACGCTTCTCTGGTCTCTTCAGCAGAAAAAAAAGGGGTTGATTTAAACAAAAGAAATCATCCTGTAAAGTTGTTGAAATTTCTCTGCGACTGGAGAGTGTTGAAAGAGGTTCAGATGCCTGTGCAGCAAGAGCTCTGCCGAAACTTTCAGCGTGGAAGGTCCTTTTAATTTTTATTTATTTTTTCCCTCTAAATTAGCATATAACCCAAAAGAGTTTGTATTACAGTTTGTGAACTTTTCTCTGAGAAAATTGCTTATCAAGTGCTAAAGATGTTTGTTTACTTTGAAACCCCATGATTGAGTTTCAAATGTTGTTTGGTTTGTCTGTTTCAGCTGCCAGTTTGGCCAACGATGTAAGTTTCTTCATGTGAATCCGCAACAACAAAGACCCAATAATTTATTCGGTGCTGGGGCTCAATCTGTCTCATTTCAACCCCAAAAGTCCAATCCTTATGGTTTCGGTGTTCAGAACAATTCTCAACAAAAACCCTTTAATAAGGTTTCTTTCTTTCTTTTTTTTTTCCTGAATAAATTAGCTGTTAGTTATGATGGGTGTTCTTGTTATGTGGAGATAAATGTTATAACTGAGAACGACAGTGATGACTATCTGGAATTGATATGGAAATGCCTTGATTTAACAAACTGATAACAGTTTCTTAGTATTTGTAAAAGTTGGTGCTTAAGATTTTTCTCGTTTTGGTCAGCCCTTCGAGAACACATGGACTCGGTTTTCACCTGTGTCTACTGGGACTGCCCCAGCTTCACGGCAATCCGAAAGTCAGGCCCAAGCTAACCACAAGTAAGTTTTTATTTTGTTTGCGCGTCGCTTTTTGGATCTGTTTCATTCTTATTGCCATATTAAATAACACGGCTAATCCATTGTGAATTAATATAAAATCCGAAGGTGTACAGATCCCGAGTCCTGCAGACGCATAATTGTTGAAGATTTTGAGCACGAAAGACCCCTTTGGAAGCTTACGTGTTACGGTCACTGGAAAAAGTATGTTTGACTAGCCACATTTCACATAGGCAATATGAAAGTTCCAAAGAATATTATTTAGCAGTTGAGACTATGAGGGAAAACGTCGAAAGTAGTCGCTGACGAGTAGATACCATAAACAAGTTTCTGAGATAATCCTAAGAATGTTAAACTTACACGATATGTTTTCTCATAAGTAAGAAGCTTGCGATATGATGTGGAAGAGAAAAGCTGTTATTTATTTGTCAATTTTTGGTTGCTGCAAAACAGGCTGTAACATTTTGGTTGAGTGGGATTTACTTTTTTATTTGTATTTCTTTCTACTTGTATTATCTTGTCTACAATCAGATGTACATTTTAACCGATCCTTTCTTTCAATGATTTAGAATTAGAATTATCTATGGTATGAAGCAATTTTTGAATTGTTTTCTTCTAGTGCTCCTTGTGACATTGTTGGGGATATTAGCTACGAAGAACTGAGGGCAGCAGCATATGACGATGCTAAGCGTGGTTTGAGCTTTCAGTCAATAGTAAGAACTACTAGCATTTGGTTATTCTTATAGAGATATCAGATATGTTGATATTCGCAGTTCTTGCGGATATCCGAGAAGCTTTTTGATGCAAATCGTCATCTCTTTAACTATCTAAAATCCTTACAGTATTACTCTTTCATGACGCTCTCACAAGTTATTGTATTTTTGTACAGGTTGATAGAGAGTGGAATTTACTGAGTTCCAAGCTACGAGAATTTGAGAACCTTTGCAAGCCCCATGCAGTTCGACCGAGCTTAACTCCCGCTAACCAAAACACTTTTCCCGGTATGGGTCCAAATGCATTTTCACAACCTGCACAAAATAGTGCCCCTACTTCGGTCTCGACCTTTAGTCAACTGGGTGCATCACTCAACGTGGCATCTGGGCCAAGGCATGTCTTTCTCTTTTGAGATTTGTATCTGCTTAATTTATGAATATCATGATACCTGCTTAAAACTGAAACTACCTCTGTTTATTCCATTACTGTCATAGAAACCTTATGTGTTGGACAATAGGCACAATGAAATAAATGCAAGTAGAAATTACAAAATGCATGGAAGAAAAATATCTGGGCATTCATAGATACATAGAGTCACTCACATGATGAATGAGTGTGCAGGCAAACGTAAGCTTTCTGTTAACCATATAGTTATCTAGCTGAAAATACAGAAAAATAATCAAACTATTATGATCAATGTGACAATTTCTGTCCTTGAAACTGATTTAGTCCCCTCAGGATACTTAATCCAGTAACGAAGGTAGTAGTGGCCAGTCTCCAAAACATGACAAAATGCTGGCTAAGGTGCATCCCAATAGCTGGTCATTGATCGATTCACACAAGTGCTTAGCTTGAACAAAGAAAGTTGTGAGGTTTGAACTGAGAGAATAAATACTCATATTGATGTAGAAACAAAAAGGGAGATAGGATTGAGATGGTGAAACAGAATCAATAAGGATTAAAGAGACAATGAGAACTCAAGAGGAGAGAAATCTGAAATCTCAATATTCATTTGTCAAGCAGGTCTGAATTGAAAATACAATAACTAGGTGTATTTATTTATTTATTTTATAAATAAATAAATCCTGACTGTCCTGACTTTATCTTGGATGGATATCTCATTTATCTTTGTTCTCTATAACGAAACTAGGTTTATTTATAAAGAAATAAAACATAACAGAAGATAAACATAGTCCTGAACTCCCAGTGGATAAATGTAATCTTAGATTCCTGATCTCATCAAAACTAAAAATTGAAGAAAAAACATATCCTATTCTCCATCACGTATACTCTTGAGAAATGCACCAAAAGATGGTAACTTACAAGAATAAGTGGATTGTTATAAATAAACATATAAAAAAATGTCTCAAATAAGTTGGAGGTTTTAAGAATCCAAAAGACCACCTGTCAACCATAAATTCTTGAATTCTTCATGCAAGAAACCATAATGTAACCTCTGGCAATGAATATGTACATGTGGAAGTTTGAATATTTAGCATCACATGGAATTGTATTGAAACGGAAGCCTTGCTTTACTGCTCTTCTCCGGACTTTCGTGATCTGTTAAGTTGTTCTTTCTCAGGCCGCCTGCACCTTCCAACAATGCTTTCCTTGCGCCGAGTCCTTTTGGGGTTTCTAGTCAGACTCCAAGTGCTTTTGGGACAAAATCTTTGTCATCTGAAATTCAAGGTACATATTCAAAGGTTTTCAGTGGTGGTGTTTTTCCGTTTGAGTTCTCTAGCTGTCATATTCCAGTTTCATCTGGTGACCAATTTCCTGCCCCTACTGCAGCAAGTCCATTTACCTCCTCTCCGTCGGTCTTTGGAAATAATAGTTTCGTGAGAGCTGAAAGTAACCCAGTTATCCCATCAGCAGTGCCAGCCCAAAATCCCGGAGCAACTAATAACCCATCACCTGGCCTTTTCATGGGGCTCAACCCTAATTCTAATGCAAATGGAGAAGTTCAGCAGACGTAAGAGTCTTAATTTCCATTGTCTTTAGGAATGCCATAAGATTTTATAGCTTAATTGAATGATTTTGTTGCTTGCTTCTTTAATTGAAATGTCCTTTTTCTAGTGTCATGGTTGGATATAATTTTCAATAGAAGTTGTTCGTGAATTCTGTCGCAATTTGTGCTTGGGTTGTGGAAATTATATTGGTTATCATGCTTACTTTGGCTTGTTTTACCACTTTTACAGAAATTACACGCAAAATGCGGAACTCTCTGGAGTGGATACGAGTGTATGGTTAAGAACCAAGTGGAGTCCCGGAGAGGTAATTTCGAGAGCCCTTTAGTGTTACGGGGAGCATGATTTTATAGGTTACTTGTTTTCCAATTGTTGTCTTGTTTGTTCTTCGCTAGATTCCTGATGAAGCGCCTCCTGATGCTGTTTGCTCATGATGGGATTATGGCTTAGTTTTTAGTATTGTTGTAGATTTTGGAAAAATTATTTTTAGCTGTGTTGAAAGAAAAGGCAGCTGAGTGTTTAGTAAACTATAATTATAGTAGCTGTGCTGGTTCTAAATTCAATGTAATAGCGTTTGATAAATTATGAGGTTGAATTACTATGGATAGTTAAAAATTACGACTAAAATATATTATATTATAATATAATATATATAATTACAATATAATATATATTTATTATTATATTTAATACAATATAATTAAACTATTATTCAATAACATATTATATAATTATATAATATGTTATTGAATAATAGTTTAATTATATTGTATTAAATATAATAATAAATATATATTATATTGTAATTATATATATTATATTATAATATAATATATATAATTACAATATAATATATATTTATTATTATATTTAATACAATATAATTAAACTATTATTCAATAACATATTATATAATTATATAATATGTTATTGAATAATAGTTTAATTATATTGTATTAAATATAATAATAAATATATATTATATTGTAATTATATATATTATATTATAATATAATATATATAATTACAATATAATATATATTTATTATTATATTTAATACAATATAATTAAACTATTATTCAATAACATATTATATAATTATATAATATGTTATTGAATAATAGTTTAATTATATTGTATTAAATATAATAATAAATATATATTATATTGTAATTATATATATTATATTATAATATAATATATATAATTACAATATAATATATATTTATTATTATATTTAATACAATATAATTAAACTATTATTCAATAACATATTATATAATTATATAATATGTTATTGAATAATAGTTTAATTATATTGTATTAAATATAATAATAAATATATATTATATTGTAATTATATATATTATATTATAATATAATATATATAATTACAATATAATATATATTTATTATTATATTTAATACAATATAATTAAACTATTATTCAATAACATATTATATAATTATATAATATGTTATTGAATAATAGTTTAATTATATTGTATTAAATATAATAATAAATATATATTATATTGTAATTATATATATTATATTATAATATAATATATATAATTACAATATAATATATAATCAGTATTATATTATATTACGAGTTTGAATTTTAAATTGAGAATATAAATTTTAAATTTCATTAGGGGTATTATGGGTATTATGAAAGTTTTATTAATTGTACTATGTTGATTCCCGCACAATTTAAAAGTTAAAGTTGACTTTGGGCTGCTTCTGATTTTGGCTATAGATTTTTCAAAAATTCTTCAAAAAACACTTTTAAGGAGATTTACCAAACACTAATATCAGTTTCACTAAAATCGAGTTGAAGGGGAAATTTGAACTCGAGTTTAGCCCTAAACTCGAGTTCAAACTCAAATTTTACAAAAGAACATGAACTTGAATAAAGCTGTAACTTGAGTTTAAACTTTTTATGAGTTTCGTTGCAAAAGAACAACCCCTCAGTCCTTGAACAAAAAATAAATAAAGGATCTTTTGAAAGTGTATAGGTCAAAATTTTTATCTTTTATTCTTAATTCATAACTTTTTTAATTAAATAATTACACTAATAAAATGGTATTTATCAAGAGTAAATGGTAAAAGTCTAGACTCATGTACTATCAAGGTAAATTCTCCATTTTTCATAAATTTAAAAGGATAAAATCATTTTGATACATGTGTTATAGCGAAACATGATCTTGATACATTCTGTTTTTTATAATATTAAAATGGTACCTCGACGTTTTTAAAAACACATTTTTGATATCTTAAAGCTTATTTTTGAAATATAAAATGACCTTAATTTTAAATGTTTTAAATTGTTTTTATAATTTTTTCTCAATTTATTATTTTTTGATTAGTTAAATAGAAAGATATTAAAGTCATTTTACGTTAAAAATCAACTTTAAGGTACCAACAAGATATTTTTTAAAAATATTGATGTACTATTTTAATACTATTAAAAATATACGATATTAAGAACATGTTTTGCTATAATACAAGATAACAAGATGATTTTATTCCATAAATAAATAAATAAGAAGAAAAACTTTCATCAAAGTATTATAAAACTAGCAACATATCCTAAAGTATATTATTGTGAATTTAGTTAATTAAAGAAATTTGATTCTTTCGTCCAAGTTTGGATGATTTGAAGGGCAGTTCTGCAAGTAGGTACAAAGCTGAACGAATGGTTTTAATTTTTTCCATAATTCATTGATTTGAATCACAGTTTAAATATTTTCATTCTGATGTTTTTCTCCGTAGTTTGAATTTCAAACTTATAAACTAATGATTAATCATATGACTTTTTTTTTTCTTTTTTAAAAAGTCGGGTGAGCTTGAATTCATATAGAAGCGAAAAGATGAGTGCATTGACACTTTTATATGAGTGTGTGTGTGTGTGTTTTTTTTTGTTTTCAATTTTAGGAAACGCTGCTTATATAGAATTATATTATTTTTGTATAAATAGATACAAACTCTATTTTTTTCCGTCTCCCAAAAAAAGAAGAAGAAAGAGAAACAGTAATCATATTTCAAATCAAATACATGCTAATTTATTCAGAAAAAAAAGACACGCTAATTTAGGCTGGAATGACCTCAAAAAATATAATGTATTTTATACATTTATTCTTGAATTTATATGGTTTTAACAACTTGTCCTTTAAAACTTTTAAGGATAAATTATATGATCCCTAAACTTTTTAAAAGGTAACAGTTTAGTCTCTAAAATTTTTTTTTTCTGAAATGAATCTCAAATTATTTAAAATGGTGTAATGTAGTCATTTCTGTCAAATTATGTTACATTTTTAACATAATTAATCATGTACAATGCATATGATCTTATTAAAGAGGGTATTTTAGTAAAATACCAAGCCTAGTTCTCTTTCTCTCTTTCTCTATCTCTGTACCTGTATTCTAGGGTTAGGGCTTCGAAACTTCAACAGCGTTTGGGATCTTCTTCTTCTTCATAATTTTATATGGTTTTTTTTTATGGAGTTTTTGGTGATCATTTCTTGAGCATTTGTTGGTAGAGTGGAGATCTGGTGCTTCGAGGTTAGAGATGAGCGCGTGGAGGTTCATAAAGTGCGCCACGGTCTATGATGGTGCTGTTGGCAAAACCTGCATGCTGATTTCGTATACCAGCAACACCTTCCCTACGGTCAATCCAAACCCATTCTCTTATTTTTGTTCACGACATTTATTACAATCTTAGGTTTAGAAGAGGAAAAATAATTCTTTTGCTTCGGAAGTTAATTGAAGCTTGAAATGTTAGCCGTGTTTGGAATTGATTCTGTTTTTATTTTTCACGTTTTTTGAGAAATAAAAAATGAAAACTTTTTTAAAACGGCGTTTGGCGCAATAAAGACAAAAAACGGAAATGAAAACGATTTTTTTGTTTAGAATAAAATGAGAGAGAAATAAAAAATGACTTTTAGTCGTTTTTTATTTTTTATTTTCGTTTTCTCCTCTCTTAAGTAGAGAGAAAGAGAGAGAGACATTAATGGGTTTTTTTATATTGAAAATAATCTCTTGATAAAACTATCAAACACATTTTCAAAAATGATTTTTATCTGATATTGAAAACTTTTTCATTTTTATTTTCATACAAAAAATAAAATCATTTTGGAACGAGTTCCAAACGCACCCGTTGTTTCGAGCAGTGTATTTTAATATTTTTCTAATGATGGAATGAATCGAGATTTTAGCTTTTTGATCGGAGCAGAATAGGAGAGTAAATGATGATGCCTGTTTTAGATTGATTACCGATTGAAAAAAAAAAGTTTTTTCTTTTTAGTTAGCAATGGAGGTTGGTTTAGAGGGAGAGAAGAAAAAGCCTCTCACGATTGGTTATGTGCAGATAAGGTTTTGCCATTGGAGGTTGAAGGACCGGAAGGCGACGCCGACGCCGACGCCGGTGAAATGGTTGCAGAAGGACTCGCTGGTTGCGGCCGGGTTTGCTGGTGGAAGCAATGGCGGTCGCCGTTCGAAGAAGTCGCGTGATAACAATAATTAAGGACATTTTTGTCTTTCTAGCCAAAATATAGACCACGTGTATCTCACGTGCACTGTGCCATTATTTTTTAAATGACATTTGACGAAAAAGACTATATTGCACCATTTTAAATAATTTAGGGTTTGTTTCGTCAAAAAAAAAGTTTAGGACCAAATTGTCACCTTTTAAAGAGTTTGGGGACCATTCGTATAATTTACCCAAAATTTAATATACGTGCACCGGGTTCTAACACTAAGAAGCTAAAAAGACACATCATAATCACACGTACGTACGGCTCTTTCAACACCTCAAACTCCGATTGATCGAAATTAAAGTCCCGTTCATTTCACCGATTCAAGTTTAGAATTCAAGTTTTGCTACAGGAAAAAAACTCTCAAAAACAGTTACATCTAACTTTTTGTTAGAGTAAGAAACTATCACATAAAATCATATATTAACTCAAATTAAAAACTCGAATCCACGAACTAAACGGACCCTAAGAGACCTCTAGAACAAATGTCATCCACAATACTAGATGAAAATTTGAGCATATGTCACTCGTAGAGAACAAATAAGTTGAATAATGCATAATGCTGAATAAAAAAAAAAGAAAAAAAAATCATAAAAATTGAATTTTCATGCTAAATTGTAAAGGGCAATTTGTCAATTAGTGTCTCATTACATGTTTATCTATAAAGTTGGAGGGATAAATTGTCAAAACCAGCTTTCCACCTAGAAAAGGTACAAATTTGATATGAAAAATGAAATTCGGAGATATATTTTGAAAACATCCAAAATGTAGAGTTACTTCTAACTCTATGATAAATCCAAAATGCAAGGCATAAAATTGTAAATTTATATAGATATATATATATGTGTGTATATATATATATATATTCGGGGTGAAACAGCTTCAATTCCTGCATACAGCTAAAGAAATGCAGATAAGCATGTTGTCTTCATAGCCTTGCGTCTCGTAGAATCTGCTCTTAGTTTCCGTAGCATGAAGGGATGAGAAAACAATCCACACAGGTTTTTCGTGCGTCGTCGGATGATCCAAAAACAGGAGGCCAAGAAAAGACAAGATAATGTTGGAGCTCTACTTGCAGTTGCTTGCAGGGAGAAGCTCTACAAGACTTCCGGCTCCGCCAAACATTTTTGCAATCACGCTTTGCATTGCATTCAAAACAGAGGAGTTTCCTTAAACACAAGGACAATAAGAACACCTCAAGAACTACTCTTCATCTGTGACAAAAATCCTCATTTTGGTGCGAGAACAGCTATATTATTCGACATCTCTTAAAGATCAATTTGCAAGATGCTGTGCCATATACAGATGCAAAAAAGAGTAAACAATAGAAGTCAGTCAAACGTATTAGAGCTTTCCCAGAAATTCATTGTTTGTAATTTATCATCTTATATCCACTCGTGTTACTATAATAGTTTCCAAGGTGGTGAATGATTGAGAACCACATGAGATAAAAAGTTAAATCAACAGCAAATTTCAAAATAGATGAACGAGTTTAGCTTTACTGTTGGAAATAGTTCGCATGCTCAAGTGCATCAGAGCTGCCTTGAAAAGGAAACCCTAACTAGCTTTTTTTTGTCAGCTTAATACTCTATATATTGTGCCAAGGATATGTTTGGTTTGATGCAGAATTGGAATTTATTATTAGGAATTAGACGTCCTAGTTCTATACTACTGAATGCAATAAAATATTGTATCCTCTCAAACTCTGCGGTTTTTTTTTTCTTCTCTAACTCTGTTAACCATAAAAACAACGTCCCATCAAGATCAATCTGTGTGTGATCTCCATGTTAGGACAATAATTAGGCTCCACAACTTAACAACTGTAACAAGTTTCACCAAGTGACAGGTATTGCTTAAAACTTGCATTTCTTTTATGAGATAAATGAGTTGAAGTGCAAGTGGTTGAAATAAAAGTGCGCTTATTTTCTAGCTTTCGCTTGGACAACCTAATGCGATCTTGCTTCTCCTACAACTGTTCCTTTTGCACATTTCTACAGAGTTCGCAATTCCTGGCAATCCAATGGATTGGTGAAAACTATAAGAACTGACAAAGAGAACTCAAACAATTTCAGCTGACTTTTCAAGGAATCCACAGAGGATTGTTCATTTCTTATTTCCATAACTTAGGAAGTCGTTAAGATATTTCAATATCCTAAGGCTTTATTTTTCATCCTCTCCTTGTTATTTTTTCTATTTTGATAAGAAAACTTCCTTGATGAAAAATCAATTACAATGGAAAGAGGATGAGACATCCTCTAAAAAGAACATCCCCTCCTTGCTATATTCAATCTTTAGCAATCAAAACTCTCATTTTTCTTTCAACTTTACTGGCGTGAGTATCCTGTCTGGTATATAGTTTTGGCTGCCTAAACTACCCTCTAATTGTGCATCATCTTTCTATTTATCTAATATATTTTCAAGGAAAGAAGCATTATCTCCCGACTCTTTGCCTTTTTTTTGATTTCAAACCTAAACATTGGAGGCAAGGTGTGAATTTACCACTAGATAAAGCCTGCAACGACGATTATTTGTCCATTCTTAGGACAAGAGCACTAATTATTTTCGGAGCAACATCTTGCATTGGTTAGCAATTTTAGACAAACTTCTTGAACTAATACCTCTTCTAATTTTCTCCGCCACCTGAGGGTTTTCTTGGACAATTTAATAAGTCAGTGGCAAGTGCCATAGTTCCTTCTATCACACATATTCTGATTCTGCGCTGTTTTTCATTTCACAAAGAATTTATATTTAAAAATTTATTCCTCACACGTTTTCTACCGATAAATCAGACTCACTAATTTGAATGCGTGAACCAAAGAATGACAACCAAGTTGGTTTGCTTACTCAAAGTTAAAGTCACTATTCTAGACAAAAAAAAAAAAAAAAGTTGGATCACAAATCGTACTTGGAAGCAAATTTCAAGCCATGTCAAAAACAATATTAAAAAAAAAAAAAAACAAGAAGAAAAGATAGCATACCTGTAGGGTAACTAATCAGTCCAGTTCTGAATAATCCGATCCAACACCAGCAAAACCTTATTATCATCTTCATCCCGATGATGATGATAATCCAAAGCCTGACTCAACTCCACCGCCTCCCAAACCCTCGCTTCCCTCAAGAATCCCCTACAAATCAACCTTCCAAAACTTTCTTCACATCGGTTACCGCCATTGGAGGAGGCCACCATTGCCCTCAAGACCTTCAAACTCTCAAGCAGCATCCCGTTGCGGCAAAGCCCATTAACCAAAACCCCACAAAACGTGCGATCGAGAACGAAGGGCGAGCCGGGCCTGACGAGCCAGTTGAAGAGCTTGAAGGCCTGCTTGGGATTGGCGGCGCGGAAGTAGGAGGAGGCGAGGGCGGTGGCGATGGGGACGACGTGGCGGTGGTGGGAGGGAGGGGAGTGGCGGAGGCGGGTGAGGAGGGACATGGGGAGAGAGGTGTCGTTGGGGAGGGAGGCGAGGAAGAGGAGGAGGGGAGAGAGAGAGAGGGATTTCGGAGGTGGGTTCGTGAGGAGGGCGGCGGTGGCGAGACGGGTTGCGGTTTTGAGGTCGTCGGAGAGGCAGAGGCGTGGGAGGAGGAGGTTGATCTTAGCCAATTCATCTTCGGTTAGAGAACGGCAACAAGAAGAAGACGATGCTGATGAAGAAGAATAAGAGAAGAATGCTTGGGAAGAGTGCGGGAGTTGGAGTTTGAGGTGTCGTGGTATGAGGGATTTCATTATTGTCTGCTTTGCTCTACCTGTGACTCTGAGAGACCGAGAGTTGAGTTGAAAAGGCTAGAGGCTCGTTTATTTTGCTGATTTGAATTTGTAATTTGAGTTAAGATATAATTTTGTGTGAGAATTTTTTATTGTAGTAAAAAAGTTAAATGTGATTGTTTTTTAGAGCTTTTTACTGTAATAAAACTCGAATCGGCGAAATGAACGAGATCTATAATTTAAGAAAAGTTTTATACTTTAATAATATTTATAATTTTGGTACATGTATTATTCTTTTAACTAAAATTTATGTATGAGTTATAAATAAATTTAAAAAAATGGATGTAGTCAAAATTAACATGCTTATAAATAGAATTTCAAAAGTTATCTTGTATATATAATAAATGTTATATACATTTACATAGAAGCTCAAAAATTAATGTAAGTGTATTGTATATAGAATGATAATAAAGACATACATAGATATAAAATTGATTTACGTATTTTTCAAATTTAATAATTAAAAAAGTCCATGAATTTTATATGTTATTTATTATTATTTTTTGTATTTAATTAATTATTAATTTATATTTTTATTGAACCCTAAAGATATTTAAAAAAATTATTATCTTATACATTTAACGAGATTATTGATTTAGTATACTGGCAATATCAAAAGATTTTATTTAATAATAGAGATTATTAATTTATCGAACATTTCTTTATCAAAATTTACTGCACTTCAAGTATTATTCCTTTAAACTCTTAGAGCCTGTTTAGTTCACGTGTTATTGATTTTAGTATTTAAAATTTAAATTATTTATGAGAGAAAAATATTGTAACGAAATTAAAATTATGAATTTAAACGCACAAAACAAACAAACCCTTACATTAAAGAGTTCTTTATGAATTTGTAGACGCATCCAACGGCTGAAGCACTTTGTTTATACCCAAACAAGATAGGTCCATCGTTTTGAGTTTAACTCAAAAAAGTTTAAACTTAAGTTACAACTTATTTAAGTTCATGTTCTTTTGTAAAATTTAAGTTTTAATTTGAGTTTATGCCTAAAATCTGAGTTCAAGTTCCCCCCTTCACCTTAAGTTTATAAACTCAAACTCAAGTTAATGAACAATATTTTTTCTATTCTTAAAAACGCCATAAATTTTTCGTTTTAATTATGATTAAGATAATTTTGTATGCGTTTACAAGGAAGATACGAATAAAATCCCACCAATATACCCTACTAAAATTTTCCATTGCCATTGAGTTTTTATTAAAATACTATCCAAATACAAATTTAAGTTTTGACCCACTTAAATACAAACTTAAAAAGATTTTCAATTCAAACTATAATTCAAAATGTGCCAATCCAAACACAAACTCAAATTAGAATCCCAACTCAAATCATACTCAAATACGCCTTAACTTAAATTAAGATCTAAACTTAAGTCACTCTAACTCAAAAAATATAAATGAACAAGCCCTAAATTTTTCAAATATGCTTTAGCAGGGATGTTTGGTTGGAGGATTCAAACAATGATTTGAATCATGGTTCATGGTTCGCTACAGTATTTTCTCTCATAAAAAATACACATAAATCAAAAATGATTTTAATCACATGATTATAATCCATGAACTAAACGTTAATTTTTTTGGCGGGTTTGAATCACAGTTGAAACATGACTTTATTTGTTTTGCGGATTTGAGTTTTTAATTCAAGTTAAGATATAATATTTTCTAAAAGCTTTTAATTATAACAAAAAAAAATTTCTGTGACATTTTTAAGGAGCTTTTTACTGTAAAAATTTAAAACTGAAAACTCAAATGTGTGAAATAACAAGGTTTCAACAGTTTTTTAAGTTTAAATGACGAAATTGTCCAGATGGGTGCTCTTTCCTTTGGATTGCTCGGTTCCTCTCGTTTCCCCACGTCATCCAACAGTTAGGTTGGGAAATTGGGATTCGCTCTCTCATTTCTTTCACTAATTTCTTCCTTCAAAGTTCAAACCCTAATTTCCTTCTCCCCCCAATTCAATCCCTCTCTCAAACGGCCTTCCCCTGCCGATTCGTCCTCAGTTTCCGACGATTCCGATCCGTTCGCATCACAAACTCCTTCTATTTCCAACTATGTCAACCTCTCTATCTGCCGTTCTCGACTAAGATAATGGTCGAAGCGTCGAGGTCTTCGTTTCAACCATTTTATGGGTCTGAGCAATGCCGGAGCTTCGCAGGCGAGTCCGCAGAGGCTGCGCTAGGGTAGCCGCCAGGGGATCGGACTCGGATTCTCCCCCTCTTCCTCCACCTCCTCTGAAGAATTACGTGAAGACTCGAGCCGCCGTCGCGAGAGAAGCCGCCGCCGCAGCGAAGGCCTCGCCGAGGCCGCGGAGAAGAGGAAGACTCGCGGGAGCAGGGAATAGGAGGTCGAAGAAGAGTAGGGTGCTTGTGATATCGGAGAGCGACAGGGAGTCCGAAGGTCAAGAGAATTTTGAAGAAGAAGGAGAAGAAGAAGAAGGAGAAGGAGAAGGGGAAGAAGAAGGAGCACGAAGAGAAGGATCAGGAAAAGCAGTTATGGCTGACGATAGTGGTGGGTTGAGCGCCAATAAGGCTGCTGGGCAAGAAGACGAGGGCACTACTGTGCCTTTTCCTGAAAAGGTATGTTCTGTTTTTTTTATTATTATTATTATTATTATTTTTACGGTGTTGGTTCTGATAAATTCATGTTTAGCACTTTTGTTTTAAGAGAGAAAACAATGGAGGAGTTTATCTTCAGCTAGTTGTGTTTGTTTTGGTGTTTTCCTCTAATTGTTTTAACTTGCTGCTCGTTTTTTTTTTTTTTTGCTGAAGTTTTGTTGGCCATGTTATTTGGCGCGGACCATCTAGTGGTTTAATTTGGTAAAAATTGCAACGTTTATAAGAGGAAAGTTTACAAATAGCAATTGTTTTTGGAATATTTCAGGAATAAAAGATTTACGTAGTAATTATTGTAATCATCTTCATGTTTTGTGCTGCAAAATTAGGTAATAATTATTGTAATTTTTGCTATTTGTAAACTGTTCCAACTTTGTTGCTATATTTCATAATATTATACTTTATATATGACTCAGCCTTTAATTTAAGGGCATGTTTGCTAATTCATAATGGATTGTGATCGGAAAAGGAAAGGGTAACGGTTTGAGATGGAAATAAGAGAAATAGGGAAGGGAATCAACTAATCAAGCGTTTGATCAAGTGTATGCTTATTCATTAGGAGTTAGAATTACATTCCTAATTTAGTAAGTAATCATTTGAATGGAAGGAAAAGGAAATACTTGACTCATTTCTCTTTACCTCGTCGCTTGGGGTGTGCTGTTGCTTTTTTTTTAATTTTTTTATACATGCTGTGCATATGCGTGTATTCATGCATTTCCTTATGGTTGCACTTCTTCTGCAACTTAAGTGTGTGTACTTAATTTATTGTCTACTCTCTTATTTATTTATTAAGTGGGTTATGCCATAATTGTGAAGTTGGGTCAGATTATGCAGTGGACTGATTGGCTATTGACGGATTTTGTTTTAATTAATTATTATACAAGAAAAAGATAGGTTTTAAATAACTTTCATTGTTGGCTGTTGCGTTCATGATCTTTTAAGTGTTTTGGGTATTTTTTTTCCTTTCTTAAGGTTCAAGTAGGAGGATCGCCTCTCTACAAGGTAGAGAGAAAGTTGGGTAAAGGAGGGTTTGGTCAGGTGTTTGTTGGTCGTCGTGTTACAGGTGGCAATGATCGCACATCTGGTCCGAGCGCTATGGAGGTTGGTTAAGCTCAGGTTTCCTTGTATTATGAGAACCCTGTATATCCAATGTGTAAAAATTAATTATGTTATGCATAAAAAACTGATGTTAGGACATTCTTTTTGAGTTTCTCCTTTTATCAGGTTGCTCTAAAATTTGAGCACAGGAACAGCAAAGGTTGCAACTATGGCCCTCCATATGAGTGGCAAGTGTACAAGTCGGTATTCTGTTTTCTTCTTTCTTCTCTCTCCGTTTTGCTCCCCTTATGATGCTTTAAGTTTCTTTTCCAAATACAGTAATATCTATAAATAAGCACAGACATCTCTAGTGATATTTGGTAACTCATGATTTTTATTTTATTTAATAATTAAAACAGCGCACTTGGTGGTAGTCATGGGGTGCCTAAAGTGCACTATAAAGGAAGATCCGGTGATTATTATGTTATGGTATGGCCAACTTTTTGTGTATCCTATCTTCTTTGCTGTCTCTTCGATATGTTTTACTGATTGAACTTTTTTGGTTGTGACATGTATCGTAGGTTATGGATATGCTAGGACCCAGCTTATGGGATGTATGGAATTCTTCTGGGCAGGCGTAAGTATTCTAGATTATAAAGCTCTGTTCTTATTCTTAAGACTTGCCCATGTCTTTTAGTTTTTATCTTTGGATTATCAATTCAACTATGTCATCGAGTTAAGATGAATAGCTAGTATTGAATTTGCAAGGCTTGTGCTGTGAATTTGTGTGGAGACAAGCTCAAGAAGATTTTTTTTTCTTTAAAACAAGTTAGCCTAGGAATTGAAGCAATTCACTTAATTAGGAAAATATGGTGTGTTGAAGAACGGTAAGAACCGCAAACCACAAGGTTATTTTGTAATTTAGTTTCTAGTTTTTCATTTGCTGTTTTATATAACTATTTCTTGAGTGTCAGCTTTTCTCTTGTATTAATCTTGTATTCTTCTGTTTATTCACCATAAAGGTTTTTCCCCTTATTTAAGAGAAAAAAGAGAACACAGAATCATGTGAATTACAATATACTTGATCCAATGAACCAGTTAAACGCGTTTATGTTATATTGTAAAGTTTACAGCATCCCTATGGGTGTCGTCTGACGAAGCCTTTAAGGGTTTTTCTTTCTCTTTGGTTGTTTTGCATTGGAAAGATGTGATTGGTTTCTAATTTTTGGCCTGTTAAGACTTTATTTTTGTTTCATTACTTTTCTAGTAGCGAGGATACCTTATCCTCCTCTCTTGTATTAGACTTTTACTGATTTTTATAATAAAAAAAAAAACTGAATTAAGGTAGATATATGACGTACCGATGGACATCCTAACCAAAAAGGCTTGTGCTGCTGAGGTTGTTAGGCTTCTAGAGGAAATTATTGACTTCTCTTTGTGCGATAAGTTTGGTATCGCATGTTTCTAGAGTATCTCTGGGGTTTTGAAATGGATATTATCTGCTAGTACATAACTTATGTATTTTAGCTACTCTGAAACTAATGAAGCTACGTTTGTTTGTTTGTTTCATAGATTCTTTCCATTACTTTCCTTTGCCTTTTGGAGACACCTATTGCAGACATATAGTGTTCAGTATAGTCCACATCCGCATTAGTTCCTGAGCTCTTCTCCGCCCCCACCCCCCACCCCCCACCCCCCCTCTCTTTTCTTTTTTTATCATAATCATATTCAAGACGTGTTATATACTCAATATTGTTTCACTTGAGAGACCTAATTTCAGATATATTTATCGAAACGTATGTATATACAGGATGTCTGCGGAGATGGTGGCCTGTATTGCTGTTGAGTCCTTGTCAATCCTAGAGAAGATGCACTCAAGAGGGTATGTGAATGCATCTTCTTGAGTTATTTATTTACTTGTAATAGTACTTTGAAATTTCAACTTACAACTCTGTTTATTATCAGTTATGTGCATGGAGATGTTAAGCCAGAAAACTTTTTACTTGGTCAGTCATCTACACCACAAGAGAAAAAGTTGTTTCTTGTTGATCTTGGTCTAGGTGAGTACAGTTCCTTTCATCTTTACAGTTTTATTTCAGTTGTTTCATGTGCTTCACTTTCTTATGTTTTCTTTGTTATTACTTGATTTTTCAGCAACAAAGTGGAAAGACAGCTCTAATGGGCAGCATGTTGACTATGATCAGCGTCCTGACATGTTTAGGTGAATTTGTGATTGCAGCTTTTAGGGTGTAGTTTGTCATGTTACTCTTTAACTATGATTATAATTCCTCTCTGTTCAACCTTTAGAGGAACTGTTCGATATGCTAGCGTTCATGCTCACTTGGGAAGAACTGCTAGTAGAAGAGACGATCTTGAATCTCTTGCATATACTCTGATTTTTCTTCTCCGAGGCAGGCTACCATGGCAAGGTTATCAGGTATGACCTGGGATGCTACTTTAGAGTATGCTCGATAAATGAACGCATTTAGTCCCTTAATTGATTTTACTATTGTTATTATTTTTCTTTTATCAAACTTGTTTGAACTTTCTGCCTAAGACCGTTTGGCGTAGTGGCACTGGGGTTTGGGCAGGGCGTTGGGTGGCGGTTGCGGGATTCATTCCGGCCTTGCATTAAAAAAATAAAAATAAAAATAAAAGAAATAAACTTGTTGGAACTTACTTTTATTCTGGTTCCTCTCAGGGTGATAACAAATCATTCCTAGTTTGCAAGAAAAAGATGGCAACTTCTCCAGAAATGTTGTGCTGCTTCTGCCCTCAACCTCTTAAGCAGTTTCTTGAGATTGTGGTGAATATGAAATTTGATGAGGAGCCTAACTATTCGAAGCTAATATCTCTGTTTGAAGGTTTGATAGGATCAAATCCAGCTGGTAGGCCACTAAAAATTGACGGTGCTCAAAAGGTAAAATTGTATAAACATACGGATTAGCTTTTGTTCTTGGGAATTCCATTGTTCCCATAATACATACTTGTATTTATAATTTCAATGTAACCATTGCTAGATTATTAGTCAAGTTGGACAAAAGCGTAGTAGATTGAATGCTGATGAAGAAGATGACGGGCAACCAAGGAAGAAGGTTCGTATAGGAGTTCCTGCGACACAATGGATTTCAGTTTACAATGCTAGGCTTCCAATGAAACAGAGGTGGAATACCATTTGTTATACGATTTTATTTTCTCCCATCAAAGTACCTTTGGTCGCATCTCTACTATGCATAATTTTTTTTTTCTTTGTTGCATTTGAATGATTCTTTTGGCTTCTCATATTTGAAACTCTTTTGGGTAAATCTAATTGGTTTGCTATTAAAATTTTCAATGTCTCAATATCTTTTAAAACTCTCTCTGTAATAGCCCCCTCAATCTCTCAGGCTCTCTCTCCCTGCCCCTCTCAATTCTCAGGCTCTTTACTTCAGATTTAGGGATTGTGAGGAATTGAGTGTAACTTGGCATCAATAAGCTCAATAGAATCCTAAAGCTAGACAAGCGTGGTCGTGTATGAACCTTTAAGCTTTGTAAGTGGTCCTCATTACAGTTGCTTACTCTGCTCTTTTTCTTGTCGTACAAAATCTCCTTCATGTGCCTTTTGATATTGAAGAATGCTAATTCCATTCACTTCATAAATAAAAGTCCATCAATAGAATGCCCTTGGAAATCAATTCTTTCGGTGGTTGATATTTTTTTTCCAAAGGATTAAATGGAAGATAGGATTGGGCGAATTTGTTTGGTTTTGGGAAGATTGTTGGAGTGAGGGTGAACCTTTGTGTTCCAAGATTTCCTGCCCTATATAGGGTTTCCTTAATGAGCAGCCAATTGTAAGATTTATCTCTGAAAACAATTCCTTAAGTGTCAGCTTGTGGAATTTTGGGTTCATAAGGAGACTAATGGACAGAGAATTGAGGGAGGTGTCAGAATTAACAACTATCATGGTGAGGGTCAGAATTCATAGCGCGATTCAAGACAACAGGGTGTGGAAGCCGGGCACTAACGGGATATTCTCAGTCAAATCACTTTTCCATTCATTGACACGCGATCCTTCATTTCCGCAATTCCTTTTTTTTCAAAAATATATGGAAATCTCGGGCTCTGAGCAAAGTTAAAGTCTTCTGTTGGTTGATTGCCCTTAACAAAATGAATTCTCATGAGTCGTTGCAACGTCGAAGCCCATTTATTTCGATATCTCCGGGGTGGTGTTACTTGTGTAGGAATGATGGGGAGACGACTGATCACTTGTTTCTTCACCGTACTTATTCCAGAAAGATTTGGTCTCTCTTACTTAGGGAGTTTGGTTTCCCTTTGGCGACTCTAGAAAGATGTTTTGAAGTGATGATCTTTTCCCCTCCATCTGGATATAGTCAAAGGGGGTTTGATAACGTGGAGGGCTGCGGTTTTAGCTATTTTTTAGGGTTTGTGGTTGGAGAGGAACAATAGAATTTTGAGAACCAAAAGGAAGACGAAGAGGTTCTTTGGGATAAATAAAGTACTGGGTCACGTTATAGGTATATAGAGATAAAGAATTCGGGTAGCCAATTTTTTCGGAGTTCCTTAGGAACTGGGGTCACTTTTTATAGATTTGTCCTAGGTGTTTTGTTTTTGGTTTACTTATATGCTGTTTTTCCTGTATAGTGGGAGCTTGGTTCGGTTGAGGATAACTCTTCATCTTCTCTCCCAGTTCTCTTTCGTTAATTTGTTAATTTATTAATAGTCTCCTAAAAAAAAATCTAACTGGTTTGCTACTATCTATTAGTAATGTTCAGCATTTTCATTTTTCTTTTTAAATGCTTGAAAGATGCATATACACTGCAAGTCTGGATATAAACTTCACATGGTCAAACTGGCATCTATCCACATTCATATTTTGGTTTAACTGCATCAAGTTAGAGGTCTCAATATCTATCTATTTATTTATATTCAAGACATGTCGCAGAAAAAAAAAAGAATATTTTGATAAGTGGCTACGTAATGTTATGTTGTTCAAGCAAGCATTTGATTTTAGATTTTACCTTCAGATGAATATTGCCTTTGCTGCTGTTTGAGGTTTTTTCCTCTCCTGCAAAGCACCACTATCTCATTACAAAAGAGCTTGTCATTACACAAGGATATTGACCAGTAAATATGATTGGAAAGGAACCGTAGTAATTTTTTAGGATATCAGGGAAGAAAGTACTGTAGTTTGGGATAAAGTAAAATTTGGGTTGCTATTTGGGTCTATCAGGATAAGGTTTTTCGTAGCCTACTTTTTTCTGATCTAGTTAGGGGTTTGGCTCCAATATCCATGTTTGTAACTCTTCCGCTTATAGTTTGCACATGATTCTATATATTCTAGCGTTAGTGTACTTTGCCTCGCTATGAATAAGTATGCTGTCCATCCAATTGTCTGCATACTCAAGAAAGAGGAGAAACAAAAGTAAGGAAAAATGAAATAGAATTTTTGACATAACAATCTTTACTTTGGAGGTATGTCCCTTGTCAAAGGCGCAAGACATTGTAGTGTCCACTTTCTCTGTAATCTTTGTTGCCTGATGACATGCTGATCTAATGTCTCTTTAGGTACCATTACAATGTGGCTGATGCGAGGTTGGCACAACATGTGGATAAAGGTGTTGCAGATGGTCTGCTTATAAGTTGCGTGTCATCTTGTTCTAATCTATGGGCACTTATTATGGATGCTGGAACTGGTTTTACTAGTCAAGTTTATGAACTTTCGCCATTCTTCTTACACAAGGTGTATTTTTTTGTGCTGTGTAATCCTAGACCTAGTTCTGATTGTCTTGTCTATAGTCCTTGTGGTCGTGTTGAATACTGTTCTTCTGGGGCAATTGATTCACTTTCTGTTCCAAATACCACAGGAATGGATCATGGAGCAATGGGAAAAGAATTATTACATTAGTTCTATTGCGGGTGCCAACAATGGAAGCTCGCTTGTTGTGATGTCTAAAGGTTTGTTCTCTTTACCATTATTAGCTATACTTTTTTTTTCCCAGCCGCACCAGTTTGACGAGTCCAATTAAGTTTCCTTCCAAGAGCTGTCAGATTCTTTTGGCATTAGCATTCAGAAGCATCTTTTGAAAGAGAGAGAAGAAAAAAAGGAAAAAAGAAACAAAGACATGGAAGGAAAAAAACTAAAAAACGAAAAAGGGAAAAAAAGTGAAGAAAAAATTTAAGGAAAAAAAAAATTAAAAAACGAAAATTTAAGTAAAAAGGGAAAAAAACCAACAAAAAAAAAAAACAAAAAAGACGAGAAAAAGGAAAAGGAAAAGGACTCTTTACTTGTGTGGGTTTGTGTGGAAAATAGCATGGTAGATATGAAGTTGTAGGTTGGCTTAGTTAGTAAAATGTTTTTTTGTGCTCAAATCCCAACTTTACTGGGGATGCTGGCTTTAATCCAATGGTTACATCCCATAATTCAGCTAGTAAGCCTTCAGCAAATTCTGTGAGGGAAAGGAATATTTGCAGACTTGTTTTAGTACTTTTATGCATCTTTTGATACGAGTTTGTACTCCAATATCCAACCTCGTACCATATCTTACAGGAACCCAATATTCTCAACAGTCTTACAAAGTAAGTGATTCCTTTCCCTTCAAGTGGATCAATAAGAAATGGAGAGAAGGGTTTCATGTGACCTCGATGGCAACTGCTGGGAGTCGATGGGGTGTTGTCATGTCCCGCAATGCTGGCTTCAGTGATCAGGTCTACCTATATTATCTCTGTTCTTTCTCTTCCTCCAATTACATTATTTCCAATTTTTACTCATGGTCTTTGTCCTTTGTCATTCACTTTCAAATCACCGTTCCGTTGCATGGTGCTTTTAATTTGAAGTTTCTCTAGTCTCTTGAATATTCTTTTGCATTGTAATATATCCTTTAGTCCTCATTGTAAATTCTTATAATTGCTATGTCCATTCTCTATTTACAACATACAGGTTGTGGAGCTCGATTTTCTCTATCCAAGCGAGGGCATTCATAGACGTTGGGATAGTGGTTACCGTATAACAGCCACAGCTGCAACTTGGGACCAGTCTGCTCTTATTCTAAGCATTCCCAGGCGCAAACCTGGGGATGAAACTCAGGAAACTCTGCGTACTTCGCAGTTTCCGAGCACACATGTTAAGGTATGTATGAACCTTATTTAAGCAAGTTGATGGACCTTCGAGGATAAGTAAAATTTTTTAGGGTGAATGATGTTGGTATTTTCTTCTGGACTTCGAAAGGAAAGACCAAGAACCGTGTCTCACAACCGGATTCTATTTTCGTTTTGCAGGAAAAATGGGCCAAGAATCTTTATCTTGCTTGTCTATGCTATGGCCGAACTGTATCTTGATTCCTTTTGTACTTTTGCGAGGGATTTGTTTCCAATAAGAAAATATAAATTTTGTCACTTCTCCCCTCAGTTGGGTTTCTCATTTCAACATGTGTAAAAAAAAGGGGGGTTGTAGTCTGTTCGACTTTAGCTGCAGCAGCACACAAAAAGGGAAAAAAAAAGTTTGTATTTTAGGTTTCAGCTGCAGCAACACAGACGTTTATTTTAATTTATTTTTCTTAAGTTGTATGTGTCTGAATTTAATTAGTTAGTTCCTACATGCCAACACCTATAATCTATGCCCTTTTTCTTTTTTCTTTCCTTTTTTTTTTTCTCCCATTTAAATATCTTTGATATATATTATATATAGCTGAGTGAGAAGTAGCAGTCCTAGGAATAGGATTGTCCCATTTTATTATAATATTGGGAAAATTGTGTCTAGATCCCACGAAGCTACAGTTTAAACCACCCAAAGAAAAAAAAAAAAAAACAGCTCAATTCAAAATTGGTGTATTTTGTTATATAAACATGTACCTGTAACCTGTTGAAGGCACGTGCTCTAGAGCAATTATCGAGTTAAATGATTATTATGCATTTTGGTTATTTACACTATCCTGTACTTGTCTTACTATAGCACTTGTCTAGCTTTGAAATCCGATATTCAGTAAAAGGCGCTGATGATTCTGAAGTATATACAGTTTTGACTCTTCTATTATGAAACTGTCCATTTTCAAACAAAATGTAGCGCAAAAAATGGCTCTGCAGGATTTTGAAAGAGATAAAATTCCCGTTTAGTTCGTTGGTTTGAATTTTGTTGATTCGAATTTTTTTTGTTTGAATAGAAAAATTCAAATTGTGTGTGTGGTTTAAATTGTAGTTCAAATTGACGTTTGAATGTGTAGTTAAAATTTTAATTTAACAGGAAATAAAATTTGAATTAATGTTTGATAGGTGTGAAAAACAGTGTTTTTTTTTACTGTTTAAAAATGGTTTGAACTGTTGAATTTAAAGAGAGAGTTAAATTCTAAGTTAGACAGTTTAACTCAGTTTAAACATAGAATATAATTTGAATTACGAGTTTACTAAATAAGATTCACTGTTTGAACTAAACTGAGTTAAACTAGTTAAGGGGGCAAAATAAATTTAAAAGAAAATAATAAGTATGTTTAAAAAACTTATTCTGAAAGGAAAAAAGGAAAAAGAAAAGCAAATATGTTTAGTTTTATTATTGTTATGATGATGATGATGATTATTATTATTATTATTATTATTATTATAGACCTGTTTTCCTTTTTTATTTTTCTCGATCAAATGTCTTTTTTTTTTCTTTTAAAAAAAGTAACTAACAGAGGGCTCAAAATTGTATATTTTAGAGATCACGTAATCGTCTAAAACTGAATATCGATGGCGAAATTGAGACAAATGTATATCCATTGGAGCCAATAGTGACAATAACAGTATAAATTTCATTCAATTTAGGGCTAAGAACATTAATCTTTGGAATACGACTTTTATAAAACTTCAGCGTACATTAATCAGGTGAGTGTTAAGGTCAGGACACGTTGAGACATACAAAAATTTGAAGGTTTTATTTTATTTTATTTTCTATAACAAATTGTTTAAAGAGGATTTCATTTCAATGTTTACAGGTATAAGATACTATTTATCATTGTTAGTAAAGTAATTATAGAATATATTAAAATTTTCGTATAACACAATAATACCTAAGCTAATACTTTTAAAACGTATGAGGATATTAAATACCAAGGATTTTGAACACTAAGCAACACGTCATTTAAACATGGAATAATGGTCTCAATTCACATATCCACTAAACATTTGAGCTAGCCTCAATTGACTGTTCGACGTTGAAACGCGTTTTCAGGTACAAAGTCGTTTTTGCTTTGGGGGAAAGATGTCGTTTGGTGGTTAAAACGTCATGTCATTTTTTTTTGTTTGTTTGGGATACGTGGTGTCTTCCTAGTCCTTTTAAATAATAATAACAAAAAAAGGACAAGAATCTGCGGGAACCAATGGCAGATAGGATAGCCATAAGCCATGCCAGCCAAAACATGACAACTGCAGTGCAAACGCAATGAGTATTTTCACTTGTAAAATTATCTTGTTTCAGTTTCCTCGTTTCTGTCCCACAAAGATCGGAATACAGAGGAAGGAAGAAAAGAGCAAATATGGCGTCTTCTTCTCATCTCTCAGCTATCCCACAACGCCTCTCTCAACCCTCTTCTTCTCCTCTCTGTGAGTCTCTCTATATCTCTGTGATGAAATGATGAAATTAGAGTATAAAACTTAAATAGATTAAGCCTCTGGTTTTAGAGAATAAAGTATGATGGATTCAGTCACTGGACACCCAAATCCATATATCTTCATTCTTTTGGATTCAATTCTTTGTTTTTATAAATATGCAAAAGTGGAATGAGAGGTGGATGGTTCTGAAAAAAAAAAAAAAATGATAAAACAAAAGAAGCCATTAATGCTTTGTGTTAGTGGGAAAGACTTGTTCCAACTGTTATTTGCCTTGCCTAAACGTGGCAGTGCACTCGAAGGCAGTTGGGGTCAATGTGAGATCAAGTTTTGAAAATGAGAGCTGCAATACAAGGGATTCAGGCCACTCAAAACCTCCCAAGGTAAGGCCTCCAGCCTCCATGTATCTTACTATCTATTCAATTAACATTGGTTTTATTTATTTTATTTTATCTATTTATTTTAATTATTAAATATAGTACTTTTGTTTACAAGTGAACATGGCATTACAAATGGTGCTCATTGTGGATAATTTTTGCACATTGCCTGTTGTATAACGGGTCCCAATTCTTCTGCTGTATTCTTGTGTTAATATGCTTGGATTCCTCCAAAGTCCAAATTAGCGGGTGCACTATTAGCTGGGATACATTGAACATGCCGAAACTTAACCCCAGGGTGGCCACCACTACCTACTGATATGGAAACTGCCTTAACTCTTGATGTTTTCCAAATTGATGAGATAAATTTATTTTCTGTGAGATTGTGAAGCTTAAGGCTTAATTTGGAATTGTTATGCTTTTGAAGTACCATGTGTACTTCTGGCAGACGTAGAAGTAGAAGCGGAAATTAAAAGCTAAAAGATCTAATGTTTAAATGTGAAAACTGCTTTTAGGGACTCCGAAAGCAAATATCAAATTGGCCCTTAGTCTCATGAGACCACAATTTAGTCTCTCCGTGCTTTTTGATTGCTGTTTTAGCTTTGGTTAGACATTGCTTACAATATTCTTTTACAGTTGAGTTATGCTAAAATTTGAAGAGGCTCTACTTTAATCCAATATAGGTTATTTTTTGACCACAGGGATCGCAGTTGCCGATCACTCGGCGTTTGTGTCTCACATGTTTGTGTTCAAGCGTTGCTTTAATAAAAGACTTTGGCACTTCTGGTCCCGTAACTAAAGCATCAGCGCTGGATGGAAGGGAAAAACCCGTGTGTCGAAATTGTAATGGAAGTGGAGCTGTGCTTTGTAAGTTGTATAGAGTTTGTTGTTACTTCGACATTCATCTTTTGTACTCGGTTGCAGGTGATATATTTTTGGTTGTGGTGCTTGTTGATGGATTTCTGTTATTGATTCTTTCAACGTTGTTTCTTATCTTTGTCTATATTGTTAATGAGCGTTGAGATTTAAGGTTTTTTCTTTATAGAATGGTTGCAGTATTTTCTGTATGGCCTCAAAATTGTTTGAATTCTAAGCAAATGTCTTTTATCCAGTGTATTGATGATAATGTACAGGTCCAAAAAGGCAGCAACAAAAGCAAATTTTGTAGTTGATTTTTTTCCTCAAATAGAAAGTTCTAGTTTTGCACATTTATTCTGTCAATGTCCACTGAACTAATTTTTTTTTTCATCAAATCTAATTATTCCCATTTCTTGTTGATCGAAATATTTATCAAATTAAAATATCCGAACATGCTTTTGTATGACGCACACATACACGCTTTACTTTGGCTCGTGAAAGAAGAAACAACTACGCTTGTTCCTCTGACCCCTTCTACTGTTCTACATTTCTTATATTGAAAAGTTTAACATGAATCTTGGAGAATAGTGTTGTTTGTTGTTGCTGGATGTATCTTATTTTTTCTTTCAGGAAAAGAAGTGTGCTATAATGGATAGAAAATTCAGCGCATAATAATAATAATAATTATTTTAGTACTTACGGCATCCCTCTCGTCCATGGAATGTTGATTTTTTCTTCCATTTAGGTGATATGTGTGGTGGTACAGGAAAATGGAAAGCTCTCAATAGAAAACGCGCCAAAGATGTTTATGAGTTTACAGAATGTCCAAATTGTTATGGTATGTACTTTTCTGTATTGTCTCATGCCTAAAATATGTCATGTACTTTTTTAAGTTTCAAATCTCTAGAACGGGTCATGATTTATGAGTTAGTTCTCTTGCTAATTCTGTGAAAGGAAACATGTCAAGTCCTTGCAAAGCACATTGATAATCCAATATGATTTAATTCATTGATAATCAAACGATAGTTGTAAGAATTTTTATGTTAATCCAAGGCTTTTAAGTTGTTCTACTAAGAAAAATGAAACAAAACAATTTTTGCAACAAACAGGTTCCTTCTCCTAAAAATCTCTGTGTCTCGGTTTAAGTACAGATGGGCCAGAAAACTAAAGCGTTTTAGTTAGCATACTAAAACAAAACCTCCTATTAGCTTATATTTTGGGGAATGTTCAAACCTGGAAATCGCGAATCACGACCTATCCAATCCATGTTTTCCAATACCCTTGCTACTCTTCATGTCCGCATTCAAATGGGAAGGAGTGTGAGAAATCTTTCAAAAGGTTTTAACAGCCTTGGGAAAAGGGTAATTTTGATGACCATAAAAATCCTTCGGAAAAATGAAAGCATGTTGTTGCATAGGTGGTCCTTCTGCTCTATGCTCTTGAAAATGATTGAAAATGTTTCGCAACTTTTCACGCTCTTCCCCTGGAGTTTTCTTGCTCGCATAATGCATTTTCTTTGTCAGTTGATTGTTGTTCGTCTTTGTGGACAGGGCGTGGAAAACTTGTTTGTCCTGTTTGCTTAGGGACTGGTTTACCGAACAATAAGGGACTTCTTCGGAGGCCTGATGCGCGGAAGCTGCTCGATAAGATGTACAATGGTCGACTATTGCCAAATTCTTAAGTGAGTTCTACAACTCGTTAACTCGTAAAGAAGATCTACCATGTGTTGTACATCATGTTAGAAGGGCAAATTATTGAAGACCTGTATGGATAGCAAAGCTTCCATTGCTAGACTATTGTTTGTCTGGGACTTTGCTCTTAAAACACAAATTTTGAAGAACGGGGAATTTTATTTTTTAAAACTCTTTGTGCTTTGTAGCACCTGAGGCTGAGGAAAGGTTTGGTTGATAGTTGTGTGATTTGGTCGACAGAGGGGCAGGTGGTAGAAAACATTTGCTATTTTATTGTTCTTTTGACCCGGTTCTATTTATTTGAAGCAAAGCATAGCTAATTAATTTCCAAACTTTTACACGCTTGTGTTAAGTTTTGCTTTTAAGCCTGAATATGACAGCATTGATAATATGTGATCACAGAGAGTGATAACTGTGTATAGCACATGACTATCTCGATTGAGCCCAGTTTCCATAATGTCATATATTTACAGTCAAAACCTATACAGCTGATTGAACATGAGAAGCTTCCTATAATTTTGGTTTTCTCTTGTCCATTGAAAGCGGGAACATTTCAATTTGAGTTGCAATTTTCATGGAATGAATTCTCAACTATTCCCAAAAATTATAGAGAACTACTTAGCTTGTTAGTTTTCTTCAAGTATCCCAACTAATGGATTTGGTGTTTTATTTATTTATTTTTTTGTGCTGATGTGGTGTTCTAATTTGATTGACACAAAAACATGTATTTTTTGTTTGTACACCATGACGAGCAGAAGAATATTGACTCATCATTGTAATTTCTCAAATAAATATCTTTCGACAACAAAAATGATGCGACATTACAAATGGAAAGACGGTCGTTTGACTCTCAAAGTCGGGTATTGTGAATCAAGGCTGAGAATTTGGCAGTTTGTGAAGTACAGAATGCTCTGGTTTGTGCTCACATTCAAAGTCAAGATGAACAAATGCCCGCTCAACTTCTGGAAGCTTCTCGATCTTTATTTGCAAGGTCTCCCCAATCATGTGTGCCTCTTTTAGGGGCAAGTCCTCCGGAAGTTCAATGTCAACCTGTTTCAACAGACACAGTAGTGACCACTAAAATCTAAAAGAAATTAATGAACGTGTGACTTGCAAATGTTAATTGATTATCTTTTCCATTGTGATGTGAGCAAAAGTAGGATACTACGGTTCACATACCGTCAGATTAAGTAAAGACAAACGTGCCAAGTGCTATAATGTGTTTAATCTTCGTCCCCGCGACGAAGCTATGGAGTTCTATAACGATGTAAATCCGCATGTATCTTGGTACACATCTAAAGCGTGTAGAGAACTTACAGGTGAACCTGTTGATAAAGTTGCATATTTCTACTTTATTTTAGCTACGGAAATCTAATATGATTACTGAACTAGTGGAAAGTGACACTTTTAGATGAAAAATAGGTAGATAACTTTCTACAGTTCCAGAGTAGACAAAATGACCAACCTCTACAAAATAAAGAACGCCAAATGTGTAAGCACGAACGGTGTCAATACGCTTAACTTGAGGGTGCCTTATCACAAGATAAGTTAACTTCTGCAAGACTTCGGGAGGGGCAGATTGTCCCACGAGTGACACTGCATCAAGAGAATACGACTTCAACTAGTTCATAGCCAACAAATAATAATAATAACAACAACAACAACAACATATCCAGTTATTTATATTGCAAGGAATACATTAAAATAAAACATTTGTGTTTTAAAAAAAAAAAAAATTTGATTAAGAAAGACACACACAAGAAAGACAATACCCATTTCTTTTCTTCCTTTCATAATATATGTTGTGAAATAATGCATTTGCGTTTTTTATTTTATTTTATTTTATTTTAAAATTGATTAAGAAAGACAAGCTTTTTGTTTTCTTCCTTTCATAATATATGTTGTGTTTCTCCTTCCTTTCCCCTTTTCTTCTTCCATTGCTCATCTTGTATCAGAACTTTTCAGAATAGAAGTATATTAAGGAAACAAATGAAAATATTTTCCTGGAAACTGATTAAACAATAAAAACATCAAAGGCATGCACAAGTTCAAACTGAGATCCTAGCACATGACAAAATTTTCCAAGGGGTATAATTTGACATTTTTCTTTTTTCTTTTGGTAACATTGGTTTGGAATGCTAGGAGATTTTCCATCCAGAAAATGGGACAATACTTCTTAGTTTGAGTCTGGAAAATTTTGTGACACCAAAGGAGCTGAGATGAGATGCATAGGTACCTGCATTTTCTAAAACCGTTGCAGACCAATTTGAAATTGTGTAAATGGCAAGAACAATGGCACCAGCTGGATCAACCCACCAGTAGAATTTGTCAGCAAGTACAGCCGCGACTAATCCCACCACATTTGTTATTACATCAAAATAGTGATCCTGATAATTGGCATTCGTAAGAAACCATACAACTGAATATGCATTTAATAAGAAGTAACATGGGAAAAGAAAAAAGAGATGAAAATACCTTTGCATAGGCACGGACAATCTTGTTTCCCGAGCTTTTGCAGTAAACCCAAAGGGCAAGTTTTACTACAGTTGCAGATATCATGATTGCGGACAACCAGACCAATTGCTCTAAGGACATCTTCTCAGAAGGTTCGTCTTTGATTAGCTGTTCTACAGCCTGGATGAATACCTGAAAGCCTGTGAAGTGAAACTTCAGTTGGACATTCCTGTCAAATAAAATCTAGAATAACTTAAGATAACTCTTTGTCTCAGAAAGGAGGGTCTTCTTTGAGGTTTCTCTGGCTGTTCAATGTTTAAAGCATTGAGGTCTTAAGTATTAGAGGTGTAGAACATAAAGACGTACTATGCTCCACATTTAGATGCCGCTTAGTTTATCTTTCTACAAATGCACACAGCATGGGGAATGAAAATGAGTATGAAGTGCTTCCCTTATTTTTCTTACCAGGTGATTTAAAATACTCTTTTTCCCCCATCTCATGCAAAGTTGAAACCATAACAAGATAAAACCTAAAAGTTACTTAGTGGGGGCATAAAAAAAAACCCTTGCCTGTCATTGTCCTAGAGAAATACATATCTTTCCTTCCTACATGACTCCAAAAATAAGCAGAAAACTTTCAAGCAGATATTTGTGATTAGAATGTATAACAAGAAAAAAAAAAAAAAAAAAAAAACTATATGTAAACTGAATAGGGGCGTTCCTCTTATTTATATCAAGCTGCGGTGATATTGTACAATGTCACCCAATGCTTTAGTACATATATAACATAAGCTTCATATTTATTCCTCTTTTCATCTACAACACATCTTCTTAAAGTTTTTGAGCTACTCCTTTGCGTCTTAATTAATATCTATGTACTTGGAATCCACTAACAGGAAAATACACAAAGTCTTTACAATTATTCATATCCATGTAGATAAGCCGATTTTTATCGTCTCCAATCTCGGCAACAACCATGGAGAGAAATTGGCATACACTGCCGAATTTGTGAAAAGTATGTTTGAAAAAAGGAGACAAGTCCACAACTCATAAATGAATAATAAAAGACAGAGATTCTATAAAAAGTATAGGATGTTATGCCACAATATCATACCTAGTGTAGCCATGACCGCAGCAAAAATGATTATTCCAACAGGCTGCACCCTCAATTTTCCAATTGGATATCTATAGATATTTATAGTTTTCATTGACAAGTGAGTGAACCAAAGTATGCCACCAGCCATTAGATCAAGTAAAGAGTCAAGTGTCGACGCTGCAATGGCTATGGACCCACTCTTGATGGTAGCATAGATCTGGACATTGCAATAGAAAATATAAAGTTTACTTGTATGACATCAGAATTAAATGATAACCTTTTTCATGCTTGACATAAAGTTTGTGCTTTCTCAAGTAAAAATTAGTAAGACGGGAAGAAAAAGAAAATATTTAAATGATGTTTCTGAGCTAAAAGTGTTTAACATAACCATCAAACACGAAGAGTTTCCTGTCTTGGATGTAACCCGAAAGATCAAAAGACAACAATGGAGCAGTAATGGTCCTTTGTTTTTTTTTTTTATAAAGGGGAAGAGTGTTGACTTACCTTAAGTGCCAAGATCAAAAGACAACAATGGAGCAGTAATGGTCCTTTGTTTTTTTTTTTTATAAAGGGGAAGAGTGTTGACTTACCTTAAGTGCCAAGAGAATTATGTTTACATAATTAGAGATCTTCATGGCTCTTTCATGTTGGGCTTGTTCCTCAAGATCTTCCTCATCAAGGCACTCTGATTGCACTATAGAATCAACTTCCTCGAAAGATTTCAGAGTTGCAAATTGCCTTTCATAGTATTCCTTTTCTCCTATAATAGATTACTCCTTGTAAGAGCAAATAAAGCACAAAAAGACATTCATTCTAGGCTCTCTTCATGTCCTTTGTTTTCTGAACAAGTACAAAGAGACACTAATGGCACTTGATACAATCATGCCACCTTTTATTGCTCAGAAACCAATAACTCTTCCTCTAGAACCTCAACAAGAAGAATGCCAAGAAGAAACCAAAGAGAGAAAAGAACAAAAATTCAAAGTAGTATTTTTGTTTCTTAAAAAAAAAGCAAGACAAAAAAAAAAAAAAAAAAAAGAAAGGAAACAAATTGTGTTCATACACACAAAATTAACAAGGCAAAAAAATGGGGAGTTAGAAAAGAATGAACTACTTATCAAACTGTTTCCGCATACTTTTTTAATCATTTTGACCATGTCCAACTATTAGAATCTGGTCTTGCCGGCCTACTGGAGAAGGTAAAAAAAAAAAGAGTTTATTAAGATTATAATATTTTCTTACCAACATGCCTTACAGATCCTTAATTAAGTAGCAACGAAAAACCATTATGACAAACTCACAATCCTCAGTTTTCTGACATGACAGAAAAAGAAAACCTTTTTTCTTCTTCTCATTTTCTAAGTAACCAACCATATACCGAGTTGAAAATTAACATAGACAGAGACAGAATAGTTTCAAAAAATCATTATCTAATTCTGATTCTTCATTACAGAGCGCATTTTCTCAGCAACACATTTTCCCACCCGCCAACAAAAACGAAAAAGAAAAAGAAACAAATAAACAAAGAGATTTTCATTTTCCCAAAGCGGCCAAAATTTTCTCGGTAACCAAACAGAGGTGAGAGTTGGAAAACAGACCTGAAGTCAAGGCTTTGGTCCGCGAGAGGTCGAAGTCGTAGGGGCTAGACTCGACGTCCAGATCATCTCTGACCTTGTCAGGTAGTCTCGAGACGAACTCGGTCCTGAGCGAGTTGACTGAGTACCTCCGACTCAGTGACCGATTCCGTCGACCGTTTTCACTCGGTCTCCGACCTAGAAGCGGTGCTTTGGGACTCACCTCCGAATTTCCCTCCATTGTTTTGTTTTGTTAGGGAGAGAGAGAGTGAAGAAGAAGAAAGAAGAAGAAGAGAGAAGAAGAAAGGCTCAAAGAGGAGAGGATATATATAATATATAATTGAATTTCGCACAAAAAATATAATTAATTGTTATTTATTTATATTTAAATTCTCAATAAAATATAAGAATGACACGTGGGCGCATGTAAGAGTGAGATTTGTCTGGTCCTACCACTACTTTAACTAGTATTTTATAAAGTCATGCTTACGGCATTGTTTTTTTGTTTTTTTCCTTTGCTATATCAATCAAGAGTATCTGTCCAGTCAGCGTAATAAACATAGCCGTTAGATTACTAGTTGGACGGTCAGGAAAGAAACTTATCTACAAAAAATAATAAAGAATAAATTAAAAAAAGTTTGAATTCAATATATGAGAATTTAATATTTTGCTAATCAATATGAGAATCTTATTTTTGAGGGTAAGAAAAATGAGAATTAAAAGCACCCTATTAAATTCGGATAAATTAGTTTACAAGTTGAAAAAAAAAAAGAGTTTACAGATTTGACCATAGTACAATATATGTATATCATATTCAATATTTAGGGGGAAAAAAGTATGACGTCATATATTTGTGCTGACTTTTAAAAAGTCAACTCCGAGATTTATTTATTTATTTTTAAAGATAACTCCAA